GGCATTCAGAGCTCTCCGGTTTGGGACGAACGCTCTGTGAGGGAGGCGGCAGGTCTAAAGCGTCTGCTAGAAGATGGTGAGTTTTCATTTTTTCTCGCTTTTTTCTCCACAATATTCTATCACGTGGATGTATTATACGGCGCATTGCAGTCAAGGCTAATGGATGGAGCGTCTGTGCAGTCGTGTATTTCAGACTTCTGCGATGCTGTATCTCGTATCCGGGAAACAATAAAATACGACGACACATGGAGTGCTTCTTTACGCCGCGGGCAAACAACGCAGCGTTTGATTTTGTCTGCAAAGGAATGCTGTGACATTCTGGTGAATCAAATAGGCGATCGTCTGCGCACTGAACACCTTGCCGCGTTCTCTTTGATGAACCCCAAAAATTTTTCAAAATTTGCACGTCAATTTCCCATCCATTTGTTGGCTACTGTCTCCAAATTTTACCCCATGATAAACGTGGGTAAATTGGAAAATGAATTGCGATGTATATACACCAATCAAACTTTTTTGAACATCACATCAACTTGCGCGCTCTATGGGTTCCTCATAGATAACACTCTAGTAACTACCTTTGCGGCGTCTGCAAATTTCCTGGACATCATTTTGACGACGCCTATTTCTTCCGCCGACGCAGAGCGAACATTCAGCACGCTGAAGCGTATTAAAACGTATCTCAGAAACACAATGAAGCAAGATAGATTAAATTCCTTGGCTGTTTTATCCATTCACAGACGTTATTTCTGGGATGCATGACTTTAATCAGCGCGTAATTGAGCATTTTGCTTCCAAGAAACCGCGGCGTGTTGCATATATGTTCAAGCAGTAGAAGTCTAGCAGCATATATATCTATGAGTGAGCGACACATGTCCTTATCTTTGCATTACTTTCCTTTCTTCATAGTAACGTTTTAAACCTTATTTTAGGTTTTGTCTGCTTTCCCGAAGTTTCTGTTAATATGTCATTGTATTTATCTGGGTAAATATTGCCTTTCCTTTTGAAAGAGGTTTCAAAATAAACTATGTCTATTTTAATTAATCCCTTGACTTGGACCGGTTTTAAAGACACTTTCTTATCGTTAAAAATTGTCGCTTTTGCCGATTGGTTGTTACCGATGGAATGGTTTTTATACTCATAAAATGATGGGAGAACTTACAGTGCTCATCCGGTCCCCGTAGATGGGGGTGACTTGGTCCCGCAGTAGCTTGCCCCGGTTGTCAAAATGACCACGCGCCGCCACTGGTACACACACTTCTGGAGCGCCCTTTATGACTATTTATATGTAGTCTATATCTCGGGTAGGCCACTAGGGCGCCAGGCCACGCAAAATACTTACTGTTACTACGATAAAATATGGCCAAATAGAGGACTTGCAGGGGTCACGTGAGTTTGTTTACTGGACGGCAAAAAAACAAACACGTCCAGCTGGCTCCTGTCAGTTGCAAGTCGGATTATACGCTTACGTTTTGTTTGGCTGTTGAAATGGTTATTTCGTATTGTTCCGTTGGCTGTACGTATAGTAAAGATAGACTATAGACAACGAAATGGATCTTCAGTTATATTCCACAGTTTCCAAAAAATCGCAATGTAGATATCATATATTTCTGTATTGGCAGGACTGATTGGTTTCCAGTCCAGAAGTCATCTCACTTGTGTTTCACTGTTTGCGGACAGCACTTCGTTGATGGTGAGTGATAATGTGCCGTTATCGATTTCTTCAAATATTTCTATGCTCCCTCATTTCAATGGAAAGCAGATGACAAACTACTGTTATTGGTAGGCGCAGGCCTACTTGCAGACTTGACTTGTGTAAGGAATCAATCATCAATTGCCATAAGGTTTTGTTTCCCTAGTTAGCAGGTAATCTTTTACTAAGTGTGAAAAGTTGACTAGATAACTAGAGTTTAACGCCAGTGGTCCGCATCTCTGATAACACTGGTAGTTTCACAGGTTCCAATCCCATGCAGGGATAGTCATGTGCGAGGTTGCAGGTCTCCTCCTATTGGGTCTGGTTCTCACGACCTCAGCTTGCGTGACTTGATAATACATCCTCAATATCCATTTATTGATGCTTAGCGTTATGACAAAGTAACTTGTGATTACTGTGGATTGGTGGAGATAAAGTGTCCATTGTGCTTGAACGAAAGCAACTTCAATACGGCCCTATCAAGAAAATTTATTTTTTGTTTCCGTGGGTCTGGTAGTGACAGTCTAAAGTTGGACACCGATACTACAACCAAATACAGTTGCAAATGACACTTAGCGAGGCGTAATATTGCGATTTTGTGATCTGAAAAAAAATTTTGATGGGTAGCCGGCTAGTCGCAACCTTTTGTTCAAAGAATATTATAAGATATGACTTGAGAGTCTAAAATTTATTTTAAGCTAATTTGCAAATGGTATCCATGGTACCAAATGTATCACACACTTTACAGTAATTATAAATTAGTTTTGAAAAATAAAGCACATCAAAAATGTATTTTTAAAAAACAATTGGTTTTATTTGCAGATACCAGGTTTATATTGAGGTTGACCATTTCAATGCTAAATTTTCCTCCGTCAAAAAGCACACTTGCTTCGCAAAGATTTGTGAATGCGCATAGTACACCAATTTGTCTAATGTTTTGATTCCATACGCAAGAGGTTGTGGATCGGTGCTGCTCAGGATGGGATATTTTGCTTATAAGTGCATATTACGTGTTTCACATGAATCCATCGTGCTAAGATTCGACTGTTTTCAAGGTCTGAAGGCTCCAACTGCTTAATTTTATTGGTACACGTGGGAATTTTCAGTGTGGGATGCATGGGTCAGTTGGAGTCACTAACATCAAAATATCTATAAGCAAGGATAAGATAACCTGGAAGTAACATTCCATAATTTAGAGTAAAAAATGTATCTGCCTCCACAGTCCTTTCAAATGGAAGATATGATTCCTTGAAGGGTAATTTCTATCAAATATTTTACAATGTTATGGTTCTTCTAGTGAAAATGGGTTTAGGCGGCTTCTTTCAAAGTGTGGTAGGTCTAGTCGAAAAACATATTAAATGTTTATGCTAACAACTGCAAAGTGATGTTGCAACACATACAAGTTAACAGAATTTGTTGAAATGGTCCTGCCTTTTGCCTTTCTTCAAAATACACCTTTTGCTATAACTATTCTTTTCCTCTCTGGAGATGGCGAAAATTCAAATATTGATGGGACATAATAAGCTGATAATTAGTTTTCTTTCCTTTTTTCCTGAAAAGAAATTACACACCAATCATCATTTGACAGTGCCAAGTTTGTGTATCAGATCAGTAATAGATTACCTGCTAACTAACAATACAATCAGACAACATCTTCTGACCATTGATGAAGATTTCTTTCAATTTAAAACGCAAATATGCCTACCAATAACGGTAGTTTTTAAGATAGCCTGGTAGTTTCACAGGTTCCTATCCCATGTCGTGATAGTTATGTGCGAGAGGATTGTAGCTCTCCTCCCACTGAAGGTGGTTCACACGACCGCTGGTCGGTTACGACATCCCCCACCATCAAGTCCATGCTCCTGAAGACAAATAACTGGCTAACTAATCCCGACAAAGAATGGTAATCGTACGATGTTGCACCTGCAATTCTCCCCCAAGATAAATCCTATGATGATCAGAGATGCGGTGGCGAGCGTATTTCTAGATGGCGAATTCAATTGAATTCTGGGTATTTTTTGCATGAGCACTGGCGTTAAACTTTAGTTATCTGTTCAACTTTCCACACTTACTAATAGATTACCTGCTAACTAGGGAAACAATACCTTATGGCAATTGATGATTAATTCCTTACACAAGTCAAGTCTGCAAGTAGACAAGCAAGCAGGCCCACGCCTAGGCCTACCAATAACAGTAGTTTGTCATCTGCTTTCATTGAAATGAGGGAGCTTATAGATATTTTAAGAAATTGATAACTGCACATTATCACTCACCATCAACAAAATGCTGTCCGCAAACAGTGAAACACAAGAGAGATGACTTCTGGACTTGACACAAGCAGTCCTGCCAATAGATGATATCCACATTGCGCGACGTTACGGATCTTTTTTAAACAGTGGAATATAACTGAAGATCCATTTCGTTGTCTATATTATACGTACAGACAACGGAACAATACGAAATAACCATTTTCAACAGCAAAACGGAAACGTATAATCCGACTTGCAACTGACAAGAGCCAGCTGGACGTATTTGTAATTTTGCCGTCCAGTAAACAAGGTCACGTGACCCGTGCAAATCCTCTATATAAGCAAATGGGGTAAGCCATCTTGGCTGACGTTCTGTGGTCGTTTTTGTTCGCTTTTGATTGATACGTTGGCCATATTATTAACCACGACTTACGCATATTCATATAACTGCCAAAATTAGACCGTATAGTGGGCTGGGGTATATTAGCGTTTGATATATAATGAGAAACGAATCAAGAAAATGCGAATATGCAAAAAAAATCGAGGCAAATAATTAATTTCTGTCCAATCCCATAAGAAATGCATTGCGCGCATCGGAAAAGTTGGAAGCATATCGTCAAAACGAGTAAGGTTTCAAACGAGAATATCGGTTGGAAACCGAAGACTTATCGATCGATAGTTAGGGGATCCCCCAAAACAGAAACTGCAGTTTCGATTCATCCGCTCTTGTAACTTGCGCACTGCGCATCGCACACACACACTCGGGTTTCAAAATTCTCTCGCTTTACAAAAATCTAGATCACTATATCAATAATTGATTGATAACTCGCTAATTAAACGACATAATTCATCCGAAATCAATAGGCTTCTGGTACGAGATAAGATGAATGCACATGCAAAATCTGGAGCAGATTCAATCTCGCTTTCGTGAGATATCGCGTGCATCTAACAGACACACAGACAGACAGACAGACATACATACAAATACCTATCAATATACTTACCGATCTTAAGATCGATAAGTAATGATCCTCAAGTATTTTATGACGTAGTATTTAGTACAAATAACATAACACAAGATCTAAAAGAGGGCATCGTCAATTTGCTTCAGCTATTCTGCGGTATCGGGCCCTTGAATTGTTGCATCCTGCGGTTGCGGAACATTGGTCTTGTATGGTGAAAGATTAACTCGGCAATCAATCACTTGCTCGGTTGGTATATGTGGGTGAGCATAGTTGCAAAGCATTGCAGATATCAGTCATCAAAATGAAGGTGATATATGCTGGTTACCTCAAAACTGGGACCAAAACTATGACTGCGGCTTTACGAATATTGGGATTCAGTGTATACGATTTTATGGAAAACACTACAATTTTGGGCAAAGACTGGGTAAAGATTTTTAGAGATGGGTGGACCACTGAAGATTTTAAAAGAATGTACGAAAACGTAGACGCGGTTTCTGACTTGCCACCGTCCTACTTCTGGGAAGAAATTCACAAAGCTTTTCCGGAAGCAAAGGTAATCTAACAATGATTTTCAGTATTTCTGTAATTTAGAATTAAGTTGGAAGCTACTACCCCTTTGGTGATAATTTAGCCCTGTCATATTGTGTGTAGATACATATGTATAGACGGTGGTGTTTTGTCAAATCTCACATTTTTTATCAATGCCGGTGGCTTTTTCTACTATACTGCGCAATTGCTTAGAACGTGGGGAGCGCAATCGCACGGGAGATTTCCTCAAATCTTACAATTTTGCTATAGTGGTGGGGGATTTCTACAAAAGATCCCACTTTTCTTTTTTACCCGAGGAAAAGATTGCCTTGGTTCACAATACATAACATTTTATAAAATTCGGTACCACTATAGCATGAAGTCTACCAGACCATAGCGTGAGATGTACCGCAACCTAGTACTGTAGTGTGAGGTCTATGTTAGGGTGAGTGTAAAACTCCTGGAACATTGTTCGGCGCTCCAGAAGTGTGTGTACCAATATGGAGATAACTCATTTTGTTCGTCCCCTCTACATCAAGTTGTGTAAAGGGACTGAAATCTATGGGCAGGGGGTATATTCACTTGGCTAACACAGACAATCCCCAAACTCGTACTAGAACCAAAATACGGAAAATCGGAATAAAATCATGGCCTAACTCTAACCTGGTACACATACTACGGAAGTACCCATTGAACATTGGTATTATTCTATGTTAACTAGTTTTAACTTAGGAACAAAGTAGGCGACATATGGCACGTCATATTGCCACCGCAAATTCTTTATCATAAGCTATATATATTGAAACAAAGATATTTATATCAGTCAGCGTTTCATATATATACTCATGCTTCATGAACTTGCACTGGCATTATTATATTCAAAATGGTCAGGTAAACTGTAAAATGTTAATATTTGCAGATCATTTTGACCACCAGAGATGAAGAGTCATGGTATAGAAGTTTTGTCAAGCAGATGAGATCAAATGAATCCAGCTGGGCCCTGAAAATATTATCAATTCTATCACCGACTGGTCGTTTGTCATTTAAGATTCTCCTCGGTTCTATAATAGGTAAGAAATTACGAAAACATTCTTATTACTTCTTTCAGCTTTGCGGTTGCAAATATATTACTGAGCCGTGATAATTGTTTTAAAATGACGGTAACTTAACGTTTGCTGATAGGAACTCCTCAAATTATTCGTTCAATCATCCTTTTTAAAAGGTTTTTAATTGTAGACAAATTAATAAAGACAGTTTTTTTAAGACTGAAAAAGTCATGAACTTTAATTATTTTCCTTTGCATGTTCAAAATAGCGATGACATTTAATAATCATTAAAAACGTTTGGTAGTGAAAAACTACTTCCCTTAGTGTTATCTCTTGGAATCAAATTGATATTTTTCAGGTCTTCAGGCATTGGGTATCAAAGATTCATTGCTCTGGAAACCATTTAAACGATTTGCTCTCAATGAACAACTCTTCAAATTGAAATTTAGAATGCATAACGCATACGTACTCCAGGTAAACACACGCTTGACTTAGCTTCGGGGGTTTGTGAACTTCGTGCATCGTGTAATTCCCCTCTCTTTACACAAATTTGTTTTTCTTTCTTATGTTTCCGATTTTTTTGATCCTAGAGTCAATTTAAACATGGATTCTAAACAAGATAGCGACGCAGTCGATGACAAACAATAGTCGCAATATTCATTATTTTCTGACATAATATATATATCCATAACATATATGGAAATACGATAGCCAAATTTGTCCATGAAACATTACATCCTTTTTCGTGGCCATAACCTAAATGCACTGACATATATATCAGCATCAAACTTGTTTGATTTTTTTTCAGAACGCACCTCCCGAAAAACTTCTGGTTTACAATTATAATCAGGGATGGGAACCTTTATGCAAATTTTTGGGCGTTCCGGTACCAGATGTGCCGTTTCCTCATAAGAATAAAGGAGCTGATATTGTGGCCGAATATCTTGCCACTGATCCGATCATGAACAAAATCAAAAGAGAAGCGATGTTGTCAATGACCATCATTTCTATACTTGGATGCATCGGGGGATTCTTTCTGATCAGAAAATGGCCGAAAATATGTGGAGTCTCTTAAACTACGATGCCGAAAATTAGTGTTATTTGTTGGATAAATCGCGACTATAATAACCTATTAAACTACAATCCACCTGTTTCTAACTAAATATTGTTTGTATAATATACTGTATGGGGGCGTTCATTTCTAAAAGCATCATTAGATGATGACTCGGCCAAAGGACGTGTACTCGATATCACAAATTTACATAATCTAATGTTTGAATATACAGTTATCTAATTATAATTGACATAATTTTCGGGTAGTCTGATAATGATCAAACTGAAAATACTTTGTTAATTTTGAGACTTCCTCTAACCCACTGCTGATACCTAGACGTGTGCGATTTACAGTATACAGGGAAATTTTAAACAAGCAGAAAAAGGAAGCAACAATACAAAAGAATAGATTCTGAAATCAATTCCAGTTTGAAATTCAGGCAGTCTCTATGCTTTGGAGAGTCCATGTATATCACATAGCATATCCGATGTCATACTGCCACCAAAATAACTTGTCAGTTTAAAAAAAATGTTTAAAGGAAGGAGTCAACCAACATAATTATTCATTGCTTCTTATCTCAATAATGATTGATTGTTTTCAGATGGTCTGTCTACTGCAGCAATAAGGAGTTAGGTTATGACTTCACGGACGTTTGAATGTCATTATTACCTAACATCATTTAATTCAAACATACGCAGTTTGAGTGACTAATATCCACCTTTATATATATAGTAAACAATGAATATGAGCTCACAAGGTATCAATGGCCACTTGATAGCCTTGCTCGTAATATGAACTGAAACATACCCCTTTAAAACTTTAGAATATTACAAAGAATATTGTATTGAAAAGTTTGGCAACTGATTTGATCCAATTTTAGTTATCAGAAGATGATTGAAAGCCGCATCAAACGATTATACAAAACAAATTTTCCCAATCATTCATTATCAAATAATCATCAACATTGACGATGCCAATTTAAAAATCGAAGTAATATTTTTCATTCGAATATTTGGTTTTATTCACGGTTGGCTTTGAATATGATTATCTATTTTTATTCGAAAGAATTTTGATTTATCCAAAATATTCTTTTCATATTTTATTGTGGGCGATTTTGCAAACATTTACTCGAACATAATGTTAATTTTTAAAGAATATTTGTGCTGTGCTTTACAGCCAAACATTTAGTTTTGTGCCACTTCCCTAATTTACACGAGTCAAAAATGTCGACGATGTCCTCTTCGTCGACGATTTCAGATCTAAGGTTTAATAAGAGTAATCTGTAAGGGAATTTCCTAAAACAAGTCAATTCGAGCTTGTACATATTCTTCTAAATATCAGGTGCAAGAAGGGCGAATCTCATAGTAATAATTTTAGTTCAGAGGGAATATCTAAATTTGTTTCTAAACTGCCCGATCCTTGGGTTACTAATACAACTGAGACCTCAATTGTTTGACATAAGAATTTAACGCGGCGGAGGACTGAAAGAAGTTTCATAACACGAAAAACGGTACGAAAAAAGTATAATGCGTTTAAAGATGAATACCGGATTTATTCCTTACGTCTGCTTCAGTAAAGTAGACTTTGGAAAATTATTGAAAGAATTTGAAAATTTGGACGAAATATGTCGATTGCCCAACCTCTAATTTTGTAGAACGATTCAATTTATATGACTGTTTGATCGATTTTTTTCAATTCTCCAGTCACATTTTATTTCATATCGCTGTAAAATCCTTTAACACACAACACTTGAATCTTGATTTCATTTTTTGGCTGACATTGCCGACTTTTGAAAAATAAAGACAACCATTTCTCGGGTCCCAGTTGTAAATTGACAATCGGTTGACCCCGCTGTCGAAATTTTGTATGAATTTGTGCAAAGATATGCTTGGCGTCATTGGCAGAGGGCGGAATTTTTCAATAAGCCAGATCGAAGCGTTGTCGTGATGATTAGGTCACATTTACACCAAAATAAAAATGAATAAAATCCTCAAAAAACGTCCATAATATGAATTTTCATCAAAATCCGTATTAATATGGGTAAAATAAAAAACTGCTTGTAACTTTTTTAATTTTAAGTTAATACGTCATAAATTATAATTAGCCTTTTCTGAATCTTAAAGGCATGTATGGCGTCAAAGGCAATTGGTGTGATGGATTTTGAGGCAATGATCTTTAAAAATATATATACTTGCTACAAAAAGCACTCCATCACAATTGTATTTACCACACAGCGTTATCCAGCCGTGAACCGCCATAATATAGAATACAAGATATCTCAGGTTGACTAAACAATATAATATTGTAATGCCGCGTAATAACGTGGGAATGAAAGTATGGCAAGCCGCAAATTGCCTAAAGCGCGCTTAGGTGGGATGACGATAAGATAACGTACCTGAATGACTGAAGAAAATCGATGCCAAGTATATCGCGCATATTAGCTCCTTAAATTTCATCGGTAATGCAAAATGTAGGTAGCTATATAGTATAATGTTTACACCTGTGCAAAATTGAAAACAACAATATTTGAAACACGGCTACACCACTCTGTTACTTTGAGCACGTATGCTTAGATATGCCTAAAATATACATTTGAACACGAGCCCTTAACCACGCTAACATATGAATAGCATATATACAGTATATATAAAATACACACTTGAACATGGGACGATAAACACGCTAAGGTATGAACAGCATATGTATATATTATGGCCACAGGCTCCTTGTTCGTACCAAGATAAATATTTACCAACATAAAAGCTATGTAGCTAGCATAAATCGTAGTGAGATAAATCGATTTGTTGAACGAAAGATCATGTAATGATAAAAAAAATAGCTCAAACACACACAAAGATTTAAATGCCCGGTGACCGATAACCGACTACAGACTAGGCTGGGTGTGTTTCTGACAACATTCCGATTATTAATTCACATGATAACCTGCTTAGGGCACAATTGGTAGAGGGATATTGCTCTGGCGAAAGGTTCGAAGCTCTCACCTGTCATTTACTGCGCTTGGTCAATGAGTTGATGATATAGCCATGGTACATACAAAATATCAATTTTTTTTATTTCACCGAATTAATGAAATAAAACAGGAGAGATATTCCTATATTTTACACAATAATCTACCTCCAGCTATACCATATTAAGAGTATATTGGCCTGCCGTACAGCTAATAATATCCAAACCATCACGACGACACTTTCCAAACGCTAAATACCCACCTTCACTTACCGAGCCGACAGCTAAATCCAAATAGCTAAGCGTTACAAATTGGACGAATGAAACTTTATCTTCAATTGTACTGTGACCAATTGTCTGAATGATTTTATTTGTCGTTGCGCATTTACTACACGAGTTATTCTATTGAAAGAGTTATTTCGATAAGACGAGCGGCCTCGTATACGTCTTGCGAATTCAAACGAAGTAAGCGCGCGCGAATTCACACCAAAGCGACTCATTTCCAACAAATAATGTAAATATAGACGACTCGGTTTCCTGAAAAAGCGTGGCGATAAGCTCAAACAGCCGATCGGGTATTCAAGGTTCCATTTAAATCAGCTGTCTCGATCTTTAATGTACCGCAACCCAATACTTAACCCACTTTGAAATAACGACCCCATCGCAAATTTTTACATGAATGTAAAGTATATCGATGCTTTATAAGGCACAATAAGTGAACGATATTGTTCCGTCGTACAGACCGCGTTGACGGCTTTTGACCTAAATATATACGTAATTTAAGAACCAAAACCTTTGGCGCATAATGGATTTCCTGATGATGAATTTGAACAATTAATGGAGAATAATAACCATCGGGTTCTATCCTAATATATTCAATATACTGCCTTTACAAAGGAAGGCGAATCACTTTTTCATGTTTTTTTTTTATTAAAACTTAGTTACACGTAAAGACAGACTGTGGGAATTACATGGACAACTTTAAAATGAATAGCATTGTTTTGTTCTACCGAAGTGCCATTTCCGATAATAACCAACATAATGAGCGCAGGAAATGACATTACAGTTTCTATCTGGCTACTTCATTTCTAAGCTACTGTCTCTAAACGCTTCTAATTCACAATTACCACGCGGCGTACTTTTCTTCCCAGTTATCTAAACTTTTAATTCTTCTGAGAGGTTAAGAAAACACAGTGGGTCATTTGTTGCTTTTCACCGCAAAATAATGAGAGTGGAATAAGAAACTAGCCACTGAAAAGTTGTTTATAGTTCGACTCGACCCTGGTAAACTTCAGCCACACTCATCAAGACTTTAAGTGGTGGAAAAGATTCTCAAGAGGATATACGATATTACGGTTTATTTGAAGAGCGAGCCGCGTCCTTCCATGCGATTACAGGTTACAAAACGGGCATGGGCGCAGCTGACCAGTGAATTATTGATACTCACGGGTGTGGAAGTTGAGAGAAGACGCAACGCCCCCATTAATGACATGCGCCCCAGCTGATCTGCTCTACGGAAACCCTATATACGTCGAAAAAACGGTCAAAACTCATTATAAACTCGACAGTTGCAACACAAACATTGAACTGATGCAAAATTTCAAGGCATCTGCGACCCCTTGACTCAATGGTTATGCAGCAACGTTGACTTTCGTTTTTTCTCCTCCCAATGAAGGTGGTCAGGTTCCAATTTGTTTGTCAATCGAAGACCTTCGTCACACTCTAGCTTTGCTAATTGCTCTATTTCTAAAATATGGTCCGATCATAGTAATTTTTCAGAATACCGAAGTCTGCAAATAGTGTTGCAAACAAGCTCGAACAAATGACAGCCGTCAAAGACTATGTAAAGTTTTCAGTCTTTATCTAAGATATTTAGATTGATTGAAGCTTCTAAAGATGACAACATAGTAAAATTGTATCAAGGCTCAGCAACCAGTAATGGTGGCTTAGACTTAAATTCAAATGGGTAACGTGCATCGCAGCTGCCGACTAGAGTTATTTTGTGGCGTTTCATAAGTTATGTAAAGGGTGTCATGTTAATATTGCTTACGTAGTGATATACATTAGTAAATATGACCTTTAAGTTGCTCTTATCATGTAATCCTATGTTACGTCATAGAGAATTATGTGTCGTCATCGGGCATGGTTTTCTGAAACGAGGGAATCAGTTGTTAGCTAGTTCGATACAAGAGAGAATAGAAAACCAGTTCCCCAAATTTTGAATTCCACCACTGATCAGAATAGAAAATTGATGTTAGTAATACTCCAGTCTCCAAAATAACATTTCATACGACATTCATTTAATGTAATGATCATTGTGTTTACTTCTAATATTACTGTGCATTTGTGTTTATGTGATCTATTCTAGAGCCCCCCATATACTTCTGCCTACCCCAAAATTCAATCTCATTCAACATAACTGACAGATCACCCTCGCATTTTACTGGGCAATATCAAATTTGAGAGGGCTTGTGCTATAGCTATAAGGGTACTCCCGTAGTGGGTGTACCAGTACGGGCGGATTATGCCCCTTTGGTGCCCTAAGCATTGAAGACTATGGTGCCCCCTTATGTGTAATTTAATTATAAAAACAATAAAACACATAAGTGTATTATGTATTAAAAATAATAACAACCAACAGTGAATAAAACAACTATTTACGAACATTAGGTTTTTTAACTGTTATCTATAACCGATATATATGAGCCATTTACTGCCCATATGATATATCGGCAAACACGCAATATAGGGATGATATATCGGTTGAGCTCCAATCCTGAGGAAGTGTGACGATGAAGGTTAATGCATACAGTTTCAACGTGATTCGAAATACCAAAGGATTCAAGTCACAGCTGTCGTTTAAAATTTTACCGTTACCTAATAGTCTACGACTACGTCATGGTGATCCAAGCTTGCGAAGCTGCAGGACCGCAAAATCTTTTAAGAGGGTCTCGCCGTCCGCAGTCGAAGAAAACCGAAAAGTGATCGGAATACCGCGAATTTACTCACTTTAAATTTAAGACTATTATTATGTTGCATGGGTGGTGCTCTTTTAAAGAAGATATATGAAGCGTTTAGTTATTTCAAAATTAATTACCGAGAATTACCGTTGTATTTTTGCATATTGTGTTTGGTTTTGTCAAATCAAACTAGACACTGTGGTTTACCGTTGTGGTGGGCAAGGAAGAATACGTTTCCTCTCAGTTTTACTCTGTCACCTTTCTTGTGACACTCATTTTATTACGAATTGTTGAGTAGCCTAATTTAAAAGCTTGCAGCGTGAGAAGGCCTAGTGCTATAGTCAAATAACAACCAAGTCCGTCTAAGTTGGGATTTCGGGACCTAGGTGAAAAAAATGAATTGTTCGCTAAGTCAACTCTGCGTTTTGGCACTACTGTCACATGGCTCACGTTTGAAAATAGAAGAGTGTTTTTACTGGAATAAAGGCCTCAAACGTCTCTTAACATAAGACTTGTCGCGAGCTCAAAGGTGCAAGTTGAGATGAGAAGCGTGACTCATCTAACCGGCTTGGTCCTATCTGCACACGACAATCCATTCTCCTTGTACCGATGACAGCTTACAGGACGCCATTCCCATATTGATATCGTCTTGACGTTTATAAATACAGCATTGTAATTACGTGATTTTAACAAATATCAGGGTGTGGACCACCTTGGTCAACCTCATCAACAAACTCCCGACTTCGCTGACCACTAGATCGTTGAAATGTGATAGCGGAACCGTCACATAGTGCGATATCCAATGAGGTGTCTAATAAAAAAGCTTCAGTGTTTATTTTTAATAAAGAAGGTTAATATGATACTCAAAGAGAAAAAATAAGCGAACATTCTGAAGTCTGACGAACTCGTAATATTTTAACAAACACCATTAAAAATACTGCTATGAAAATTTCTGTGGTGCCCCTGTTTGCTTGGTGCCCTAAGCACGTGCTTATATTGTTTAATGCAGTGTTTCCCAAACTTTTTTCTGCCAGCGCCCCCTTGGATGACTTTTTAACTAGTAAACGCCCCCTGACAAAAAAAAGTTTAGTTAAGCAACTTTTCTCCATTTATTATTAGTATAATGTGAAGATTGAGCCTAGTGAAATACCACTAGTTTGATAATATCTGGCTTCATTTCAGTCAAAAACAAGTCTTGAGTCTCCTCGTCTGACACTGTCGAGGAAATCTCTCTTGATATGTAAAAGTGCGGTCACTGCACTAAACACACGCTCTACCAATAATGAGCTGGCAAGTGCAAGAAAAAAATATTTAACCCGATCTCACAGGCGAGGATATTTCAATTTGATTGTGTTTCCAAAAAGATGGAATACTGAAAGACTGAACGTGGGTTTAAAGTATAAACCCAATGATAGTGGTGCATGTTCGCTTCCAAAAGTTCGGGGTTATCTAGAAAATGGAAACCAAAAATGTCTTAACTATCTTCAAAAAAATTATTTATTTGCGCTTGAACTTCTGTTTGCGTATGATTTTCTCAGAAGTTTTGCAAAATTTTCAACCACTTAGTTTTCTGCTGAAGCGCGGGGCATGGAAATGAAAGAGTTCAAACGGTGAATACAGAACATTATGTAGTTGTGTCAAGAAAAATCTGGACATCACTTGAGGGATTGATAGAGGTGACCAGCAATGGTTCCAGCATAACGAGGCGACGCCCCATACATAAAATCAGACGCTTGCTTTCCTGAGAGAAAAGACAGCAGTGACATCCAGTGGGCACCCCAATTATCGAATTGAAACCTTTTGATATGTAGGGTGTTCGAGGGACCTTTGTATCAGGACAATCCTCAAACGAGTAGTGAACTCAAGGCTGCAATCGCAGAAATAAAATAAATGCCCAAAGAAGAGTGATTGACAATGTTGCAAAAAGAATGAAATTCTTTCTTCAATACCGATGAGGGCATTTGGAACATATATATTCTAGGAACAACATATTTTTGTGCAAAACGTCCTAGATTTTCCGACAATTTCGGGTACAAACATACACAAACATTGGTTCAAGTGTAGACAAAAATGAATAATTACTTTATTTTTGTAGAAGTAATCGAGAATTTGATGGCTAAGTTTTTTTGAGACCTCGATGTATAATACAGTTTTTGATATAAATCAGTTTAAATATGCTGCTTCAGTCACTGTATTCGATATTTTGAACTTACGCAACACAAATGATACACCGACATCAAACAATTTCAGTCACAACATGATTTAACAACTGGCTAGGTCTTTGCCGTTTGCCAAATTATGTTTTACTTATGTAGCCTTATTATTCAATGACTCAAGAAATATAAATGAATCTGTTAAGTCGCAACATGAAGATGGTCCTATTTGGCGTGCGTCAGTTCAATCAGATGCCCAGCTCTCAAGTGTTGCTCTTAACAAAACCAAAATTATAATATGAAGGATGCTGTACCTACACTGCCGCTTCGAAACACTATAGAACACGATAGTAAAATGAAGCTGTTATTCAAAACAGTACAACAAAACTTGCAGTGCATGGTGAAGGAAGCGTATGCCGTATGCGCTAGGCTAGACTAGTATAGTTATGAGACAAAACGGATCTGAAAAAAAGTCATAATATCTGTTCTACGTTAAGCGAGAAATTTCCAACACCGAAATCACAAGCAAACTATTTTGAACCAAAACATAGGAGTCAATTACATAAACTATCACACTTCTTTTGAGTTTCCGTATTGATGTCAGCGCCCCCCAATTGCCCAGTTTAACATCCAGCGCCCCCCAATTGCCCAAATCGCCATCAGCGCCCCCCCCCCCCCTCAAGTTATTGCAAACGCTGGTTTAATGGGTAATTCTAGTTCTATCACGAGTTCGGGGACTGTCTGTGATAACCAAGTGAATATCCTTCTGCCCATAGGCTTCAGTCCCTTTACACAACTTGATGGAAAGTAGGCGAAAAAAATTAGTTCTCTCCATATTGGTACACACGCTTCTGCATCGCCGCTATAAGAATGGTCCCGGCTGATGGGCATGGAGATTCTTTTTGTTCATAGCTTCCAACCTCATTCGACTTGTCATGAGAAATGCAAGGTGAAGTACGACAAGATGGGGGATTGCGTGTTTAAAGCTACTTGATGGATCTCTCAAAGCACAAATGACCTTTATTGCCACACTATTTCGGGCCAGTTAAGTAGCATGTATTTAAATGATAACACAACAGAATATGATGTAGCATGTGTATAGTGGCCCATCGTTGTCACGCGTAAAATTGAAAATAAAAATAAAAATAAAATAAAAAAACGAAAATAAAAAAATAGTTGTGAAAAATCATAAAAATAATTGAAAAAAAAAATTAAAATTAAAAAAAAAAATTGAAAAAAAAAATGAAAAAAAAAAAAAAAAAAAATTAAAAAAAAAAAATTAAAAAAAAAAAATTTAAAAAAAAAAATAAAATAAAAATTGAATAAAAAGAAAATGAAAAAAGGCTGACAACGATGGTCCGCCTCGTGGCCCATCGTTGTCACGCGTTTTTATTTTTAGAAAATTTGCTTCTGCTTGGGACCAACGTTGTCAGGCATAATCCTACGCGCACAAATGTGTTCCCTGGGTTTCCAACTCTACTGATTTTTTTGAGCAAAATTCAATATGAAAATGTTCTATAAATTCTCCATGCTACAATGCTACAAGTTCAACAAGAAGTAATATATTTATAATAATGATAAGAGAATATAGAATTGAATATGAAAATTCGGAAAATTTGTTTTTACGTGTAGAAGATAATTTAATTGGAGAATGCTGCTTAACTATTCAGTTGTCTGGACACTCGCGATGCCGGTACCGTACCGTCTTACCAAATACCGATAGTCGGTTATAGTCGCTTTGCGTCTGACCGTACCGGTAGCCATGCAATCACTCATGAAAGAATGGGAGATACGGATAGTCTCGTAGAATATAGACTACTGAAACACTCTCTGTGCCTGCCTCATACCGTACAGCCGTAACGTACCGATCCAGACAAATGATAAATCGCCCGTGCTCAACCATTTATTTCAATACATACCTCGATCCTAGTAGAATATAGTGAGTCGAGGTATGGATTGAAATAAATGGTTGAGCACGGGCGATTCATCATTTGTCTGGATCGGTACGTTACGGCTGTACGGCATGGGGCAGGCGCAGAGAGTGTTTCAGTAGTCTATATTCTACGAGACTATCCGTATCTCCCATTCTTTCATGAGTGATTGCATGGGTACCGGTACGGTCAGACGGTACCGTACCGGCATCGCACGAGTGTCCAAACAACTGAGCAGTTAAGCAGCATTTTCCAATTAAATTACCTTCTACACGTAAAAACAAATTTTCGTATTCAATTCTATATTCTCTTATCATTGTTATAAATATATTGCTTGTGGTTGAACTTGTAGCATGGAGAATTTATAGAACATTTTCATGTTGAATTTATTGAATATTGCTCATGAAAATCAGTAGTGAGTTAGAAACCCAGGAAACACATTTGTGCGTGTAGGATTAAGCCTGACAACGTTGGTCCCAAGCAGCATCAAATTTTCTAAAAAAAAAAACGCGTGACAACGATGGGCCACGAGGCGGACCATCGTTGTCAACCTTTTTATTTTCTTTTTATCCAATTTTTTTTTTTAATTTTTTTTTTTTTGTTTTTTTTTTTGTTTTTTTTTTTCGTTTTTTTTTTAATTTTTTTTTTTTATTTCAATTTTTTCTTTCATTTCTTTTTTTTCAATTATTTTTATGTTTTTTCACAACTATTTTTTTATTTTCGCTTTTTCATTTTATTTTTTCATTTTTTTTTTAAATTTTACGCGTGACAACGATGGGCCACCATACATGTGCCCATTTCTTTGTCATTCATATTTATTTTGGGAAGTGTGAGATTTCAATAGTCGAATTCTAGAAAGCAGTGTATTTGTTCCTGTATGCATCTGACTCACTAAATCAAGTTGGGATTAGCCACGCGAAATGTATCTTTTGGGCGATAAACCTTGTCGTATATTTTTACCATTTTTTCTACATTCAAATAAATTTAAAAAAAGAATGCTAGTGTCAATGGAAGCAAAACAACGGATATTTTTTAAAATGTCTATGTCCATAAGTTTGTTTCAATTCAAATCGTTTTAATGCGATCAGGAGTAAATAAAATGTTTATGGATTAGTTAGCGGGTGTTAGAAAAGATTAGAATCACAAACTAATATAATTATAAAATCTCCTGTATTCATATTGATACTGTATAAGAGCACGGCTATCGAAATTGTCGGAGTACGGCCATTACAGAAAATGAATCGAACAGCCACGCAAACAAAACTTCAAATGCATTAACCAAATATTTTCCGCAGTGAGAAATAGGGTAAGCTTGTTGATTTGAATTTGGCACCCGTGTAGATTTCGTTCCACATCAAGTATTTTAAGACGTAGGCTACTATTTACTACTAACAACGTAACACACGGTATATAAAAAGGCTTCGGTTATTTGCTTCAGCTAGTCTGCAGTATCGACCCGTAACATTGTTGACACTGGGGGTTACTTAAACATTGGTATTGTTTGGTTGAAGATTAACTTGGCACTCAATCAATAGCAAGATTAGTATATATATATATATATGAGTGATCATAGTTGCAAAGCATTGCAGATATCAGTCATCAAAATGAAGGTGATATATGCTGGATACCCCAAAACGGGGACCAAGACAATCACTGCGGCTTTGCGAATATTGGGATTCAGTGTATACGATTTTATGGAAAACACTACAATTTTGGGCAAAGACTGGGTAAAGATTTTTAGAGATGGATGGACCACTGAAGATTTTAAAAGAATGTACGAAAACGTAGACGCGGTTTCTGACTTGCCACCGTGCTACTTCTGGGAAGAAATTCACAAAGCTTTTCCGGAAGCAAAGGTGATCTAACAATGATTTTCAGTATTTCTGTAATTTAGAATTAAGATGGAAGCTACTACCCTTTTGGTGATAATTTAGCCCTGTCATATTGTGTGTAGATACATATGTATAGACGGTGGTGTTTTGTCAAATCTCACATTACTTATCAATGCCGGTGGCTTTTTCTACTATACTGCGCAATTGCTTAGAACGTGGGGAGCGCAATCGCACGGGAGTTTTTCCTCAAATCTCACAATTTTGCTATAGTGGAGGGGGCTTCCTACAAAAGATCCCACTTTCTTTTTTATCTGATGAAAAGATTGCCTTGATTCACAATACATATCATTTTAATAAAATTCGGTACCACTATAGCATGGGGTCTACCAAACCATAGCGTGAGATCTACCGCAACCTAGTACTGTAGTGTGAGGTCTATGTTAGGGTGAGTGTAAAACTCCTTCTTGAACATTGTTCGGCGCTCCAGAAGTGTGTGTACAAATATGGAGGTAACTAATTTTGTTCGTCCACTCTACATCAAGTTGTGTGAAGGACTGAAATCTATGTATATTCACTTGGCTAACACAGACAATTCCCAAACTCGTAATAGAACTAAAATAAGGAAAATAGGAATAAAATTATGGCCTAGCTCTAACCTGGTACACATACTACGGAAGTACCAATTGAACATTGGTACTAATCTATGTTACCTGGTTTTAACTGGGGAACAAAGTAGACTACATATGGTGGCACGTCATAATGCACCTCAAATTCCTTATCGTAAGCTATATATATTGAAAAAAAGATATTTATATCAGTCAGCGTTTCATATATATACTCATGCTTTATGAACTTGCACTGGCATCAATATATTCAAAATTCAAAATGGTTAGGTAACCTGTAAAATGGTAATATTTGCAGATCATTTTGACTACCAGAGATGAAGAGTCATGGTATAGAAGTTTAGTCAAGCAGATGAGATCAAATGAATCCAGCTGGACTCTGAAGATATTATCAATTCTATCACCGACTGGTCGTTTGTCATTTAAGATACTCCTTGGTTCTATAATAGGTAAGAAATTACAAAAACATTTTTATTACTTCTTTCAGCTTTGCGGTTGCAAATAATAAATATATTACTGTACCGTGATAATTGTTTTAAAATGACGGTAACTTAACGTTTGCTGATAGGAACTCCTCAAATTATTCGTTCAGTCATCCTTTTTAAAAGGTTTTTAATGGTAGACAAAATGAATAAAGACAGTTTTTTTTAAGACTGAAAAAGTCATGAGCTTCATTTATTTTCCTTTGCATGTTCAAAATAGCGATGACATTTGATAATCATTAAAAACGTTTAGTAGTGAAAAACTACTTCCCTCAGTGTTATCTCTTGGATATGATTATTGTTGAATCAAATTGATATTTTTCAGGTCTTCAGGCATTGGGTATAAAAGATTCATTGCTCTGGAAACCCTTTAAACGATTTGCTCTCAATGAACAACTCTTCAAATTGAAATTTAGAATGCATAACGCATACGTACTCCAGGTAAACACACGCTTGACTTAGCTGTGTAATTCGAGGGTTTGCGAATTTCGTGCGTCGTGTAATTCCTTTCTCAGTACACAAGTTTGTTTTTCTTTCTTATGATTCCGAATTTTTCGATCCTAGAGTCAATTTAAACATGGATTCTAAACAATATCGGGACGCAGTCGACGACAAACAATAGTCGCAATATTCATTATTTCCTGACTTAATATATATATATAAACACGATAGCCAAATTTGTCCATGAAACAATACATCTTTCTTCGTGGCCATAACCTAAATGCACTGACATATCAGCATAAAACTTATTTGATTTTTTTTTCAGAACGCACCTCCCGAAAAGCTTCTGGTTTACAATTATAATCAGGGATGGGAACCTTTATGCGAATTTTTGGGCGTTCCTGTACCAGACGTGCCGTTTCCTCACAAGAATAAAGGCGCTGATATTGTGGCCGAATATCTTGCCACTGATCCGATCATGAACAAAATCAAAAGAGAAGCGATGTTGTCAATGACCATCATTTCTATACTTGGATGCATCGGGGGATTCTTTCTGGTCAGAAAATGGCCGAAAATATGTGGAGTCTCTTAAACTACGCTGCCGAACAATTAGTTTTATTTGTTGGATAAATCGAGACTATAATAACCTATTAACTACAATCCGAGTAATTAGTCGAAGACCACATATTTTTAACTAAATGTTGTTTGTATATACTGTACGTATTTTATGGATACGTTTCTTTCTAAAAGCATCATTGAATAATGACTCGACAAAAGGACGTGTACTCGAGTCCTAAAATAAGTGAATGCGACTCTCAAGTAGTTAGCGATCCGGTTCGATGAATGTAGTTGAGCTTATTCAACGGATTTTAGTCTCATCATGTTTTTCCGATAATCCAGTTTAGTGTTAGCGTGATTTATGTTACGAGTGCTTCTATAAATTCCCAATACGAAACATAATTCTATCCATTCCGCTACGAATTAAAATTTATAGCTATATGTGCCACAAAAAGTGTGTTTATCCAGGCAACCAACTCTTATCAGACCTATGACGACGAAAAGTTCATCAATCCTCGCGCACACAGTTATCCCTCACGGAGTCACGGGATTCAAACCAGAACATGCAAACAAGAGGTGGAATGGGCAAGCGCAGGGGGTCGACTCCCACCCACTTTTGGAATGTGAAAGAAAAAAATGACGACTAATAGGCGCGATTAAGCGCATAAAACTTTATGGCTCCGTCTCCAGATGCCGTAAAGTAGAAGCGAAGTGATTGCGACCGATTAAGGCGATTTATTCAGTCCACAATTTCCACTTGAAGACCTGGTTCTTGGCGAATCCTGACATATTCAGTTTCGCTTTCTAAAAACATTCTGTATCACACATAGGAATTTTCCGTAGCTTGGAACGCTTTTTAGAACATCAATTCACTTGAAAACTCGCGTTTTGCGGCCACCGGTCAGACCACCAGGCTGTTACAGTCTAACTTGGCAATTGCAAATTTCAGGGTGCTCCCGTAGCATGTGTACCAAGATGACACACTATCTGAACATAGCATGTGTACTATGTTAGGGTTATCAGGTTGTGCGGCATCTTGGTACACACACCACGGAAGCGCCAATTTCAGCCTCCCCCCACCATTTGAAAATTCCTGACTACGTATCTGTCCGGTCATTGTCGTGATTACCAATAAATTGGCGGTGGTTATTTCCAAAGGTATGGTAAGCAGCGGCGCGATGACAAGTGTATTCCGAAGCATAACTCTTGTCTACCAGTCACCTACTCACAGCGAAACAAAATTGCAAGTATATATAATAAACAAGAAGAACGACGATGTATATTAAAGAATTCAAAAAAAAGAAGAAGAAACGCACTGTAATAGACAGATGATAAACAAACCAGCTAGAAAATATCCAGATACAATGTGCTAGTCATCGGTAGGGAGTACGAGATCAACAAGGAAGTTCCTGCTTCTGATTCAATAGAAGTGGTTATAGGATATAAATTCAATTAAACAGGGTTTCGAAAAAAAATGCGGTGTCCCACTGGTTCCCTCTTTACCACACTTGTCTCACTGTTTTGAGTTATGATAGATTTATATTGCGGGAAAGTTGTTTGAAAGTAAGCACATGAAGTGAAATGCATGTTAGAATTGATTTAATACTTTGGCCGAAGATCTTAAGAGTATTTATATGAAAAGGGAAATCATGTTATGTTGTGGGTTAGGATAGATATAATACTTTGCAGAAGGCTAGGGTTCATACAATTGGACCACAGGACCATTTTCGACACACCTTCAAGTAAATGATGAAACAGTGGGAAGTAACTACCTATTTATCACCACAAAATGGCAGAAGAAAGGAGACTGTTACTACTGTTGATTTTCTTGAGATGGAGATCAAATAGAGGCATATGCAAACATATATGTAATTTAAATCTCAACCACTGTTCCATAGGCTCGTAACCTGCATACAGCTGGCAGATAGAAAGGGTCTAACAAGCCAACAATATATTTATCTGGAAGTAATTTAGGAGACATGAACATTTTCTGGTGAGTACACGTTGCGGCAATTCGAAAGAAAAAAAATTTAATCAACAAAAAATCCCATCAATACAATTGAGCATTCCAGGTTGCATTAGAAGTTAGCTATCTCGTATTTCAGAAAAACCTCAAGGTTAGCACATGTCGTGGTGCCCATGTTCACATTATGTGTTTTCTATTTTATGTTGCAGAGAACAAAATGAACTGGCGATCTTTATAATCTTAACAGCATTATGCCACAATTATAAAACTTGAAAATTAAAAAAAAAGAAAGGAAACGGCTTAGCTACAGTATTCAGGGCAGTGCTGATATCAGTACAGTTACAAAAAAAACTGGATTGTGGATTACCAATATGTTCTTTCTTAAGACAAGTATGAAATTGAATGAAAAGTGGGTTCCATTTCGAGTATATCTGAGTTTGCACCATTGCGCCACCATTTGCAACATTGTGGCCCGAAAGATTTGAATTCAGACAAGCCTTTAAGTTTGATCCGTGGGGTATATCTTGATCCGGCGGTCGAGTCAACGCGTTTCAGTTTTATTTATAAGATGGTCACGCGTCACCTTTGGCAGCTTTCTCTGGTATGTTCTTTTCATCTTCGGACTCTCGTTTCCTTTTCGCGCCGCGGGGAGGGGGAGTGGCTACCACTGAAACTGAAAATAAAAGAACAGATTGCATTAGATTAGACAAAATTATTGGCATCGTCATTGGAACTGTGGAGAATCCTCTTTTACAGTGTACAAAAAGGTATAGGGGCAGCCAAAAAAGTATTGCTTAGTAAAATGAAATGCATTTAGGTGAAATGGACCTCCAGAAGTATGTGCACTAAGATGGCGCACAACCTGAACATAGTAGTTGTACCAGGTTAGGGTTCAGGTTGTGTGCCATCTTGGTGCACATACTTCGGAAGCGCCGGTGAAATTGTGACTTTGATAATCCAAAATTATGCTTGACGATTGTGATATCCTGGAGAGGAAATCATTTTCCATTGAAAAATATATGTCAAATTCTAAAAAGGATTCCACTGAACTGTGCATTCTTTTAAAACTAATAAATAGTATCAAACTGGAGGACCAAAAAAACAACAGGATGCGTGAATTTCATACAGTATTTCGTTTCAACTGAATTACAGAAACGTTCAAACTTTCAATTTTTTCAACTTTACAAACCTTCTCTAGATTCATCAAAGTCAATATCGGCATCTTCATCATCGTCTTCTTCCTCAACTTCATTTTCATTATAATCATCATCTTCCTCTTCTTCATCATCCTGAGAAATTTAATGAGAGAATGCTTCATTTTTATCAAAATTGACAATAACGAAAAATAAAAGAGAAGAGAAAGTCAGAATTTCAGTCTTTCAATAACGATGAAGAAAGTCATGATTTTATAGAGAAATTCAAAAAGGATCAAGTTTACCAAGCGTTCTTACCACTCTATTGAAGAAGGCTTGCAATCGCTAAAATTTTTGTTATTAAAACTTCCTTTCCCAGAGATTATTCTACAACTTTGGTGTCTGGCGTCAATTTTTGTTAGGCGCTCCAGAAGTATGTGTACTAATACAGAGGTAACTGATTGTTCGCCTACTTTACATCAAGTTATGTGAAAGGACTGAAGCTTATGGACAGGGGGTATAATATTCACATGGCTGACACAAACAGTCCCGTAATAGAACTAAAATAAGGAAAATTGAAATAAAATTATGGCCTAAATCTAACATGGTACACATACTACGGGAGTACCTTTTTAATTCATTATTTTATCAGACTGTTTATAACAAGAGCCTCAGGAGACGATTAGTGTAAATAATGACTTAAACAACACCAAAAATATTTTCTGAATGTGATTAAACTAAGTTGCTCACTTTTATATCATTCTGATACAGATAATCTAATCCAACTTCTTCTTCATTATCATCCTCATCATCGTCGTCATCCTCCTCCTCCTCATCATCTTCCTCTGCATTATCTTCATTTTTCGATTGTGGCACATTTTCCTCCTGATCAATGATCTCGGTAATTGAAACATCGTTGGATAATTCTTCATCATCCTCCTCTTCTTCTTCCTCCTCTTCGTCGTCATCATCACCATCTTCCTCATCCGCTAAAGCATCTCCGTTTTCAATGATTTCTGCATCCTCTTCATCTTCTTCCTCATCTTCATCAACAAGATCATCTTCATCTTTACTTTCATCCAACCCTTCATAATAGCAATATTAAATGAAACTACTGACACAAAATTGCAGAATGGTTTTGGGGTCCGAACCAGATAAACTCTACTTCATAAATCATAGAAACATGACAAGACAGGTAAAGATTATCAAAAGTACAAGCAATATAAAATTTTAATTGGATGTTTGCTAATATGAAACTATAAATTAGATGACCCATATTTAGCTGAGCATTTGGAACCAATTTTAATTGTGAAAAGTTTAGAAATACCAATATACCTTCGTCGCCACTTTCTTCGACATCACCTGAAATAATAAACAAAAACTTATTATACGATATTGGAAGCTGAATTCTACAAATAGAGTTTAACAAATTGTTGCATCGTTTGGAAGATAAAAGTTTTACAAAATTACAATATAGAAGTAATACAGTAGTCACCTGACATGACTGAGAATCCACTGTGTTTTAATATTTACGGAGAAAACGGGTCGCAATTACAGCGTGAAATCTACCTTAAGTTAGCACTATAGCATGAGGGGTCTGATTGGGTTGGGGTAAATTTTCTTCTGCCAGGTTGGTAGACCTTGTGCTATTCCAAAAATAGAAATTGCATCGTACCTTCATCTTCCGAATCTACAGCTTCCTTGTCAAACTTATCAAATCCATCGAGATATTTTAAATCGGGGATCAACTCAAAAACTTTTTCTCTGTAATTGTCCTCATTTGTAACATCACAATTGAACAAATCAAGTGTTCTCAAGTTTTCTAAACTAGCCTGAAAATGAAACACCATAACTCTGATTGTAGAACACAAAACACTAAGAATATCAAGATACAAGCAATGCATTTTATTAATTTTATCTTCAGCACTAGAGACTTAGACGTACTATATATATTTATTTGGATAACATAACCGGGGACGATTAGTAAATGAATTTGAACAGAACTACAAATTAAAACTATAATAAGTATATCAGAATTGCTTGGTCGTTTTATCAGTATACTCTCACAAGTTTACTTCATTAAAGTAAATTAAGATTAAATGGAAATCAAAATTAGAATTTTTGTGGGCTGGATGGCCTACCAGTTTGGGCGTTAGATTTGACATTGTTGGCAAATCAGGTTACAAATTTCAGCTTCAAATTCCAAGCCCACCACCTCACCCATGGTATAATTAGGTAGGCAATTGCAAACCGGATTCCGGTCAATCCAAAATTCCTCACATATAGTTGTTCGGCGTGAAGAAGTGTTGTATCAAAAGGGACATAAAACATATGGTCAAATTGTATGTTTAGATCCTTGTTTCAAGAAAAGGTTTGAGACATACAAAGATTCACTTACCAGTGGCTCTAATGTTTCAATCGTTTTTATTTTATTTCCGCTGAGATTTAAATGTGTCAATGACTCGCAGCCTTTCAACATTCCAAGAGCACCCGATATTCTGTTATCACTGAGTTCCAACTAGAACAGAGGAATATAATTTGAAGTGTTTTAAAGTTCAGCATTGATTTTATGGTAAATAGATAACCAATACGGTCCTATGCTTTTGACTGCTCGTAAATATCAGATAGATTATGCTCTGTATGTAATCGATTAGTTCGAGAGGGATATAATGTGTAATAAAGAAATATGAACAAAGGATGGGTGTGACAACTATCATGGGATCACAGGTCAAAATCTCTGATTCGAATCTCAGCTTCTTACTATTAATCAGTAACCGCTTGTGCGAAGCTTTGTTTGGAGCAAAAGAAGTATAAACATACAGCAATAAAAGAGTAGTTCAACTTAATGATATGCTTATTTATAACATAAAAAGTTTTACCTTTTTCAATTTTGGTAATGCTGGAAAGCCTTTTAAAGTTGTGAGACCAACATTATTCATAGATAATACTTCCAATCCAACAAATTCATCAGTTAACCCTTCAACTTCACCAGTTGTTCTTCTGTTGTCAAGATTCAGCTCTTTGATCTGTAAAAATTTTATAGATCAAATATTCATGTCAAATAGAATTTTCATTATATATATAAAATGCTGCTATAACATGTTTAATACTCTATAGGTAATCTAATCAAATCGACTCCAGTCTATTTATTTGAACATATGTACATTTATGACATAATTAAACTATTTTTACCCAGTTGGTCATTAGCGATTTTGAATAATGTGACTATTATATATATAAATAATGTAAATGGTCCAAGTCAACAACATACTGACATTTCATTAACACTTCTCCAAGTTTCAGATAGTAATAGAGGCTATTATTATTTGTGGATTATTATAACTGGCGCTTTTTTATGCAGCATGGCCATAGGATTTCTCGTTAAATATTTAAATGCATCTTCCCGCGATAAGGACGTATTCTCTGACATTAAAAATAATTCTAGGATTTTTTACAAATTGATAATATTTTCGGGCGATATATTCAGTTCTCTGCAATGATTAAGTTATGGTGCGGACAAAAAATTAGAACCTCCAATACCGGTCTGATTTAAAACCGGTCGCACCTTAGTTCGAGGCGCTAATTCTTACATTTACATTTTTTTTGCATCTATATCTAGTCGAGCGCGAAATAACCGACGGGAGCCCGCAGCGAAGCCATCGCTTAGGAATAATAATAATAAAAAAACGCATCGAGTCCCACAATTATCAGAAATACAGGTTGCGTCATCAGAAGCGTGAGAGAAAAAATATAAATCAATGAACAAATCCGCGAACGAACAACAGCAATGAAAGCCAGACGATATGCTTTAGAAATGCCGCAAAACAAATTCTTCCCGATTCATGATGTCGTTATCGTAAATGTAAACTACGACGGAAAGACGACGAATATTCCATGCAAAATAGTTTGCTCTTATCTCAGGGCTGGGATATTTCTTGTATTTTAACATTATCGTCCCAAAATTGAAAGTTGAGTAATCATTTTTTAATCAGTAATCGCGGGGATAATACGCTATACAATGAACCATGGTCATAAAACGTTAAAATTACGCCAAACGAATAAATGTCTTGAATATTTCCACCATCAATATCTAATTAAACAAAACTCTTAGTGAAACACAGGAAATGCCAACAAACTTGAGCTAACAAGAAGGCACACTGCGCATGCGCCAGACACCAGCGCAGTTGTTTTCATCGGCACAGGCCATTCGTATTCGATCAGACGTTGTCGAAAGGACGGACTATATTTGTGAAGTTGGCTGCGAAAATGTTCTGATTTGTGAAGAATAGATTAGCAAATTTAAAGAGTTTTCATTGAATATCGTACCACGAAAGTAAAGAATAACCTATATGGCGTTATTGATATTCATTGCAAAAAGAAAGCACATCTCCAGGCGGAAGAAAACATGTCGCTTTTGAAACGCACTTTATTGAGAAGTTGAACAGACATCGGTTGAGCATAATGGCGGCACCATGACTTCAGACGATGCTATCGCGCAGCGACTGGCGGGCGTTCAAAATCATAAAATCGCCGAGTAATACAGGACAGTGCATATTTAAATGCATTTGTAATAATGTATTCGAGATGTGGTATAATCGTTTCAACATAAGAAACGGAGGAATGCTTTTAAAATGTGACAAAGAACTGTATGCGTAGCTGAGGCGCAGTGCAAATCCGAATATCGACAACAGCCATAGTCACGTGACCATCAATATAATGAAGAAACAAGAGGAGCGAAATAAGCGAGACGAGAACGCTGCAGCGATTTCAAATAACTTCGGGAGAGCACTACGAAGATATCTTGTTTACGTCCGTCTGTATCGAGGCCTTTACAAATTTTGATCCTCGAAGGCGCGATACCGCGCAAATAGCAAAGACTAATGAACTTGGCTCCACTATACTAAAGCAATGATACACACATCATTGGATAATTTCAGCGGAAACTAACTTTATATTTCGTAAAAACGAACACAAATTTTTGCTCAATACCACAGACAGACGGAAGAGGAAATTATTTTAAAAAATACTACAATCAGACATTGCCTCATTAAAATTATCAACCTTGCAGTTGTACTAGTTTTACCTGCTTATATAATAAGTTATAACTCTTGAAGGCTATTTATTTGGAGCAGTACCATACCATTGAATCACTAATTGTGCTAAATCTGTAAATACTGAAACAGACTTGTATTAAAGTTCACATATAGGAAAAATTTGTCTATGTTAGCATGCTAACAGATGCTCTAATAAAAAAAAGTTTATGCACTAAAGCTCACCTGTTCGGGCTTCTTTCCTCTGCATTCCAGTTGTATCCTTTTTAGCATTATGCTTTTACCAATGGCGATTGTCAGATTGTAGGGATATCAAAATAACTTTCAGACTTATGGCAGTATGGATCCTGCGTCAAATAACACTCCTTGTGACAACCTACAGCTTAACGTACTTTTCTAATGTCAGATAAGATGCGTAATTACATAAATAGCGAAGAAACCACACTTCTTGTACAAAACACCCAAGCAATGGGCACACAAGACTTTTTATACAACGGTACTGGTCTTCTACAGCGCTTCGACTTTTCTTTACGCGCAATATCGATGCGCGTGTGTGTATCGCGCTCTCTCGTCCAGCGAGTGCACACGCATGAGCGATCATGTTAACAATGAAAAGGCAGCCAGAGATCGATCAAGCGTATGTAGTACCTCAGCAGCTCGCGCGAGAATGTAACATTGCAAATATTATTTATCAATTTTGATACCTTCGGCGCTTCCTGCTCCACATCACTTGTTTAAATACCCATGTTCTATTACAATAATAAGTCATTGTTGGTATATATAAGACACTGCTGTTGACTAATGGCTGCAATGACGGATTTTTCATGCACCATTGGGGTCTTGCGCTGGTAAAACATCAAAGCTAAATTCACGTGGGCTATAAAATTTAAAAATACGCCGCCGTCGTGCTTTCCAGCTTCTGAGAACCTGACCTTGAAATATAGGAAAAATAATTTGATATTTTTTCGAAATGTGCATTAAAATTTGAGCACATACAAAGCAGTTGATCTTGCCGCTGAGCTTGTTTTAGATAATTTGGTGAGTTACTTAGGCATCTGCGCGTTACATATTGACTCAAATTATCTCGTATATTGTGATCATTAAAAACCAAATTTTCAAATATGATTTTTTAGATTGAAAAAGCTGTAGCAAGCAATTCAGCTAATGTCGAAATCAGGGATACGCCGTCAAACTGAAATATATACAGTACTTTAAAATGAAATCACACAGTGACACAGGTATACGAAACTGCGTGCTACATAACGGCAAACGTTTTTTTTTTAGAATCTCACACAGAGTTGCTTTTTTTCTAAAAAGGAATTTATTTTCGAAACTGTGTTAAAAATTTCCACATCAAAATTCGCTGGTCTTGGTAGATCTTTAGAAGAGCGAAAACAAAATTAACTGAAGAAACTCATTGTAAATAATGTTGCTGCATATCCGACAATGTTGCTCCATCACAACCAATTAGGAGAGTGATAAATGTTAGTTAGTGATAAGGTAGCCCAGTGTCGAAAATGGTTGCCAGCTGGCCACAAACAGTGGAATAGTTTGTTTCGAAAGCCCTGCACTCTGGCTGCCAGCTGGTCACAAACGGTGGAATCGTCTGCCTGGCAAGCCTCATCTAAAATTTGTCCAATAAATTGATATTTTGCTTTTAAAATTAAAAGAGGAAAGTTACCTCGGAATGCTGCAATTGCACAAGTTCCGGATGAAAATGTTTGGTAAAATCTTAATGGACAGATAGCTTTAGCGGCATATTCGATGTTAGAGATCTAATACAGCCAGACACCAGTGAGGGAATTATCATAGAGTGTTGTATGACTTCCTCTAACGATTTCATCAATGTCATCCAATATCCAAACGACAAAATGGATGGCTAATCTCCAATCCTGATAGGGCCGAGCCATGCGCACAGAATCATCGGGCAACATTTCCTGTTAAACATCATATCATTATGAGGTCACAGAAATTACTTTAGAAATATAGCAGGCTAGATTGGCGAGCACCCCACCCCGAGGTTAGCAGTTCTGGGATGGCAGTGTTGGCGAGAATATTACTAGCCTTGATCCCAGTAAAATGTGTTGCAGCTGCCATCGTTTTTAACAAGTGAGTACAGTTAGAACACTTCGTGAATAAATATTTGTGAGAAGTGTGTTGACGATGAATAGAGATAGCGAGCACTTTCACGCCGGGACGAGAATATTCTGACCAGTCACGCCTCAGTAATCCCTGGGAGCAGATGAGTCGGCGTAGGACTACCGTAGAACTGACATCATATACTTTTCTGAACGATAAAGTGATATTATAGTAGAATGTGAACACTGAAATAAAATACTACACGAAAGTATCTTGTGATTAGCAATCTAGGTGTAGGGCTGGTTAACTGCACCTTCCTAGAATATAGACTGTGATGAATTGAAACACGAAACCGTATGTCTCTCACAGAGGTATATCACCTCTCGTATTCACAGATAATTTGATGAAATAATTTCCAAATTCGGACATAATAAACGCAGTAGAAATTTAAATCCTGTATAAATTTGATTTTGAAATTATTATATCTATCCCAATGGTGACTTAAATGGACCTGATATGTTCCAACGTCAGAAATATGACATAATGAAAGCAAGCCCGTATTACTATTCCGAGGGGAAATATATCAGAGTACTTTTTGTAGCGAAAACAATAAAAATATGAAGTATTTGAAAGCAGTTTAATTGCTGCTTGTGACCTCGTAAATTCTTTGTTTGTATCCAAGAAGCTTGGTATGTTATCATGATGTACAATACTTTCAAATTTAAAACTATAGAAAATTGTTGTTGAATGTTTATTCTATCTAAATGATAATATATTTATTGCTCTATATTCAGGGTTCAATCGTTGAAAAATTTAAAAATTTATTTGTAATCTTATGTCTATTTTATAGAGTATGCTGAGTTACATCTCCGACATGGCTGTCCAAGTACCTAAAATTCGGAAAAATGTCAAAGTAAAACAAATCGCTGGTATCTGTGGTGTTTTTGTTGCTCTATTTTTGTTGTCAGCAATAATTACTTCTGGTAAGTCACCATGGATTCATTTTTGAGTATTCAATGACCGTATTGGGCACTGATTTGCGACCGACGTGAAGTACATTAGTGCCGGGGTATAAATAAGCCCAGGGATAATCCCATATTTCTCGAAAATCAATTAGAATTTTTTAAGATAATGAAACGGTCAATCAATAATGCAACGATCACGATCACGCAAGAGTAACAGTAGTTAAAATGTGTTCATCTGGTAAAATATCGCACTGGGGTTGGGCTTAGGCAACATTACCAAAGCTGAATACCACAACGGGTAGGTTAATGAAATACTGCTGTATTAATTGGGTATAGTTGAATCGGTCGATCTCCAATCTCATACGTGTCCAGAGTTCTTGCTTTGAGTTTCGATATTTTTGCATTCAAATACAATAACTAAATGGGATGAAAAAATAACACATTGTTTCCAAATTCCAACTCACTATGAGTTATACCGAGAGGCTCAAGAATTACATATTATAAAAAACTCAAAATTATTTTTAAAAGTACGCATTTTGTACACACAGTGGACTCGATTAATATCATTGACCATCCCAATTACGACGAAGTCAATAAATGATAACTACATACGTATCGACGTTGTGTTCAGTCACAATTATATTATATGAGTACTATATAGTTGATATCAGAAATATCAATTTGGTGTTGTGTACAAATTGAGGGTAAATATTTAAGTGATAGTTGTAATATAAAAGTTGCGACACTTCGAAGGCACGCACATATAGATTCAACTCAAGCACCAAAACCGCAATCTTGCAATCGGAATATTGTGCCACTGAAAAGTCTCGTGAGGACGTGATTGCGGGAATATATATATATACAAACCATGTGTACTATCGCAAACTAGACATGCGGTCATGTGCTACTCTAATCTTGACCGAAATGATCAAATATTTAATTCTGAAGATCATTTTCGCAGACAACATTCAAGAAAAAAATTCGTTCAGCCAAAAACCTTTACAAAAGTACATTTTTGCGTAACTACTTTCTACATTTACTCTTTCAAAGAACTCACTTTCACCAGACGAAATTCACTAAAATAACTCAAAAGTCTTTCCGCAAAAGGCCGTTTGCCCACTTCTCCCGCCGTAACAGCGAAATAAGTATAACCCTGGACATTCATAAATATATTAAGGTTATATGGTTTTTTATTATTCATCCCGGAGTTTCTCTAATATTTGAACTTTACGCGCTTTGCCGTAAGCATACAGTGGTTTTAAAATAGCAAAGCGCAGGTAACATTTCCGGGCCCACTTGACAACAACATTATTCCAGCAGGTGTTAAATTGACTTACCTATTTTTTCAGCAATCCTGTACCTATTAAAAAAACCCACTATGGATATTCGAACCCGTAGAGTAGTCGGCTCGGTTAGAATTGAAGAAATTCGTGGGAAAAGCTTGGAATGGACCGAAGATATGCGAAATATATCATCTTCACCACTGAAGAAAACAATGGAGAAAGTTGTAGGTTCCTTCTTGGCATTCATATTCACTTGTTAGTAAAAATGATCAAAAATATTATTTAGAAAATTTGATGTGCTATAAAGTCAACGCAGACAGTTGAAGTCTGTAGGTACTGCCAATAGCAGATATATATATTTTTAATGTATGTGCAGCGATACTGGAATAACCATGTAGGCCTACGGTCAGGTATTTGGTCATCGTTCCCAACTTTCGAAATTACAATGTTTGTATATAAAACTAATCTCGGAATATGTAGAATTTAAATAAAGAATTTGTATAAATTGCAGAATTCACGGATATTTATGAAGAAATTATTGAGATATGGAATGCCATTTTAATATTTTAAAACACCAGAGCGATTTTAGGTTTTATAATATTGAATCATAATCACATCTCATGTACATTAGAACATTAGCAACAAGAACTAGTTGACGACGTTACCTATTTAATAATATAAATACTGGGTTTACTATTAATTTTGCAAACATTCACGGGTCCACAAAGCTTCGGCAGCCAATTTATACATGCGCCATAAATTTTAACGTACTCCAGATCTGTAGTATTACCATCGCTACGACCGATAATATTTCAATGCATAACTTATTCGGCTAATTTGAACTCTTTACAGGTTTATAGATGCCTGTATTCCTTCAAACCTCAATCAGTCGTAATCACAAAAATGGAGCAAGACGAATTTGCTAGAATATTGAAAGTAAATAACAGAGGGATTGTCGTTCACTGGAGTGCATTATTAGATGATGATACGGACAATTCTGATAGCGCAGTTGCAATGGCAGTGATGGACTGTGAGGAAGACATACTTTTGGAACCCGAATCTGTCAGCGTCGGACTGGTAACTAACTATAGGCGTGGTTTTTATTGTTAACTATATAGTTTTTCACGACGCCTGCCGAACGTTTTCGAAACGCACTATCCGCAATAGCCACTTCCGAGCTTGTACCTTATTTGGACGCGAACCGGATTGCGCGGGACTGAGTCTGGGTAGAGATAACGGTAATACCTGAAAAAATAAGATGATGTGAGAAAAAGGAATTTGTCTTCGCATGCTATTCCCGAATCATGTAACTAAGTACAAACTCACAATCAAAGCAACTCTGCTTTACGAATTTTGTGTGTACATTATTATAACTTATAATGGTTGAATTTAATAATTTACACTTAGATCTAGCGCGGGACCTACGGAATTGCGGGGCCCATTGCGACCCCATAAGTAGCCGTGGTTATGGTCGACCCGGTTCCCAATTATCAATAACTATTAATTACTTTTTGGCGAACCTTTGTAATATAGTTGTGCATTCCCAATCTTGTCTTATTGATTTGTTTTCGTTATGCGGCAAGTCTTACCAACCTGCAGACTTGACCGACCAAAATATGATTTCCTATTGCATGTAGCGGCGTGAATATGTCTTGAAATAGGTCCTATTGTCCATGTTAAGGTTCGAAGCAGTGGCGTAACTACCCATTGGATCTTGTGAATAAATCCAGGGGCGGCACGTTGCTGGAGGGCGGCAAAATGTGGCAAAACGTTTTAAATGAACCAAGGCAGTCACATTAAACGATCTAATTTACCAATGAAGCCAAAAAATTACACAAGATATACGTCCAAACCAGGTGTTTTATGGCTCGTGGCCCCCTTCCAGCGTCTTTTTGCACTCGCGGTCTCCGTGTTCGCCATTCCAAAAAACGAAACGTGTTGGATTGTATTATGTGTTTACGACCTATTATGGAATGCAAAAGTAAACCACAGACAAGAAAGTAAACGCGCTCCAGCATACAATCAAAGGGAATCTTGCGCTTAGGACTGTCTGACAGGTTTATCGTATTAAGCGCAGTCTTTTTTATAGCTAGACGAATGTCAACATCAAGACGGTTAATAAATTTTGTTTTTTTGTGGTAAGAAAAATTGGCTTTTGCTCCGACAGAAACCCGAACTTAGTCAATGTGCGTTCCTGTCAAATCTAACTCGCTTGGCAGCAAAGAAACCGATGCCAACGTCTTTCACCGGGGCTGATTTTTGTCACGGTATTTTGGAGTTCAGATGGACGTAATGATTTATTGCTCGGCGAACTATTTTCATTGGTAGATTTCAAATTCCATTATGATCAAACAATTCACACACAAGAAAGTGAATACACCCTGTGATCGCAAATAATCCTATTCAGGTAACGAAACTGCCGCGGAAAGTATGCAAACGAAGTCGCTATATAATAAATTATTAGTTTTGTGTCGTGACCCCCTCGAACTGCTTCGTGGCTCCTGTAGGGAGCCCTCGGATGAGAACCACTGCACTAGTACAATCAAGTGATTTTACATTTAAAAATGACGCTACAGCGCTAGACGTCCTGCAGTGGTTTGCAATAATCGTTTATGTGAATCAACACCTTATTTATTCACGAGTCTCAAACTTTACCTCACTGTTGCCGTTTCTTTCACAAGCTGCGAATAACGAAGTCAAAACCTAAGGTGATAAAGTTTTACTTGACATCGACTATGGGAGAAAGCAGGCTGTCTGTACCAGCCATACTGCCCATTGAAAGTGATTTAGTCGAGACATTATCTTTCGAGACAGTAGAATTTCTGAATTTGCTTCAATGAAAACTACACATTGAATTTGGAACTTTCGATATAATTTACTATTCACTACTTTAATTCTTTTGTTGTGTGGAATTTTATTCAGATTTTACGACAGTGTTGAGGGGGCGGCATTTTGCGCAAATATCCAGGGGCGCCACATTGCGTTGTTACGCCACTGGTTCGAGGTATCACCATTTCATTAAAACCACTGTTTTAATATATATATTATTTTTAATCTGAAGGAATCCATGCAAGAATCCAGAATGTTCGAGTCGTTAGAAACGTTCCTGTTGGATACCGATGAAGAATTTGATCTTCGAAACATTGAATTTTCGACAGCGACCCATCCTAAATTTACAAAAGGCAACGTATCCTGCCCACCATTGGAGGTATGGTACAACGTAAATGTATATCATTCTATTTTTCCGACGTGCCATTAAAATTCAGACAATAATTTCGACGCGGTCATGTAAACACCAATATGTACTTGAAATACCCTTACATTTATTTTTTAAAATAAATTCCCGAGAAGTGTATTTTGATCAAGTATTTTGATGAATTTTATTGTACTCAATTTCAGTGCAGTATTCTGCCATTTAGGCACTATCTAGACTTTATCAATTTCTATTTGTCTATTTTGATGTTTTTCATACATTTCCCAGAATCCCGAACATGGATCTGTTCTTCCAATATCTTGTACACTTCCTGACCACATCGATGTCGGACATACTTGTAAATTTTCATGCATATCCAATCGAACAATGTTGGGTGATGACACCCTAACATGTCTTGCAACTGGAACATGGAATCGTTTATCGCCCATTTGTACACGTAAGTGATAGGCCTACAACTTTTTTTAGTCACAAATAATGCTAATGACCAGGTATCGCGGAGAGCATGCATTATAAATACAACGGTAATATAAAATGACACGATAAGTCGATGGTAGTAATGTGATATAACACAGACATTTTTATTGTTTCGTGCTATTGTATAGTCTTCGTAGGAGTTGAATGGACTATATGGGATAAGATAGGATTTTCATACTCACCCCGGGGAAAAGGAAAACCGATAAAACGGCCTAATCATATGGCATATCACGGCAACTCGTCCAGTACTTGTCCATGCCGGGTACGGGATTAGTTATTCGTTTTGTTTTGTCAATTATTAGCAGTAGAATATGGGAATGCAAACATATTAGAGTTTTTGTAATTCCAGTAACATGTTGCTTTCATTTTCAGCTTTTTGTACGCCTCTAATTCGGCCTTTCAATGGCGGCATTTATCCATCATTGTGTACTAACTCATCTGCTATTCGACCAGGATCAAGATGTTTTTATTATTGTGACTCGAATTATATACTTGATGGTAGCTCTGTTACTTGCTCCTCAAATGGACAATGGAAAGGAATCATCCCTTTATGTAAAAGTACGTTTAATATAATTTTAGCCCATTGATTTCAACTATATAACCTAATCTTGTTTTGACATTTCACTATTTTATGGAATGACACATATAGTTTTTTCCGAATTTTCTGAAATTTACTTTTAGTTAATTCTTTGTAGATTCTGCATGAGAAAATAAATTCTACTTTTCAGAAACTTGTGCACCACTTAGCAGGCCGGATCATGGAGTTGTTTTGCCGACACATTGTACTGAACACAGAGTTCCTGTCGATTTTATATGCAGTTTTGATTGTGATGATGGTTATGCTGTTTCTGGGAATCCTTCGCTTACTTGTGATGTGAACGGAAGGTAGAATTAATTGTTCCATTTGAGCTTTGATACTGATGCTTTGTTTCCACTATTGTTGTTTCATTCACTTGATACAGTTCATTGTTATTTTCCGGTATATAGCTTCTAACTTTGATATATGCAACTTGATCTAAAGACTGACATAAACCATACCACAAAAATACATTCTGATAATATTAAGATGACAAATGCAAAGATGACATTAATACGTCTCACAACCTGCTGAACTACTAATTCAACATCTTATTTGTTTACTTTTGTTTTCATTGATATTTTGGATTGGTACAATTCACTTGCGAATTAGTAGTCAAAATTATAATTACAGATTTATTGAGTTTCTAAAAAACGAGGGGAGTCTGATTTTAAAATGTGTGGCTGAATGAAATGTCGAAAATTATGTTATTGATATTTTGAATTTATGAGCATTGACATTCACACACATATGCTTAAAAGTGATGGTCGAGTTTAAGCTTATGATGACATTTTCAAAATACTACCAAGAATCTTGCAATTTTATAATCTTCTAAAATTCCTGTTGAAGACCAAGTCAACAGTTCACATTAGAATTTCGATGTAACAGATGGAATTCACCGCAGCCGACGTGCAGAAAGGGCTGCTCTTTGCTTCAGTTACCTGCTAATGGGATGATAAACCCACCTTCATGCAGTTCAAATAATATAAATAGTGGTGAAGTTGTGGAAGGAATCGTTTGCATTTATTCTTGTAATGATGGTTATTTGCTTCATGGCAACTCACAGCGTATGTGTGGAGAAGGTGGAATATGGACTGGAAAACAAGTATAATATATATTGCTTTAATTGTATTGGTGACAACTTTAATAGCTTGGAATTTTTATTTGAATTCGGAATAAATTTTGATATGAAATGAGAACTTTGTGCAATATTATTGAAGCCGGGTAATATTTTAATGCATGCAGCTGGGCCATATCCAATTTTGGCATTATGAATTAAGCACTGTCAAATATCGTAGACTTGCTGTGTGATATACCCTGTAGATGTTAATTTTTGCTCTGAATTGCTGATAGCTTCAAATTGTCCATTTGTAGCAAAGTTGTTTCAATGACTCACATTTGACACAGATTTATATTCACAGAATAGGATTTTTAAGTTATCCCAGTGGAGAGGAAATTCTGATTTATTTATATAACTTACCAAGGCCTCTCGTCCAATTAATAGTCTATGCCCGATGTGGGAATAATTAACTAGTTATTTGTTTCAGATGCATGGAATGAATAATTGACAGAATCATAATAATGAAACAGAACACCTGATATATTTGATCCATAATTTATATTTCTTCTATAAATATTTACCGTAAACTCAGTTCATGTCTTAACAGCCAGAATGCAAGAGAATATGTGGGCGAATTTCGATTCCTCCAAACATGAATGTTCAACCACAGTCTTGTAGAAATGAGATTTCTGTTGAGGGAATGCAGTGTGATTTTATATGTGATGATCAGTACGATTTATTTGGAGAAACAAGTTCAATAACCTGCCTTGGGGATGGCAATTGGAGCATACCTGATGCTGTTTGTTATAGTATGCAAATTAACTTACCATGTTTATTTGATTTTTCACAGTGTTGTTTAGTTTCATTTTTATTATGGAATTTCAATTATTTTATCCAATATGTCTGTACGTTTTTGCTTTTTTGAGCTACGATAATTCGGATTTAGATTTTTTATAACTATGTTGAAAAAAGGGCAATCAAACGTTTTGATCGTATGATAAACCAATGTCTCTTGTGAGGCATCATGTCAGGTGTAGGAATAGTCAATCAGCATGAAATTGATTGTTAGATAAATAAACTCAGATGATAGTGGTAGAAGCCCGACCCAAGAAGCAATTACGGAACCTATTCCTCAGAAAGAAGTCTAGCAATAATTTTTGAAGAACATTTTACTTCTCTTCTTTTTCTAGGAACATGTTCATCATTGCCACAAGTTTTCAATGGTGAAATACGTCCAGGGTTGTGTGTAAATTCAGAGAAAGCTATACCTGAAGGAACCGATTGTGAAGTTCATTGCAGTGATGGATTTTTTATATTAGGCAATTCACAAGTTTCATGCTCGCATCAAGGATACTGGTCAGGTAACAAATAGTTATTTTGTTTAATTGCTCATCTTAAGACACAACACAAGAAAGAAGATTTGAACTAGATGAGAGAGAACTCCATACCAAGAGCAAGGAATTTTTGGCGTTCTAAAAGGCTTTGCCTCCAATTCAGTTTGAGTGATAATTTTTATGTTTTCTTAGAATTAGAGTATTGCTTTGAGTAATTTGAATATCTGAATTGGTTAAAGTGTCTAATATTGCTGATACATGTTATCAGACATTTATATTTAATGCCACTTTTGCTTAAATAATTAATGATTTATATCACAGGCAATGTTGGAAAATGTCTTAAAAAATGTGAAAGAGTTCTTACTCCTGATTTTGGCATGGTTTCTCCAATTAACTGCAGTCTTGATGAGGTGTTTGAAGGTACTCAGTGCCACTTTTCTTGCAAGGAGAAGTATAGCCTGAAAGGAACTTCTGAGATTATAACATGTCTGGGAGATGGAAGCTGGGAAGGATCTGTTCCAGAATGCATTTGTGAGTATTATATCATATTTTAAAATCATCCAGAGGTAAATTGATATGTTGGGGCACGCGCTCATGGTTTGTGGGTTAACCTTTAATCATCTTGAAAATTTCATATCAGGATATAGATCACAGGCAATCAGTAATTTTAGCATGTTCTCCTTTCTCGTTATACAACCTCTGTATTTATAGTATTAGGTAAGTAGTTTTGTAATTTCGAAATGAAAGCTTATTGTTTGTTATGTTATTTCCCCATGAACTTTATTAACGATTAGTATCAAGCAATAAATAAGAATAATATAATTTCTTTCCATGAAAGTGCAAGTTTATTTGTGGCCAAGAGCGGATTCGAATTAGGAAGTAAACAAGGAGAAAGAACCGGTAGTTTAAAACACAATATTTTAGTATCTGTGTAGTATCAAGCGCTTCTTTAAATTTTATATTGTTTATAATTACAGTTTAATAAATCAAACCTATTTGCAGCCGAAGACAGAATAATGATCATTCAAGAATCTCAATATTACCAAGTGTGTATCATTGGAAACATTTTTGGAGCTATAACAGTGGCCCAATTAGATGAATGTCCATATCTGCCTGACACTCAATGGTGGATTCCAACCATACACGGTACTAATACTATGAATTCTATTGTTTATATTTTTTTCAATTGCTCTCGAAAATGCCAATTATTAAATGTCAAACCTGTTTAAAATATTACACCATGCACTGATGTTTTAAAATAATTGAATCCTTGCACAACTTGTAACTAGAATTTTACAAAGAAAATTTACTTAGATTTCGCATTTTGTTTGATATCTCACTCTTATCTTCGGCATGACATGGTCAATTTTAACATTCCAATGTTTTGCTCGCAAGTAATCAAGGATAAAAAGTATCTTTTTCCAGGACAATTTCTTAATCTTGCACTTGGCAAATGTGCTAGGAAGAATGGCTTAGTGTTGGAATTGAGTGAGTGTGATTCCAGTGATGTAAACCAGAAATTTATATGGGTTGAAGAAGAAGGTTTTCAGTCTTTTTCTTTAAATCCTGAAGTAAGTTTTGTTTTTGATATAATACTTCCTCAATTGGATTGAGTATTGAAATTAGGGAAATATATCAAATTTTATATTTTTTGATATTGTTTGGATAGAAATTGAGATTGAAAACCAATGAGATGAGATGCTTTTCCTGGTATGGTAGCCATGACCTCTTGTTATTTATTAGTTCAGGTTGGGCAAGTTAACTCTGCCAAAGACATTGACATGGTGTGTGGTTGTTATTGATACTAAAGTTCTTATTACATGAACCATCTGTGATAGCAAGAAGAGCAGCATTATCTATGAGGGGTAATCAGGTTTGGGAATGACAGGCATGTTCCTAACATCTATCACAATGCTCGAACTGTTGAGCCTTTTTGATAATATTACATACATGAATATATTTTTCTTATCAGATAAAAATAGCTTTATTGATATATTTTATAGTTCCACAATGGCTATATGTCATTCCCCTACATCAGTCCATCATCTTCATATAATCAAGTGAAGTTACATCTTGAAAAGCGGACGGAATTCACATCATGGTATCCAGTCTCATCGAATGATATTCTCAGTCTTTATGGCGGTTCAGATAAAGGAAAGTGAGTTCGTTTTGAGCAATGCCCATAACAGCCTGTGATAACCTTGATGATCAGCAATAATGGCACGATTATTTAAAATATTATAATGTTTTGCAAAGCGATTTTGAAATACATACAGAACTTTAATCGCTGATTCGAAATATTTGTTGCTATGTAATAATAATGCTCAAAAATTTCATTCAGCAAATTACAGAATGTTCCATCAAATATAACATGATTTTTTTATTAAAAAAGCAATCGTCACCTTATGCAGAATCCAATGTTACAATAACTTGCATATTTATTTTTGATAGTTGTCCAACATTACGACCGTCAACATCTATTGTCAACCCTCCTAATTGCACAAATGATTTGAATGTGATGAACGGCACAGTATGCAATTTCACTTGTCATGCAGGATATAAATTATATGGACCTTCAAATCGGACATGCTTCAATGGTCATTGGGATAAAAAATACCCAACTTGTGAGTGCCGTTTTGTCAGAGAGAGCTTGCCTGTAATATATTTAATGTTATATGGCGTTTTATTATTTAATATACATAAATAAATTCTTGATGACTGAAATTCATAACACCAGCTCTTGGCAATGAATGTTTGTTAGAACGAAAAAAGTAATGAGCTATATTTCATAATATTTTTGTGGCCGCAGTCCTCAAACATTGGATCTTTGCATTCTTTTGAAACATTGATCTTTTTCGATTTGCTCTGCGTTATGTGAGGTCCCAGCAGAGAAAAATGCCGTGCCGTTTTATTTATGTCTCATTTGTGTCTAGGTTAATTTGAATTTTATTGCCAAATTAAATATATTCCATATCTTGCACAAGACTAAATAACTGGCTAACTAAACCTATACCAGACATGTACTGGTACCTGAACGAGAGGCCGTGGTTCGCCTTATGATTGAGCCGTCTTATTGGTTTTCCTCTCCCCCGGGAGAAATATGTAAGTTCTATCCTTTCCTTTTATATCTCAGTCTCAACTCTCCTCCATCTATCTTAATCTCAACTCTATCTCCAATCTCTTTTACTGTCATTATTTCAGGTAGACGAGCATGCTTTCCTCTAACTGAACCATTGAAAGGAAGTGTAACAGTTTCATGCAAAGATGGTTTACAAGACCAAGGAACTGTTTGTTTATATGAATGTATTGATGAACAGCATCAATTATATGGAGAAGCTGTTACAACTTGTCTTCCACAAGGACATTGGAGCTCACCAACACCTGTGTGTAAAGGTGAATTTATTGTGATTAAATTGGGATTGTGATAATTAAATTTAGTGACTTCTAGTTCTGCAGGCCAATGTTATTGCAGTTTTTTGAACTTTTATTTTAGTAATTTGAACCTCATTATTGATTTAATTTAGAGTTGTGCCAGCCATTGTCAGAAGTTCTACACGGTATAGTTCAACCTACAAACTGTTTGGAAATTGCGAGTTCTGTTGGTACAGATTGCAATTTGAAATGCACATTTCCTTATCTTCTTCAGGTTTATATTATATTGATGTTTTCTATAATGTAACAGTTGATTTATCAGGATATTTCTCACTGCCAAATCGCCATTTTTTTTACATATTTTATTTTTATACCAGGGTGTTGCGAATCGTACATGTATGGAAGATCACTCATGGACTGGTGATTGGATGTGTATTCGTGGATGCAATGTTCCTTCACAAATAGATAATGGTTTTGTGACATGCGACACTGAATCAGTATACGAGGGTACTGCATGCAGCTATAACTGTGATAATGGTTATCATTTTTCCAATTACTTGGACAATGACACTGTAATTCGAATATGTCAGTCAAATGGATTGTTAAATGGATCAATTCCTCAGTGTAAAATGGTGTGTCCCCCACTTAGTGGAATACAGAATGGTAAGTGCCTAGTAAACCTGGTATATAAATATCTAGTTACCTGTACTTGCATTGTAGCACCATTGCGGTATTTTCCTTTGTTAGGTTAGGTGATGCTGGCTGTGATTTGCTATTTATTTATAAAAAAGTGGTATCGAATATATAAACATAATGATTTCTCAGTATAGTTCCAAATAGTATAAAAGCAATGTCTGTGATCTTGCTGCTTTCATAGAAGTAATCGTTTAATCATGATTTTACACCTTTTATACCTGACATAATTATTAATATAATCAAGTGTATATTTTGAAATGAAGCTTGAAATTTTTTTTAACTGGCATGCAAACGTAACTGGACCAATGATATGGTCATGTATCTGTAAGTGTCTCAAAAATGTCATGTTGCACTCTTGTCCCACTGTTTTTATTTAAGTTGGATATATTATATTGTGGTGGGATTAGTTGAAGTAAGCATGTTCTGGATTAAGATAAATATTGATATCTTGACAAAAGTCTATTAATTTGAAGTGAAATTTATACAAGTGGGACACATAGGACAAGTGTGAGATTGTACCCACCTATCTTTCAACATTAAAACTATTTTTAGGAGAAATCTCACCAGAGAACTGCACTAGTGCTTCCGTTTTTGAAGGTGAAATTTGTAAAATAACTTGTGATATGGGGTACAGGTTCAAAGGTGAAATGTCAGATGTCATGTGTCTGTCAGATGGTACATGGCAAACAACAGAATATCTTTGTGAAGGTAAGAAAGAGATTGAACTACGTAATTTGCTTGTAGCTGTGTCTCTAATTGCATTAGTAGATTATTTAACAAATGTTATTTGCTCTTATCATTCGCTAGACTTGGTCGACTTGGAACGCAGACTCTATTTCCTTACATTAATTTTGCAGCAAATAAAGACTCTTGCAAAGATTGCCTCGGGGACTAGCCAAGTGACTCCCGTAGTATTTGTACCTGAAATTATGGCCTAACCCTAACCTGGTACAAATACTAAGTTTCGGTGTCTGCCATCTTGGTTCACATATTTCAGGAGTACCTTTAGTTGCTTGACAAACTTTAGGTCTATTTATTCAGAGTTAACTTAATTGTAAACGTGTGGTTGCAAGACCTAAAACTACTATCAGCCCCTGTGTTGGAATCCAGATGATTTAACTATTTTAGAGGAAGTTCAATTTGTATTATTCAATGATGTGACGGTCCCACAAGTGTGTGGCCGTATGGATGAAACAGTTGTTGGTTCCCTTATGAAGAAGCTTGAGTTGTCACATTATAACTGTCATTATTTAATGTCCAAAACACTGTGGACTTGGGAAGGTGACATGCTCAAACATGTAGTTTCAGGATTATGTCTTGCTGTACAAGACATGTCAACTCAAAGGTATATTGTGTCTGCTTTTTGTTTGTTTTTGTCTAATATTTTGCGTTGCATTTTCCAAAAAAATATAGGCAAAATATACAAGTAGTGATAATTAAAAATAAACTGTAATATTATGATATTTTGTAACTTTTAAAATTCATTATCTCTTTTAAATTTGGCATAAGTGTTAGGAATATTAAAATCTTGGAAATTGGAATTAAAATTTATTCAAATTTATCTAATATCATATTGAGATTAAAGTTACCAGGTAAGTGTAAAATATTTGTTATTGAAACTGACATCTGCAAATGATTCTACTATTTTATTGAATTCTTCTCCTTGAGAATAAATACTAAATCCCATTATTTCACCTATATTTCCTTGAGGTATTGGTATATTTGAATTTAGTTAGATCAGTTCTCATACCATCCAGTAAAAATTTCGCTGGGGAATGGAAGCCACAGGGAACCAAATCTGATTATCAACCATCGCTAACCGAGTTTCAGATGTCTAATTAAAATTTTTTTTCTCTATTCCTTTTACAGTTTTTCTCTCGTTCTTCTGAGAGTTTGTGATGAAGATGATCTATCACTACAGTGGACTTGTGAACATGAGTACATGCTTAAACTCTCTTCTAAGCCACTCTATATGAGTGCCAGTAGTACAGACAATTTATTTATCATTGTCAAGGATAACAAAGACTCTGCGATAAAATTGGATTTTATGTGGAAATCAACCCCAGTGAATAATCAGTCTGATACTGGTGGACCTTGTAAGACTAAACTGAAAAGGTTTGTAATGTGGGCTTACTAAATATTTAAAAAAAATCAGGGCTACACATACCCAGTGTAGTCACGATTTTTTTGTGGCCTTACTTAATAATTAAAAAAATCAGGACTACACTGTGTATGTGTAGTCCTGATTTTTTTTTTAGAATCAAGTAAGCCCGTGTACTCAAAATGTATACATTGTTTGCTTTTCTTTATTTCTATACCTTGATGGGAACAAAACCTTGAGTTATCTTATTGATCTTCCTCTTCTAGAATAAATTTGAAAATTGTTGAATTCACTAAGCTTAAAGGTGAATTGAATGCTAGTGATCAATTTAGTTGTGAGATTGAAGCATTGCATTATGCAATCCTACCTAAAAACAATTGTCAAAATTGTCCATCACATTTTCCAAGAACCAATAATCAAATTTGAGAAATCTCAAAAGTTTGCAAACTCACAAATTAGAATTCGAAAGTAACATGATAAATTGATAGAAATATACGAAACAAACTTTTTAAACAATCTTTTCAGATGTCACAAATTTGATGCTCTTGAACATGGCTCTATCTCTCCTTCAGTTTGTAATTCTGAATCTCAATATGATGCATTTGTTTGCAATATTTCATGTGATGAAGGTTATTTAATATACAAAACTGCATTACAAACAATATCTGTATCTTGCCAGGCATATGGAGCTTGGAGAGCAACAGGTGACTTATTGAAAAATTTCAGATTAGACAGAATTTTAATAGTAGTATAGATTTAATTATTTTTTCTTTGTATTAGCTATAATTTTATATAATTTAGCTCTAATATGCATTTATAGCATTTTATATGTTTCGTATAATCTGTTTTGGGAGTGATGACCTAAAAAGTTCAGTCTGGCCTGTGGCACTATAGATTAATCTCAGATTAGAGATGCCACCCACTTGATTATGTAAGTAATAGTTGAAATAATAATATTACGAACCAGAATGATTTAATCCATTTAACAACGGAAGCGATCTGAAAAAAAGATTCAAATGATTTTGACAACAACAATTTTGAATACAAATAGTACATGAAGCTTATTTGCTTCTTCTATTGTTGCCATTGTTGAAATTATGTAATGCGACTATGAATAGAGTGAAAGTTGTGCATCTCCAATCTATATGTATAATCTTGTAATGAAACTTTAACTGTATCTTCAACTGTAATTTTTTGTTATTCACTTTACAGTCCCCTTAACTGTCGATGCTTTACCTCCGATTTGTCGTAAATCCTGTCCTGCATTGACCATACCTGCAAGAGGGAATATTGATCCTATTAGTCCATGCGTCAATGGTACCTCTCTGTATGGAGCTGTGTGTCACTTCAATTGTGACTATATGAATGTACTCGAAGGCCCTGAAGTTTTAGTTTGCGGTATTGATGGCACTTGGTCTGAGCCACCACCCCTGTGTCGCGCCATCTGTATTCACCAAGCTATGAAGCCGGGAAGTCATGCTGGTTCACCTATTATTGAATACCCATCTATATATGGATGCGTGGACAAGATACACTATGCAAGATCTGTCAGGGAAGGATCAACTTGTTATTATCATTGTACTGGTGGAATGCATGTATTGAATGGCACTGAATCCAGGACGTGTCAGGCTTCTGGTCAATCAAAAATTACTGGTCAATTTGATCAACCATTGCCTGATTGCGTATTTCCAACTGCAGGAAATTTGAGCCATGACAGGTCATTTTATTTTGAATGATATATCTTATAATATATCTTATAATTAGTGATGGGATTCAAAATTTTAAGAACAACTTCTCTTTTGCATATACCGGTAACTCAATTTGCAACATGTTCAATAATTTCAGTGTTCTATAGATATATTTTGTAACAACTGTACTAATAATAAGAATTTTTTTTTGCAGTATTTCCGATTGCCCTCATCCACCCGGAAATCCATCAAATGTATATCTTTGCTTACTTGATGATTCAGACCCCACTACAACAAGATTGTGTGCTAAGTAAGTTATGTTAACTTTCAATTAGATTAAAATAGGGGATCAATGGAAATTTTGTTGAACATGTTTCAGTTGTATCTTTATTGGTAATCTATTGACATAGCTAGTATAGTATAAATTTTTGGCCAATATGTCAAAATAACATGTTTAATATAATAGGTGTGTGATTTCATTGAATGCATGACAATATCATAACATGATTATCATTTTTTTCCCATGGGAAAAATATATAATCTTATTCTATTTTATATGCATACTTGCCGAAGGTTTCATTGTAATTTTCTCCTTCGAGTTTTTAAGTTTTGGAGTTCTAAAACTATTTTTATAAGTATTTCTTTGTGTTACCAACTGTGAGTACCAATTACGTTAATTAAACTTTACTTTTTGGTCGACTGCATCCACATATTTTTTTTCAAATTATGAATAATGACTATAAGTGTAAGTTTTCAATTCCGAAATCTAAAGAAATTTATTTTTTAGCTATACATGTGATCCTGACTCTGTTCTCGTTGGTGATTCTATCTCCCATTGCAATATTGTCAATAGCTCCTGGCCCTCACCTCCTGTTTGCAAGCGTAAGTAAAATTTTATTTACAATGATCTTACTTTTATTAGTTGGATGTGATTTTTCATATTTATTCTGACAAGGAGAAGTTGAAAAAACAGATTAAGCTTGTGGTATAGCACACCTTGTCGCCTGGTTACCGGTGCATGTCAGGTATGGGATTCATAATCCAGTTATTTTTTACTGATGCATAGACTTGATAGTGGAGGAAGCTGTAACTGACCAGCGGTGGTTACATGGACGGCAGCGTGGAGCCTAGCAATTTGCTTACACATAATCATCTACAACTGGATTCAAAGCTATGAGCCCATGGCAGATAATCAGAGGTGTTATTACAAGTGTATTCTTAACACATTTGCCAAACATTATATAGCCAGTTAAGCTGTCTTACTAAGCTTTACCATAACCTGACCCTACCTTAGATGTTAAACTATATGTATTTCGCATCCTTATTTTCATAGTATGCTTTTTTGAATAAATTCTTTAAAATCATACTCTATGTTTACTCTTGTTACTGACATTCATTTTTATTCAGGCAGATGCAAAGATATTTCAAATGAATGTAAAGATATGTATGATGGTGAGGTGTGTTATTATAGATGTAAATATGGGTCATTTGCTCATGGAAATGGAATTTTATTATGCCGATCAGACGGGACTTGGAATGATACCGTACCAGCATGCATTGGTAAGCTAATAAATTGGTAAATAGTTCGTATTAGGAATAATGTGTTTTTCTACCTTTTACATAATTACTTTTTTTTCAATTTTCAGAACAGATTTTCAAAGTAGACAAATAGACAGAAAACGGTGGTCTACCACCATATGTTGTCTACCAAGGTGTAGTCTAAAGTGTATCATGTTAGGATTAGAGTCAGATTCCTGTCATAAATTCAATGTTTAAAAATAGTTGTTATCCATTGGGGTTGGAGAATGCAGCGGTAGACTTAACACTGTAGTACTAGTTGAGATATATCTCACGCTATAGTTTGGTATACCTCATGCTGCAGGAGTACTTAGAAAACAATACTATAGCCTTTTGGTACATCATAAGAAATTTGAAAGTTAGACCGTTTTGTAGTCAGGCCCAAACTGAATGACTTTGAAATTATTTTTGAGCTGTGAGCTGAGCTGTGACAGAAAGATACAAAAAGCATTCCTGTGATTTCTTGATAAAATTTCTTCTGATTTTCTTGGTAGAACACGGAAAAACAAAATCTCTGAAAAATGTAGTCACAAGAAATTGAAAAAATCAGGATTCTATTAGGTTTAAAACATGTTGAATATATGCGATATTTTAATTATTGAAAAAACATTTTTTTTTCAGTTCAAGAAGAGTTTTACGTTCAAACTAGAATATCCGTATCTCCACTGATCAATGATTATTGTCTTCTGCCAAATACATTCGGAGCTCCATATATAAATTCTGCAGTAGTAGTTGAGGAATGCGGAGGTCAAGTAAGGGCTCGATGGATATGGCTGAATAATTATAATATAATGCATGCTCCGAGTGCATTGTGCTTGACAGCTCCGTTAGTTAAACATGGTGCCAGGTGAGTGGGGGAACATTCTGCAGGAGTGTGTATTTTCATTGTTGAATTTTCATTGATTGACTTGGTTTTGACCATTTTTTTTATTCATGTCACTATGAAATTACCTGAGTACATTTAGTTTTTGTGAGTTTTACACAATTTGTGATATGATAAAATCTTGCAGGTGAATTTTATTCCGGATATTTTGTAAAAATTTCGCCAAAGCAAGGCCACATGCACCCTCTCAAAAATAAATCTGAGATTGATCTCTGGGCAAAGTAACAGGCGGACTACTAAAGTGCCAATAGCTATTCAGATTATAAAAATATGAAAATGATACTAATTGTGATGAAGAATTTCATAATATTGAGCTATTTGGACATAGCTTTACCTATTAGGATAACTATAAAGATTGTGGGAAGGGTCGTGGGATTGAGTAAAATTTTCAATCGACTCTAATTAAAAAAAAATTTGTACACCGTAGTATGTGTACCAGGTTAGGGTTATGCCATAATTTTATTCCGATTTTCCTTATTTTGGTTCTATTACCAGTTCAGGGACTGTCTGTGTCAGCCAAGTAAATATACTCCCTGTCCATAGGCTTCCGTCCCTATACACAACTTGATGTAAAGTAGGCGAACAAAATTAGTTACCTCCATATCGGTACACATACTTCTTGTGCGCCAAAAATTTTGCTTTCTTCAATAGACATAAGTTTTCACAATTTCAATTTTACCCATGCAGTGTTCACACTAGTTTTGCTATTATAGCTATTATAAATTTTTCTTTTTTTATAATTGATCTATTACTAATAATATTGTTATATTTAATTTGTTCAGACTATTTCTTGCAATTTGTGATCCATTGGACATAAGACAACAATGGGACTGTTCAACTAATTTGGAAAAACCATTCATAGTTATATCAAAAGCAAATCCTACTTTAGTTCTTGCAACAACCCGTGCCTTGAAAGAGTACGGTCTCCATTACTACTATGCATGCATTGTTGATTTATCATTATTGGACAAGAAGAATCTTCGTTCTACAAATTGGAATACTGATATATTTGATGCAAAAGGAACTATTTGTCATCACCGGCTTAACCAGGCTAATTGTCCTCCTTTAAAATCGGGATTGCCTAGTGGAGGCAATGTGTCACCTGCGTCGTGCCTTGAGGAATGGTCACCAAAGGTTAGAAAAAGAGATTAGAGACATCAGTTATTATTTTGTTGTTTGTTTCTGAAATACTCTTTCGATTCAAAAAGGCAATGACACTATTACAAATTTTTTAGCTTCGGATTATTATCTATTGACTATAATTGTAGAACTCAGGCTTTTGGCTAAGTGGCTTCCTCCACCATCAAGTCCATGCACAAAATAAAATTTGTGCTCAACTATTTTCATACCAGACATGGACTGGTAATCAGATGAGAAGCGGTGATTTGCCATGTGCTTAAGATATCTTAGCGGCTTTCCTTTCCCCTGTGTAAATATGAAAATCCTATCGAAACCAATAATGGTACAACCACGAACACACTTTCATTCTTATCTCCTTGTTATCTTCAAGTGAATATGCCTTCTGCATTGGTCAAATTCAATTTTAAACAAAACCTTAGCACTGTGAATAGTCAAATCATTTTTATTTCAGGGACGATCGTGTTTGTGGTTTTGTACCTCTGGATATCAATTAACATCACCAAACTATACAGCTATAGAATGCAACAATGGTCTTTGGAATCCTATGACAATATCATGTCCAAGATCTTGTGCACCACTTAACCATCCATCTAATGGATTGCTTATGTATGAATTTAAAATATGTGTTTTTGTATATCACTGTACTTAAAATTTGAAACTTGATTGATTTAATATCATTTTTAGCGTCAGCTTTCCCACATTAATTTTATGTTTATTACCGGTACTATTTTTTATTTTTCGACTGTGTATTACGGTTGCTATATGCCAATTTTGGTTTCCGAGGTATAAACTTTCAAACTAAGACACAATTTTGATGTGCAAACAGGTATCCAGACTATAAAAATACAAAAAATTCATCTTTTTATAACTTATTTGTACCTCGATAAAACATGGGTATCTTTTTTAAATTTGAATCCTATGTCAGTATAATTGAAAATATCATTGTTGTATTTCTAATGGCTTCAATGTCATCTTAATTTATATGTAAATAACTAGATAATTTGCCTTTACTTATCTTTAGAGACTGTGCTCCTAATATGATACCCGTAGAAGGCACTACATGCAATATTGAATGTGATGAAAATTGTTATCCTATTGGAGAAACTGCTAGGATATGTCAATGGGATGGGTCTTGGAGTGGCAGTGCATTCAAATGTGCAAGTATGTTTTGTTTCCTTGTAAACCGAAACTTCGTTTTGGCAAAAATGTCAGGAATGTTTGCTGGTAACTTTGATAAACTCCTACTTTTATTTGATTGATGGTTGAAGCAAGAATGCATCAAATGTAAATGAATTGAATTTTGCCATACTTTCATATAATGTGAGCACCAAAAATATGCTATTTTGGGGCTCCCGAAGTATGCAAACCAAGATGGCGGACATCGGAATGTAATATGTATACTAGGTTAGGGTTAGGCCATAATTTTAGGTATAAATACTACGGGAGGCTCTTGGCTAGTCTTCGAACTGATAATAGGACTAAAATAAGGAAAATTGGAAAAAAATTATCGCCTAACCCTAACCTGTTACCCATGTTACGTTCCGATGTTCGCCATCTTGGTTCGCATACTTCGGGAGCACCCTATTTTTTATTAACCTCATGCTTTTCGCTCTGAACAAAGCCCTGTTCAATCAAACTCTGATATATGACAATATGTAATGAGCTATTATTTTCGAAGGACCATAATGTTTCCGTTTCAGCTTTGACTACCCGATTTATTACACCTTTGTTGAGGTGTTGGAAACATGGGATTTCAACCACTATGCCTTAGTGCCCGCTTTCTGCTTTGTCTCATCAAAAAAATACATAATACTTACTTTGGCCCTGTAACTTCATTATAAATTTTAATTTTATAATTTTATAGAATCTTGCAATGTGCTGCCTTTGATGTCAAATATCATTATATTACCAACTACCTGTACTGATGAAAATGAAGCATCTGTGGCAGGAACAACTTGTACTTATTCATGTGGAAATGGTTATCACATGGCAAGTAAGGAAATTACGAGAACTTGTTTGGAAGATGGGACGTGGTCTGGAGTTGAACCCACTTGCATCCGTGTGTGTCCCCATTTGCCTGAAGTTCTAAATGGAAAAGTGAGTGATATGTTTGCTCATATATTTAGAATTATGATTGAAGAATGGTATATTATTTTCATAATTTATTATTTAAATTAATTACCGGTATGTGCAGAATATTTTCAGTCTTAGTTACTGATTTTACCTTTGCATTTTTATTTCATCATTTTATCAATTATTTAGATTTAGCTCTCACCCATTTGCTGTCAGTATACCTGACAAAATAATCCTATTCATGAAGTTTTTTCCGAGACGTGGAATTTACACTTCAGAGCTGTTTTCTTGATCGTATTGGTATGAATTGTCAGTAAATTTCGTGTCAATCGGTATTTGCTAACACATATTTTCACGCTATAATTCTTTAGGGTCTCAACAGATCTTGGTACTTTAGTGGTTTTCTGTAACTTTGAGATCAATTTGTTGTACCGTGAACTAACTAACTAAGTAAATAAAACTCTTCTATACAAGGTGTCACCAGTTAAATGTTCAACTGCAGATCAATCAGCTGGTTCCGTATGCATTATCCACTGTAATTTTGGATATGTTGTTAATGGAAATAATACTCATGAATGCAAAGTAGATGGGACTTGGACTAATTCTGTTGGTATAACTTCATTTATACATTTGAACATGTTGGACAGCAATGATAGAATTTTGGAAATGCCTAATGAAGCTTTTTTTTTATTATTTTCCATTTTTTGATACTCACCTCTGAATTTTTTTTCAGAAATATCTGATGGTAAAAAAGTGTGCCAATCTCAATGTAAACCATTAGTTCGTCCGAAACATGGTGAAATCGTTTGCAAATTGAATGACCTTGAATTAAGTCACCATCAAGGCTTGTATGTTGAAACTACAATATGCAGAATATACTGTGACAGGAGATATGTTATTGATGGATCATGGATGCGTGTCTGTGAGGAATCTGGTCTTTGGTCCGGAGACAATACATACTGTTATAAGGAACAACAGTTTCTTATGTTTTTGTCAAAACCACTACACAACACAAATGGGCAATCGGCAAGTTTAAGTTTTTCATTTTGTACTTGTTATTTTTATGAGATATCACACATTTGTTTCTAACAATGTTGTAACCAAATTTTTTAGCATCTTGGTTTCATTCCATTTGCACTCTTGTTGAGTTGTAGGTGTCTGGCTTTTTTCGTTTGCATTCATTTATCTTGAATGCTCAATGCAATTCTTCATATTAGGTGTATTAATTTACCTAATTAGAGCCATATGTTTGTTTTATACACATTTTATAAATTCGAATATGATGTTTAATGAATGGGAAATGCCTGGAGAAATTTTATAGGTGTGATTGTTTATTTAAGGATTGTTGTTTGTTTCTGATGGCATTTTTTAAATGAATATTTCATTATGAAGTTCCAAGTCTTACCATTTCTTCATATGAACGAAACAAAATTTTTCAACTTTCATTTTTCAGATTAAAGTCTGCATGATATCAAAACAAGATAACACGATTATGAAGCTCAACAATGAAGAATGTGATGCCAGTAATCCTTTTCATCGATGGTCATGGTATCATGAGAAAAATTTGAAAAATTCTGGATCTGGTGAGATGATTCTCGAGTTATCAATTTGATAATTTGATCGGATGATTTGATTATCTGTTTGACTACTTAGCGCCTAATATAAAATATAGTCATACATAGATCATTTTTTTAAAATTAGTCCTGTTGTGGTATTTTTTCAAGTTGATTTGATTTTTTACCGTCTTTATTTATCTAATATGTTTAGTTGGTGATGATAGTCAAATTGCAATCTCAGAATTCAGGAATAAGGTTTCTTTAAGCGATTTTAAATGTTGATTTTGATAATATCTGATTCAATTCTGGTTCCTATAGTGAGTGAGAGCAAATAAATGATAACCAAATATATTTATTGAAGTTATGAATGGAAGTTTTTGTTCTGATCAATTCTGACTGGATGAATTTTGGTAATACTATTTCAGTTGAGATGAATACTTGAATCATCTATATATGCAGATACATTTTTAAACATATGTCTCCTTTAGGATACTGTTTAAGTGCTGTGTCGCCTGGTGCTGGTTTGCAATTGGAAATGACAAAATGCAATATAACTGATGATATACAACATTGGTCATGCAAAGGACCTTCACCTGATGACATTTGGTTTCTACGAATGTCCAGTTACAACCTATATCTTGACTATGGGTTAGTGTTATATGTTTGTCTGTTGGGTTGTTACAAGTAATTAAGAAAATCAGGATATTTACTCTTGTATTTTTATAAAACTTTCCTAAAGTGAGCCCTTGGCCCTCTAGGGGGAACAGCGCATTTTTAAGGGGCAACGAGCAATGCCTAGGTATCATTCGTGATGACTGCTTTGATTGGCTTTGACAATATTATTAATACTGTGATATCATTTTGCATTTCTATTTCAGATATTCAACTGTTTCTAGTATTTGGCTTCATGATTTAGATTTATACAACAATGAGGAAGAAGATATTGTATGGTAATTAAAAATGTAGAAGAAATTTCATTAAAATGAAATTTTGATATGATTGACATGTTCGAAAACTGCTATTTAAGACTAATCTCCTATTATTGTACATAACAATGAAACAGATTTCATATCTAACTATAATGTTGTTTCAATGTTTCCAACAAAGCAGACACTCAACCTGGCTTAGATAGCAGATCAGGATGTCTCAAAAGTTACATGCCCCACGCTTGTCCCACATGTGTCTCTAATTTTTCCCAATTGTATTTATCACATCTCACATGAGCACTCTAACTTTCTGCCAATGTATCACATCTATTCTAACTCACAACATAGCATGAATTCCATTTCATATGTTTGCTTTAACCATCTGCCTTTTGTCTCAAAAACATCGTGTCTTCCACTTCCAATTGTATGAACCATTTGTATGAAGCTAGCTTATCATATGAATACTACTATATCTATCTTAACCCAAAACAACACACAAATTCAACCTTATATGCTTACTTTAACCACAACACAATGCACATCTATCCAAAGTCAGAACATTGGAAAAAGTAGTGTGACAAATGTAGCAAAGTTTGACATGTGTGTGTGTAGAACGTGATATTTCTGAGACACTACCAGATTCTCAGACATTTTGTAAGATGTTGCAGATTCTAGAAAATACAATTACTGTAATATCTGGTTTCAACGATTTCCTTGTTTTGAATGTATCATACTTTATACTTTCAAAATAATTCTCTATCTTATCCTTCATAGGCATGCTGAATCAACTTCAGATGAATGGAGTACAAGTAATGGCAAATCTTCTCGGACTACAATTTGTTCAATGAAAAGCAAAACGGTTGGAGGAACATGCAATCCTTTGCAACCTATAAGCGATGGAGAGGTATGTGTTCAGTACCCAATGCTTCTTATAAACATTATATAAGTAAAATTTAAAGTAGGCTGGGTGAGCATAACTGAAAATTTTCAATAAGAAAACAAATTTTGCATGATAACCATTCTTTTTGTTCTCTCTGTTTATATACATAGAACATACAAAGTTAGCCAAGATGAATGATCAAATACCTGATGAAACATTGTGATTTACTATATGTCTGGGCTTTTAACAAGTTTAAATAACTTTCTGAATTAAATCAGCATGCCAACCTTTCCCAACATATATTAAATAATAATTATGAATATTGGTGCATTTTCATCTTTCATTAGATTGTAGCGCTATTATTTAATTGCAGCATTAATATATTTAATGCCTTGCAACCTTTTAGTTATTCATTTTACAATATTTGACTCTATATTGATGATTCAGATCTATCCACGTATTTGCATGGGGCCAGATAAATTTGTTGTTGCTGGTTTAATGTGTTTATATGAATGTAATGTTGGATTTCAATCGAATACTCCATTGAATACAGTTGTGTGTCAAGACAACGGCGTCTGGTCCGGCCCACCTACATCATGCCAAAGTAGGTACATTTTTTCATTTTTGAAGACCGTACTTAAATGTGGTTTAGTGCTTATGTGCTATGTGCATTTATGTTTAATGTTCAATAAGGAAGAATATCTTACTATGATGCCGTTGTAATAATATTATATATTACTTTAAAAAGAATTTAAATAATTTGTAATCTTCTAAATATATTAAGTATTCGAATAAAATTGAGCAAAACCATAGCACCTAAAAACTGGTATCCATATAAAGGATAACAACATGATCATAAAACTTGGAAAGTTGTAAAATAATTAATGAATAATGTATTAATTGATTGTGTAACAACCTCCTCTGCTTCATGTAATCATCTTGTATCGTTGGGACTATAAAATATTGTAAATAAAATCAAGCATATTTTTGAGAATTGCTTAAAATTGACTCAAATTGATGTTAATCGGAATAGCTTTAACTCGAATTTCTGAAACGTACATCCCTAAGCCAATATCTAAAAATTTCAAATGTGATAATTTGATTAACATTTTTATTTCCAGGATATTGCTCTCAGTTCAAGGTTATGCCTAACATGATTGTGCACCCATCCTCTTGTTTTGTAATTGATGAAGAAGAATCATTAGAAGATGAAGTTGATAAGAAAGGCATCCCTATATCAGGAGTCTGTGTTTTCACATGTCAGGATGGATACACTTTGGGTGACACAGGAGAGTTTACGTCGTCTTGTATGGATTCTGGTGTATGGAGTCGTCATCCTCCTGAATGCAAACGTATGTATGATTGCTAGTAGATATTATTCCTGATATGAAAATTGAGCCTCCGTTCCATGGATTTAAAACTTTAAAACCTGTAAACTAAAAACATTTTGTAGATGATTTTTTTAAACTATGATATTGTCTAAATTCTGATTCAACTATTAGTTGCCAAGTTATGACACAGTATTGCGTTACTGATTACTTACTTGGAACTTTTTTGTGTTGCGTCACATCTGTGAGGTATAAGTTTAGTTGGGGATAGTTTGGCCTATAGTATCCACTGTTTTAAGTACTGAATAATTATATATGTTACGATTACTAATAGATGCATTTGTAAAAAACAGTTATATAGTCTTACAACACATTAATTGTTTTTGTGAATGCTGTCAATATAAAATATAAGTGTTATACCAATTTATATGGATCACATAACACAACCAGATTTAAATATTTTAAATATTAAAGTATAGTGGTATATGGAATATTAGTTATTTAGGCAACATTTTTTAATAGTAATGTTCAATATTGTATTGTTTCCTACAGTAGAACTTATTGTTTGTATTGGACATCTGCTTCTATCAAGTACAGTGGCAAGTTTCATATATAGGTTTGAAATATTCATACCTGGTTTTATATGCATAAATTATTGTTATTTTTAACTAAATATACACCTCTTTTTTTAGTTCTCTTTTCCACATTTTATATGGAACTTTATTTTACAGGTATCTGCTCTAATATTAGTCCAATGTCTCATGCTTTTGCTTCACCGGCATCTTGTTTTACTGAAGAACAAACTGAAGGTGCAATTTGTAGACTTGAATGTGAAATTGGTTTTGGAATAGACATTGTTGACGTATCTTGTTACAACGACGGCTTAAATAATAATGAAAACTCTACGGCTCTGGTGAATCGGTGTAAAACTAAAAAGGAACAAAGTTCAACTTTAATTGGCAGTGTGACTAAATTATGCATGGCTGATGGTACATGGTCTGGTAAAGAGGTGGAATGTATTTCAATGTGTAATCCTGTGGTTGCACCAAGGAATGGTCAGGTTTGTTAATAATCAAATATTCTTGTTTGTGCTGCATCCAAGGATAATGGGCACGGTTGATTATCCACATCGAATCCTATGTCAATCAACCGTTGAGCTAAGTCTCACTGACAGTTATTTGAGCATGAGTATTAGTCATATCATTTAGATGAGTTGGTACTCCCGTGGTATGTGTACCAGGCTAGCGTTAGGCCATAAATTTTAGTTCTATTACGAGTTCGGGGACTGTTTGTGTTAGCCAAGTGAATATTCCCCCTGCTCATAGGCTTCCGTCTCTTTACACAACTTGATGTAAAGTAGGCGAACAAAATTAGTTACCTCCCTATTGTTACACACACTTCTGGAGCGCCGATGAGATGAGTCAGTCAATGACACAAGCCTCACCAACACTGGTCCATGTTTCATTATATAAACGCTAAATTTGAGTATCAAGTCTAGTCCGAGTCCTGTGTCTAACTGGCCGTTATTAGTCATTTTATTAAGATAATAAGTCGAGTCAATGACTTAAGCCTCCTCAACACTGATTCATCTTTTGTTCCATGTTTGTTTGTGAATTCAAAGATTCTTTTGCAAATTCTATCCCAATCTTCATTCAGACACAAAAAGCTAGAAGGTAATCCAGCAAAAATTTGTTAATACTTGTGTTATGTGGGAAGAAAATATCCTTTTTGTCGCTGCATTTTTTTATTTCATAGTTTTAACAACTTTTCATCTTCTAGACTCCAACAACCTTTGTTATACAAAATTACACATGTCGTATAAAATTATAACCATTTTTAAATTTCTTTCAGGTATTCTTAATTTTCAATATGTGCCCAAAATTTCCTTAATATTCAAATGGTTTATATATACAAAAGTGCTATTTAATTAAATAATTTTTTTTCATATATACCAAATTAATTCAGTTAAATTTAATTCTTAAAGGTAATGCCGTTATCATGCTCAGAAAACTTTGTGAAAGAAGGTTCGACCTGCTCGTTTATATGTGACGAAGGATTCGTTGTTAGTGGAAGTTCTTCTAAAGTTTGCAAAGCTGGGGTTTGGATTTTGCCTTCCTCACTAACTCAAGAGGAAAATGACGGAGATGATTTTGTAGTATCTGCGGAACCACCCTCATGTGAAAGATATTGTGTTTCTCCTACTCAGACTAATAATTTTACTTTTATTACGCCTGCTACTTGCATAATGAAAAAGTAAGTGCTTTATAGTTTATGAAATATTATACATATATATTTTTTAATGCGTTTTAAATTAGATTTTGAATCAATGGCAAATGGCGCATTATGCTACGGATATGAACATGCTTGCCATCACGCCTCTGATTACCTTATGAATATTTGGTTCAAATCCTGTGGAGATATTCATGAGCAAGAAGATTGCTGGACTCCTCACCATTGTAGGGTTGTTAACATAATGGTGGTTCGTCATATGATTGGCTTTCCCCTCTCTGAGATAAATATGAAAATCTTTGACTACAGTTCTGTGTCAAGACTATGGTGTCTGGTCCGGCCCACCATTATCATGCTGAAGTAGGCAGTTCAGTGCCTATGTTCTATGATTTTGAAAGGAGCAATGACTTTTGGGGAAACAGTATACTTTACTATTTCAGGCAATAGTATTATTCATAACCCTTGTATCTAGAATATCAATTGGTACAGTGTGTACAACTTCGTGTGATTCTGAACATATATTAGTTGGGGAAGCATTGTCAACTTGTCTACTCGATGGAACTTGGGATAACATTCCAGCTAAATGCATTGGTAGGTCTAGTATACTTGCTTTATGGAGAATATTCACGATGTTATCATGTGGTATAATACTCAATAACTTCGTTTTATACGTTGTACCTCTATTTTTCAGAAAAATGTTCAGCATTAAAACCATTGGAAGATGGAAAAGTGTTTCCACATGTTTGTACAATGACAAGCATGGGAAGTGGAGCTGTTTGTGCCTTTTCATGCTTTGATCAATACACACTTATCGGAAGTGTCACTACAACATGCAATGCAACTGGGATATGGAGTACACCAATGCCAGAATGCAAAAGTTGGTTTCGTATATATTTGAGTTATTCTGTACAGATATGGATTAGTGGTTAAAGTGTGGCACGATGGCCTTGCGGTTAAAGCATTAAACTTTATAGTTAACTATGCTTGCATTGTGGGTTACACCCATTTAAGTGAGTGAGTGAGTGAGTGGGTGAGTATCTTAATTCACATAAAATTTGCAGTTTTGATTTTGTAAATTGTGATTCAAATAGCATATCCTATGAAATAGGATTTAATGAAATAGCTATGCCTAATTGCACTTGTTCATTGTATTGTTCAGGAAGATGTTTTCCACTCACTAAAATATACAATGGAGAAGCAAGTCCCCCCAATTCTTGTTATAGTAACCATATAACAGCTGGTGAAACTTGCTCCTTTTCTTGCAATGACGGATTCACTCTGGTTGGTAGTTCATCAGCAACATGTGGTGAAGATGGCCAATGGGATAACACTGTGCCAAGATGCAATAGTGAGTATAAATTAGACTGTGTGATAGTTTTCATTTCTAGATCGTTGAAGATATTGTAAGTCTATGTTTACACACATTTTTGATTGGCTATTTGTGCTGAGGTGTGGCAACGTAACTCTGTCAATTGAAGTATATGGAGATGGCAGGTTCAAAAATCTTGTGGTTGATAATTGTTTGCTATCATTTTACTCTGAATTGCTCACTTTTTTTACGAAATTTCCAAAGCAGAATATTAGTTATCAAAGGTGATCCTGCCATACCCGGCATGGACTGGTACCCGATAGGAGGCCGTGGTTCGAATCATGATTAAGTCATCTTATCGAATTTCCTCTCCCCTGGGATATATATGTAAATCCTATTCTATTCTATACAGTTAAAATGGAATACCTTTTGTTTGGTTATCAGGTCGGGTCAACAACGCCAATAACCAGATATGATAATGCAAGTGTTATCAGTGAAAATCAGCATAAATTTGAATTCATTTAAATTTCAAGATACTTAGTACTGTTGTTCTATTCTATAATGTTGGTTTAATTCAGAACAATGTCCAGTACCTAAAATAGAAAATGGTACTTTGAATTGTACAACTGTGGATCTAAAACAAATTCAAGGAAGAAATGTGATGGATTATGTGTGGGGAACAAAATGTAAAGTTGTTTGCAACAGGGAGCTTTCTGCATCATCAGTTGCTGTTGTTACATGTAATAGCAGAGGGCAATGGTATCCTGACTTTCCTGAATGCATTGGTATTATATATATTGTATATTGTTTGTTAAATTGATCTACACTCAACTAATTGAGCATTGCAAGCGCCCACAATATACTAATAGATTTTTGTAAGTTTATCCCAGCTATAGAGATATCAGTATGTTGATATTCGTCTTGACACCTTGAGGGTTTACACTGTCAAGGGAACATATTTTCTGCAGTTTACATAACTTCTTGTAAAATTCTTTGAGATTTGCTGAAACTTTTCTTCATGCTTTTATTCTGCAATGTAATAACAATCGATTAATATTCAATTTTGCCTTAGGATAACTAAGATGTTTTATTTTGTTTTTAGAAACTGGTGTGCCAATGTACATTATGCAATCATTAGATGGTAATTCAATATGTCTGACAGAAAATGAAATCGGTGAAATAGAAAAACTCGACAAACAATCTTGTTTAAAAACATCACTTGATGGTACAACATCTCATCAGTGGCGTTGGCTTCAAAATTATAATATTCAGTGAGTTTTTCATCTGAACACTATGTTGTATATATAATATGTTATATAATTAAATTCCACACCATACTGAGTGAGTGTTGAGTACAAGTCTTTAAACTCTGAGTGAAGTCGAGTCATGGATCATCCGATTCTTGAGTCAATTCCGAGTTCCATACGAGAGGCCTGGTTCTGCGTATGGTCTTATTGTCTTACCTTTCCACTGGGATAAATATGATTTGAAAATTATCTTCTCCACAGGAATTCTGCAACTGGACGATGCATTGCTGTTTATAATGTTCGATCTGATGAACCTTTAATAACTCGGCCTTGTGATACAGAAGACCCTTTACAGTGGTGGGAATGTTCAACACATAATCCATTTCGATTGTTGCTTAGAGATACAGCCTACTCTCCGAGTACTTATATAAAGGTAATATTTTCATTCATTTCAACTCTATTAAATTGAGGCAAAATCTTCAGTAGATAAAATTCAGTATATAAAGTGTCTCGTTACATTTGTATGCTTATTGGTAGATTTCATTTGTTGTATGTTTTAAACTGTTAATCTTCAGGGTTCTTTTTTTATATGACTTTCATTCATGCTTTTGACTCTGAGCAAAGATCTGTATAAGCAACCACAGATATATAATGATATTCTAGTCGTTCAATTCACTACAACCTTGGTGAGGTTGGGCCTATGGAATTTGAGACCAAGAGATTACTGCAATGTATGCTTGATGACATTGTACAGCTTTTGTTTTCAGTTTTCTCGAAGAGTAAACTGTGTCAGTCGTATTTTACTGATGGTCACATAATCACATTCCTGCTTCACAGAATTCTGCCAAGGTGGTGTTGCAGTTGTGGAGTGATGCTCACAGCTATTTTTCGACACTGAGTTTAAGAACTATTACTTTATCCAGTTTATGCTCGAGGAGACCAGGCGGTAAAATTATAATATTAGTAATAGTAGATCACTTTCATATTTTTTTTGACTAGTGCTGAACTGCTTTCAAAATGCTTCGCAACCTGGAACATAAATGTTAAAAGATTGAAAATCAGATATTGAATGGCTGATATCAGGCTTTTCACAATACATGCACATAATCGCTTTAATACTAAATCGTTCAATCATTCTATTTGCAACGGCCACATACAGATCAGAAGCAGGAAGTAGACAAAGAGAATAAACCTGCAGTTCATGTGCAATAAAACCCTAGTACCCTCAATAACTACTTTATTATTTGTTAAATTATTATAATGTGAACTGTACAATATACACAGGGGCTTGTCCACCATTGTATGATATACCAGGAGGTATTGTAGATCCGCCAGAGAAATGTAAAACCATCGCTGTCGAAGAGGGAGAGATATGCACGTTTGATTGTATAAGTGAAACTGCATATGTGCTTGGTGATGCTTTTACATTGTGTATGGGAAATGGATTGTGGATGAATCCTATACCAACTTGTGTTGGTAAGTTTTATTTTATGATATTTTTTGTTGAATAAATTGCAGATGACTGTTTTTTTTATGTATTAGCACTGTGTTGAAGTGGTTCTCAAACTGGGTAGAACACCAGTGTGCTGCGGGATATTCTCAGGCATGTCACAGAGCTTTTTAAATTAACATAAGAACAATTGTGTTCAGTTCAATTAAAGATATCATCACTTATCTAAAATTTTGATAATTATTCTCTGTCAACTGACTCCACCTGGTATTCAGTTATTTCAGTAAAATTAAAAAAAAAATCACTTGCCAGTATGCTTTGCCTCAGTTACTTGTTTCAATTCTATTTACTCTCTCACACAGATAGTTTTAGCCTACACTTATCTAGGTTATAATTACAAATTTATCAGGTTACTGTGTCTCAAGAATAGTTCAAATTTTTCCCAAAATTTTTATCATTCCCAAAAACTTTTTGCGTATTCTCTCTGCTTATTCTCCAAAATGAAACCACTGCCATAAACAGGCGAAGTTGCCACACATAGATCAGGTCCATTGAACCTATAAAAGTTGGTTTAATTTAAAGCCAGTTAACGTTTTTTCCAATACTTCGTGACCCGAGGGGTCATCGAAATAACATCACTTTTTGGCCCATGAGACAATGATTTGTTAATGTTTCATTCTAGGTTTGAACCAACATTCTCACACAGTTGAAGTTACATATGAAGTGTTTACACAAATATTTATTAGTTAATTGTTTTCAGAGAGTTGTCCACAATTGATGGACACACTGCCAGGGAATACTTATTATGAAGATCCAGATTGTGTGTTTGATGAACCTCATGTGGATCAAATATGCATTGCCAAGTGCTTAAAAGGTTATGAGATGAGAGGAAATCCAGAACGAAAATGTCTGGCAAATGGTGAATGGTCACCTCTGCGGTTTCAATGTAGAAGTACGTTTGTAGATCTTTTCATTACAAGCCATTCATTTTATTTTTGTGCAGTTTTAACGAAAACTTTTTCGAGCTGTTATGTTTCTTTTTAATACATTTTATTATTCAATTAGTTTTTCTGATTGTGTTGGCTTGTATCATTTAATGCTTAGCTCCAACTAGTTTCTAATAGTTGACCGAGTTTTAGGTAATAAATCTTGAAATGTATCTTAGTATTTTCACGATTTTACTTTCCGACAACCATCCACTGATATGTACAGAGCTACAATTAATTTTGGACCGCAATCTTTCCAGTTTGTCATTACCTACCCAATTGACTACACTCTAGGTGAGGTGGTTATCATGGGATTTGAACCTGAGATGTGTAACCTCCGAGTTAGTTGAGACTAACGCTTTAACCACTAGGCCATTGCTCCTTTTGAAATTTAAGTTTGCCTTTCGATGATTTTTTCCTCAAGCAAAATTGTAGTAGTTATATATAATTACAGGAATTTGTCCAGTCATATTCGGCATTCTTGATGGCAAAATTGATCCTCTGCCTTGTAGAAGTGTTTCTTGTACATTCAGATGTAACCCTGGTCATGTGTTGTCTGGTCCAAAGATTTTGATGTGCTTGGATAGTGGAGAATGGGACAAACGTATTCCTCAGTGCATCAGTAAGTGTTTTTATGTAAAATTTTAGTCAATTTTGATGGAGATATGTAGTTTTTTTAAATGGTTATTGGTATACATTAGAAACATACAGCCACAGTCTGCTTAATTCTTTGTATGCAGTTCATAAGTTTTTGTTTCGTGGTGATTAACATGTGGTGTGTCGTGCGAGACGATCGTTGGACTCCTTGTTATCATGAATATACCATTTACAGAAACAATTTTTTTCTTCAAAACAAACTTGAAACAGGACAAATAAGTATTTAACCTTGAGCCATCCATTTAATATTGTTAACAGAAATTCCAATATCTCTTACATCAATAATATATTGTTAATATGCATCAACTTTTATAGACAATGGATGGCGGACTGTACTTTACAAGATATTGTGGTTTGCTGTATGATAAAGTCATCATCAACTTTCTTCTTCCTACGGATATCTATGAAAATCCTTTTACTAACATCCTACTACTTTAGTAGATGAAATGAATATCAAAGTGTTTACAAATTTGAAATAAATATAGATTGGGACTCTTTTAATTTCGAGCAAATTTTGATTAAGTTGTGTTGATTTAAAGAAAGGAAGTTTAAATAATCAGTCATAATAATAAATAATCAGGATAAGATTTCCATATTTATCTCAGTGGAAAGGAAAGTCGATTGGATGACTTCATCATGCGACGAACTACAGCCTCTCCTCTGATTATCAGTCCATGTTATCGTTGGGGAGATTTAACCAGTTACTTGTTTCAGATGCATAGACTTGAATGATTTTAGTGACGACAGAACTCTTTCCCACACACTCACATTCCATAGAATTTGAAACTGTGAGCCCGAAATAGAAAATCGCTAGAGCCACTAGCGACAGTAAACCATCATTAACTTTTATTAAATATTAGGTAGTCAAAAACAAATTTTTTTCCTCTATCCACCTCAGGAGATGACCAGTTTCAAATAATATCAATGGCTGTGAAAAGCCAATCCCTTTGTGTTACTGTGGAAGAAGATAACTTGATTGCAAAACATAAATGCATGAGTACTGATGCATCGCAACTTTTCAAATGGAAATCTAATTCTGATCTTCTTCAGCATGTTGAATCTGGACTGTGTGTTACTGGTAGTGGTAGTAAATGGGGCAAAGTTAGTAATCATAGTATTGCAAGTTGTATATTTTGTTGTACTAATGATATCGAATCAATTATTATCATTCATGTATTGATGCCTGGGAAACCAGAGCTGTTAATAAGCCAGACTCTGACTCCGGGTTGTAGGGAAATCAGATTCCAGACCCAAACTCCAAGAAATTAAATTTTAAAAACAAAAACTCTGGCGTATGCATGTCGTTTTAATAAAAGTGCACTCGCTGATTAACATTATACTTTTTAAGTTTTATTGTGAAGCTTTTTTTCAATTATTTAGTCACCACTGAAAGTCCGCAACTTCGACTCTGTCTCCAAAGCTTTGTAGGAAATGTTCTCATATAAAGTTTACAAAACAAATGATACATTAAAAAAAATAATTATTAATAGATGTTTTGCATGTACAGAAAAGCTATTATTGGATTTTTATTATTAGTTTACAGGAATTGCTCATGTATTGTGTACAAGACAGTTCTTCTCAGTAAATTTACTTTTCTTGCTATCTGAGTTCTTATGGAAATCTTTAGTTTTTTCAAAATAATTCAAAGTTTTCAATATAACTGTACGTCGCATAAATATTAAAAATTAACCAATTTTTGGTGATGCTTCAACATAATATTACACTGATACCAAATTTCCATGGCAATGGTAATCTATATTCCACTATTGGATCAAATATCAAACAGATTATCATTTAAAGTCAAGTAATAGCTGTAAACAATTCATTTCTTAACAGTAGAATTTATTGTCAATGGTGCTCTATTCATCTCCAGATAACATTACAAGATTGCGATTCTACAAATTCGTTCCAATTATGGGATTGTGGAAGTAGCCCTCACTCAGATATAAACAGCTTGAGAATCTCTGTAGGTTTGTAACCTAAACTTTTCAATTCTTTGTATCTAATAGGATAATATTTTCATATTCATCCTGGGGGAGAGGAGAAGCCAAGACGACGACTCGATCATATGACGAACCACAGCCTATTGTCCAGTTACCAGTCCATGTTAGCAATGGAAATAGTTATTTGTTTTAGGTGCATGGACTTGACGATGGAGGAAGTCCTAACTGATCAGCGGTTTGCGAACTACCCTATAACGAACGGCTGGGAACAACAATTCACTTTTACATAATTATGTTCCAAAGGATTCAATCTTGCAAATCCATGCACGGTAATTAAAGGTGTGATGGCAAGCGCATTCCTAACACCTTGCACGATACTCCAACCACTAAACTGCTGCTGATGACAATATGAAATATTATTGTGACAGGTGGTGAAACATATTATTTGGATGTCGGGGCTGAGGAGGATGGCCACAGTCTTTCTGAGAAGATAATTAGACATCGGCTCGTAATGGAAACTCAATATCATTTTTCATCACATTGGATAGCAAAACATTATTTTAGTGAAGGTTAATTTCAATTAGTTTTAGTTCTTTGAGTTAGTCGCTGTAATGCATTCAACTTTGCACAAATGTGAGAAAATTTGGCTTCAGTTTTTTTGAATTACCGGTAAATGAATAGGAATGTCTCACTCGCCTTATTATTTGATTTGAATATATTTTCTTGTCTGTCCAGTATATATGAAATTGAATTTGTCGAAAATTAGATAATTAGGTGTTTGTGAATAAGTAACTTTAGGTTTTGCTGTATACCTAAGCTCAAAATTTGTTTGATATACAGGGTGATCAGACCAAGTGTAGACAAATGTTTAATAAAACATCTACAATATACATGTAAGAGAGAAAATAATTATTTTTCAGAAAATGGCAATACAAAGATAAATAATAGAATTCATTGTTATTTTTCGATATATCCTCCTTTTGCCTTCACTACACGCCCTGATCTGTTTGGAACTTGACTGCACGAGGCATGTATGGTTTTTCTGTGTTCATCAATGTATGCTTTAGAACTGTTGTTCTCAATCTGAGATACGCGCACCACTAGTGGTACGCAAGCAGCTTTAAATTATTGCAACAATTAACTTTTGTATTTGCTGAACAGCGTTTATAGGCAGTAGCAATCTCTAAAAAATAAGAACTGGTAGGGCTATAAGCGCCGTTTAGCGAATAGAAAAGTTAATTGTTGCAATAATTTCAAAGCTGCTGTCGTTCCACTTGAAAAGCTCCCGCGTATCACTAGTGGCGTGCGTAACTCTGGTTGAGAACAATCGCTCTAAGGCAGGGGTAACAACATACGGCCCGCGAGCCGTGACCGGCCCGCGACGAGATTTTGACCGGCCCGATTTTCGAAATTATATTTTATATTAAGTTTTATTATCCATGGAATATCCCAAGAAACGTAAAGTTGACAGAGAGTGTCGAGCATTTAACAAAGATTCGATACCGAAGTATTTTTAGTAATAATCTGGCCCGCCGAGGACTCCAGTTTCCCACATCTGGCCCGTCGACTAGAGAAGTTGCCCACCCCTGCTCTAAGGCATAGATTTATGACTTGTTGGAACAAAATTTCAGAAAAAAAACATTTGTGTCTCGTGCAGTCAGGTTCCAATCAGATTGAGGCGTGTAGTGAAGACAAAGGGAGGATATATCGAATAATAACAATGAATTCTATTATTTATCTTTATACTGCTATTTTCTGCAAAATAATTTCTTTCTCTCTTACAGTTCTATTGTAGATATTTTTATATAACATTTGTCTACATTTGGTCTGATCACCCTGTACATAGAATGGGACAAATTTTAAAATAGCATGCTGAGGAAGTTTCATGAGCAATTTTTGTGAGAAAATACTATGAACTTTGACCTCTGATTGAATTTTAGATTTTTTCTGTTTAAAAATTTCAATTCATATCAAAAAAACACAATTATTCTTGTTAATACCATAAATATATTTTGATATTTGACTCACATGAAATTTTATGTACGGTTGTTCATGATTGATCATTTTGCGAATAATTCCTTAAACTATTCCATTGAAGGTGTCAAAAATCTAAATATGATTCCAATAATAATAATAAATGCTCTGTTTCAACTACAGGAACTGTATGTTCAATGAAAGACATCAAACAATGCCCTCAATTTGTCATATCCAAACACGGAAAAGTGTCTCCTGATGATTGCAAAGACCATACCAAAGTGAAAGAGGTAATTATGTGCAGGTTGCAAGACCTACATTTGTAGACTTCACAGTTTATTATCATATCTACTGCATGCAAATCTAAATTGTGCGTTTTTAAAATTTTTGCAGGGACTTGTTTGTCATGTATTATGTGATGTCGGGTTTTCCTCAGAAGCCACAACGCACTCTACCTGCCTGCAAGGAGGTAAATGGACATCTCCAATGCCTGTTTGCAAAGGTTTGTTAACAATCAAATACATTTTGAGCCCCAATGCTTTATATTAGGATAAGGATTCAGATTTTTTTCAAAGAATAAAAAACAATAAGTCAGGTTTAACAATGTAACAAACGACTGTCTTTTGTGCAGAGATAGCACATCAACTGCTTACCAGTTCTGAGTTCCAAGTGCATGGACAAGGTGTAGGTGCTGATTACTGTTAAAGTTACATGTACACTTTTGCAATGCACATATTTCGGCAATTAAAATCACCTATTAGTAAAATTAACGGTACTCCCGAAGTATGTGAACCAAAATGATAGACACCGGAAGTGGAACGTAGTATGTGTACCAGGTTAGGGTTAGGCTATAATTTCATGTACAAATACTACGGGAATGGCTAGTCCCTGAACTCATAATTGAACTCAAATAACGAAAATTAGAATAAAATTATGGCCTAACCCTTACCTGGTACACATACTAAGTTCCGGTACCTGCCATCTTGGTTCACATACTTCGGGAGTACCAAATTACCAATGATATCAATGTTATATGAAAAATCTTGAATGTGGTGATTTTCTTATCTACCAGTCTTATCACAACACAGATTTCACAGCTTATTCCCAATTTTCTCTCTTATTTCAGATGATTACAAATGTGATAAACTTGTTTTATCAACACCTGGAGTCGAAGTATCACCGACTTCTTGTACTGAAGATCCAGTGAACGAGGGTGAAATTTGTTACTTTTCTTGTGCTCAAGGATTCAGCTTATCTGGAAGTAAATCTGTGAAATGTTTGAATGGAGGTACGTTTTTCTAATTATTATTCAGATAGTGGATACTACTGAGAGCAATTGTGGTTAAAGTGATAGACTTAACTATGTTGGCATCACTGATTAAAAATTGTGGGTTCAAATCTAATGTAATCCACCTGTAAGGATTTAGGAAGGCAATGCTGAACTTCAATAATTTCAGTCCTCTCTTGTTCACAGGGAAAGGCATGTAGATAAATTATATAAAAAAAATATACTATCATCAAAAGTGATAAAACTGAAAAAATTCGTAAAACATTTGTATTAAAAAAAAATGAAATACGGTATATAAAATGGAAAATTAAAATAAATTATTCTATATCTATTATAACGTGGGGACATAGGGTGGTTCACAAAACCGATGGTTACTTATGGCTTCTTCCACTACCAAGTCAATGCATCTCAAAAAAATGTCTTGTTACCTATTCACATACCCATTATAGACTTGTAACCAAGTGAGAGAGGGCTTGGTTTGCTTATCCTTCCTCTTCCTTGGATAAATATAAAAATCCTAACCTAACCTTTTAACTTGTTACAGGTATTTGGTCAAACAATCCGCCAACCTGCTTGCAAACGTGTGGACCCTTATTGTTACCAGACAATGGGTGGGTTTCACCATCCTGGTGTCTTGGTCATAATAATATAGCGGAAACTGAATGCAGTTTTCAGTGTGAAGCTGTATATCATCTGTCTGGTTCTTCATTACGAAAATGCAAACCCAGTGGTGTTTGGGATGGAGTTGACACAAAATGCACAAGTATGTTGGTATTTATTTATGTGATGATTAGAATCGCTGGTAGTAAATTGTTTATTTTATTATATTCACTATAAACATTTTGATATGATTGTCTTAGAAACAAGAGAGCAATGATGAAATCGGTACCAGTACGGTAAGGACCAAGATCAATGAGCTTGCTTAATAGAAATTACTAAATTCTTGTTTAGGGTTTTTGATGTTGTTATTGAGAAAAAATCACCTTTCTCTACCACTGGAAGACTATCACTTTTTTTTTTAAATTTCCTCTGAGTCTGGGAACCAATGTTTCACCAAAAAAAATTTTTTTTTATTGAAAGGGAACACATTTTATTGCCTGTTGCTTGTCTGATATTTTAATATAAGATTTTTATATTAATCATTATGGGGAACTACAGCATCTCCGGTTACTGGTCAATGTATCTCCAGTTACTGGTCAATGTCGGGTATGGGGTAAGTTAACTCGTTGCTTGTTCCAGTTGCATGGACTTTATGTTGGAGAAGGCCATACCTGACTAGTGGTTATGTGAATCACCCTTGACTAAAAAGGGGGCCAGCAATACACTCGTACATGATTATGCAGGGTAATGGGAGGTGTGATGACAAGCATGTTTCAGGGTTTATCACAATGCGCTAACCACTGCATAAGCTCCATATCTGCATATCATTTACTGATATTTCTTTAAAGAATATTGCAAAAATTTGCAAGCACCAAACAATGGAATCGTTTATCCTACCAGATGTAAAACAGATGACAATTATGAAAAGAATGTCTGTCAGTTTCAGTGAGTCAAAAAATAATCTCAAGTTTATTATTAGATAAAATTGGTCAGCATCAAGTTATATGTATGATGTGTATGTATGTTCCGTCATCTAGTAACGATAATATATATAGATAAGCTAATATTATGTTCAAGACGGGATGCATGTACAAGACCATATTGGCCTTAATCACAAGTTGCGACATGAACCTCTTCAGACAAATATTGGACAGAATAAAATATGAACAGTATAGTCAGTTATACATTGGGTTGGGGGCTAATAGGCAAAGCAGCGGCCAGAGGGTATAGGGAGTAACAGGGGTAAGAGTGAAGTATACAAAAGGAGTTCATGTGACAACACTACATATCTAAATATCGAACACACAGCATAGACTACTTTGGACATATACAAAATAAATGAAACGTTGGGCAATTTCCGAACTCAAACCTCTGGTCAATTGATTGAGAATTTTTGGGGTATAATAAATTGATATATTATTTTGTATGTTCTTTTATTTAAGGTCTTGTTTTTTGTTTTTTCAAACATTTTTTTTAAAATGTAGATTTTAATTTTTAAGCTCTATATTTTCTATCAATAGATGTGAAAGTGGTTATGTTCTGAGTGGAGCTTCCTCTCTGGTTTGTTCAAATGGCAATTGGAGTCATCCTTTGCCGAGTTGTATTCGATTGAATGCTTGTCCATTGATATCTTCAACAAGGGATTGCCCAATGAACATTGTTTATCATGATTTGTGAGTAACCATTTTTAATTTTTTATTTTTCCCTGGAAATAGATATGTTAGGATTTTCATATTTATCCAGAGTGAGGGGAAAGGAGATTGGACAGCTTAATCATATGGTGTCCACAGCCTCTAGACTGGTTACCAGACCATGTCGGGTAGTTAGCCAGTTATTTGTTCCAGATGCATCAGGAAATCGTTTCTGAAGCTACCTAAACAAGGACACATTATTTTCTTGATATCAAATAAACCAATCAGGGTGAGCCAAAAAAACACACCCCAAGTCATGAGGAACATCATCTAAAAAGAACATAATTTGTGCAAAGTGTCCTGGATTAATGAAACATCATACACCAACAGAAATTCGGGTGTTAAATCAATTTTCTTAGTAAAAAGGTATTTAGGAAATTTATGGGTTCTTTTTTTTTTGACCACCCTTTTGGATATCACATACAAAATTTAGTAATTGTGATTACATTATTTTATTCTCATTATTTTTAGATATAAAGATGAAGCAGTCATTCCTGGATCACAGGTTTCTGTTATATGTGGTGCTGGATGCAGTTTAGTCAGTGGACCTGTTTCAAGAAGTTGTAATTCTGATAACGATTGGGATGGAGGACTACCAGTTTGTGAAAGTAAGTCTGTTTTTAAGTTGGTTGTCTCTTAGGTTAATCGATGTCGTTTGTGAATTTTACTGAATGCTATGAATTCAGCAACTTCCCATGTCAGGAAAAAATTTTTTTTTTGGAAAAAGAAGAAAATTTGTGTGTTTGACAATCTGCATGAAATAGATTTCACACTATAGTGTACCGGTAGTTAAAGCGTTATGCTATATTAGCACAATATAACATTTTGCAAAATAATTCTATTCTATCGTATCTATCACACAGAACAATGTCCTGCATTTATGTCAAAAATGGGTGTTTTGGTAAAACCAAGCAGCTGTGGACAACTGTGGCAACCAAAAGGAACAAAATGTACTTTAACCTGTGTTGCTGGAATGGTATCTGAAGATGAAATTGCTGAAGTAGATTGTACTGATAATGGAAAATGGTCGGAAATCAATTTCAGTTGTCAAAACGAAGATGGCAGAGGTGATTATTGCAACCCTTGAAAATTCTAAATACAACTTTTTTTCTATTCATTCTGTACTTAACTGCAAGGTTGTACACATGTGTATTGGGCCGAAATGGTCTTATATACATAATCTCCAAATTGAATATTTTCTTTATGTATTCGTATATGAGACAAATATCTAAATATAGACGTATTATCAGAATTTAAACTTATGTGTTTGCTGAGAGGAATTATATTTTTGCAAATTTTTTTTTAAATTTTGTCTGTTTTGCGGTTTTCCCTCCTGGCTTTTGTTTGTTTGTGACTTTTTTATGGAAAAACGAAATAATCTTACTTACTAATTTCACTAAAATCAGGGTGGGTAGCTGGTTTGGAATCAAATTGGACCTGGGGCCACCAAAATTTCAGGTCTTTTCTCCATTTTTTTACTGTGTACCTTTTAACAATTAAAATCAATTATTGAATTTGACAAATACCTTTAATTTTAGGTAATGAATCTGTAAGCAATCCTTTTCTGATCCGACAGCGTTATTCAAACGATGTTCATATTTGTCTTCAGGTATTTTCATGTTCTAATCTGTGCCAGAATAAGTTTTGTATTAATCGCAGTGTTGAGTATAAGTCACTAAACCCTGAGTCGCTCATCTGAATTTCAGTCTTTTGAATCTGTGTCTCAAGTATTAGCATAATAAGCTAAATGCCACAAGAACACATAACCAGAAGTTAAAATAGATAATTTTTTAAAACATTCTCAAACATCCTTATAATTCCTATACCTAAAAAGGCATAGTGACATCGTAAGATGTTGTGGTTTGCCATATGATAATTATGAACAATAATTACTTAATAATATTCTTAATCAAATCTTGTATTTACAGTATTTTATATATTTTATTTACAGGCTAGTGTTACTAATGAATATGTTGTTCAAGCATCTGCTGCATCATGTTCAAAAATTAATTTATCTCAGTTATGGACTTGGTTTAATTATAAATTGATTCGAAGTGTTTCATCTAATCTATGTTGGAGTCCAATGAGAAGGGACGGAGGTATTTTACTTGGGTTGGCTAAATGTGATCTTGAAGATAGTGGCCAGGTGAGTATAAGATTTTTTACCTAAACGGTAAAAGGGGATTAACTTTTCCAGAACTTTTACGAAAGATCACGTTTTTATTTAAAATAAAATCTATTTTTATAGAAAAAATAAAATAAATTTGCTGTTTGATTAGGTTATATCTTGTTTAGTCTGAAGAAATTTTAGACTATGATCTAACGAAAGCTTACAAATCTGGTTGCTATTTCATGAAAATGGATTATGTCATTCTTATTTATCTTCTTAATACTCTCTTGTACAAGCTTTCTTGTGGCAACACTTGTCTTGTGCAAGAATTTTGTGATCTTGAGATATACAAAAACTGGTTGATCAAGACGCATGGGAAAAAGGGGCATTATGTAACACATCACACAAATATGTATATTAATACTGTAATCTTGATTGTTCTCGTGTACTTTTATATAAATGATATCGAAGAAGAAGAGATATTGAAACGAACGATAACTCATAGTTTGCCATATTGACCATGATTTTTCATTGAGTTCCTCTTTTTCTAAGATAAAAATATTCACATTCTTTCAGGTGTTTACCTGTGGTGATACTGAGCTTCAACAATACATGCTTCATATAGTGACGGAAAAAATGGAAGTTTGGAATAGTGGATCGTCAGTTATTCAACTTACTGCATTGCCTGTTGACCAAGGCTTAGACTGGGAAGCAGTTGAAGTTGATTCTATGGATATGTTTAAGAGTAATAACAATATGTCTCTTCAGAATTCTGTATGCAGGTAAGTAGGTGGCACAGCCTATTATTGTATTAAGTAAAAGGCTATGAAATTTTGACCAATTGAACAGTTTAAGATAGTTGTGGATTACAATGAAGCTAGATTAGGTCAGGGGTTCTCAAATTTTTGGTGTTATGAAAGCCCGGAATGGGTATACAATTATTTACAGAACCCCGCAAATTTGACAGTTGACATTTTGATAAGGAGGTGTCAAAATGTGGAAACAAGGCGGTAATTGAAATATGGCATCATCTATTTTAATAATCAAGCTCCCTAGGTTTTTCTCACGAAGCTTCGAGGCTCCGTATGGAGAACCTATCAACTAGGTGGAAATGCAATTCACCAATAGTTTAAAGCCAAAGTTACAATAGCAGCAGCCCAGATACGGCAGCAATACTCCAACACTTCATGCTAGGGCATCATAGGATTGTATTGATAAAAACCGTAATCTAAAAGTCTGAATTGTTTTCTTAACAACTATAGGCTACTTTACATTTATCATACATGCATCTGGAAATGAAAAATACCTGTCTGATCCCTTACCCAACATGGGCTGCTAATCAGACGGGACCTAACTCTATGATTAAGCCATCTTAACGCATTTCTTCTCCCCCGGGATAAATATTAAATCCTATTTTATCATATGATTAAATACTAGGAAATAGCTTGTTTTTGCTTGAAAATCAGTTTCATGTTATTGATTTAGGAAATTCTTCTTTTTCTGTAACCTTGAATATAGAAAAACAAAAATTAATTTATTGTTTAACTCTTTAGGCAGATGTGTGGTGGAGTTTTATCCAGTGACAGTGGAGTATTCAGTAGCCCAGGATTTCCTTTGAAATATAGATTGAATATTTTGTGTGACTGGACTATTAAAGGTATTTGTCTGATATTCTTCATTTGTATTATAATTGTTTTCTCTTTGTTAGGCTCCGATAATATATCAATGTCATGTGTTTAATCACTGAGGAAGTTTCCTTTATTTGGCGATTCGATAGTTGTTCTACCTGGTCTTGTGATAGGAACACACTCGTCATTTCTTCAATATATTGCTCTACATGAGGATCACAGTTTTTTATTTTGCGGGTTATGATTATTTTCAATAGATTGGTAGACTTCATGTTATCTCAGCAGTATTTATGCAATTGCTGGTCAGTTGACGCATTTTTGCACAATCATGTCTTTATATTAAAATCATTGGACTGACTGCTATTCTTATACTGTTGTAAAATATGTACTTATTAACAAATATAACAAGAATATTAATTCTCACCCAAACAGCTTTTGAAATTTTAGTTGTCTCCTGTAACTTTGCTATGAAATGAGTATCCTTTACTTCTGTGAGGGTGATCTTGTTTTTATTAAATTCTCCTTTGACAAATGAGAAAATTATAATTTTGATTGAATGATATCTATCGAAATTTTTTTTTATTTATTCTTATTTGCATTTTATGTGAGTGGTGCGCAATACCTGTTTAACTTGTTGATAATTCAACACATGAATTATGTTTCACAGTTCAATCGATGCAAATTATTTGTATGCAAATTTTGTCATCCTTGACATTCTTAAAATCTTAATAATAAAATAAATCAGATCATCTTGCCACATATCCGCAAATTTTATATTCTTGGATATCTATCAATCATGTTTCCAACCTCATACATTTTTTAAGCTCCCGGGAAAAAAATATATCTGTGGTTGCACAATGTTGACATTGGGAAATCTAAACCAAATGAATATGGAAGATGTACTGAAGATAGTTTAGTAATTGTTGATGGAGATGACTCCTCACTGGAGAATTCTAATGTTCTTGGGCGAATTTGTGGTCAGCTATATAATAATTTCATTTAACTTTATCCTTTACATTCATAAGGATAGATCTGGACGCATTCTTATTCAGCTTAGCACTTTTGAGTAAAACAGATCTCACAATGTGGATTGACTTTTGTCTTTGCTTTGAAAAATAATGGCAATATCTGTACGAACCTCTCAATTTCACCAGGAATCTTACTTCATATTCTTACTCTACTCTATTATACATCAATAGTTTTTATCTTTCTATGATGCAAAACATAACTTTTTATCTGTATGCCCATGGTGTGAATCAGTCATTCAGTAAAACAAGATTTATCACAAAAAAATTGGTGTAATATGTTTTGAACCCATTCTAGGTACTGTTATACCAAGATTTAATGTCAAAACTTCGTGTAGCCAGGATAAGCTGACATTAATTGACGGGCACATAGTGTGGTAAATTTAAGCGCACTATTATTTCCATACATGTCAAAGTATTAGTGAGATAGTCTTTGTTTTTTGAATGACTGAAGAAATTATTTTCAGGACAATGGAAAACGACCTTGGGTCCATTCATTAGCATGAATGGGAAAATGTTGATTCGATTCTTCAGCAATAATGACTTTGTTGCAACTGGTTTTTCAGCAACATGGGATACAGAGCAACTACCTGAGAAATTAGCAGGTTATTCTGAACTATATTCTTCTCACTATTGTCTATTGAACAATGCCGTTAGGTACGGTATGTGGTTATTCTGAACTATATTCTTTTTACTATTGTCTATTGAACAATGCCGTTAGGTACGGTATTTACTTATGGCCAAGGTAGGCAGTTTAATTGCATATGTTATCTAAATGTCTTTCAGGGTTGGCGTATGTTTCAGTGTCAGTGTACTTGTGGTCGATGACGTATCATATCATACGAAATCATATTATTTAGATCAGCGTTCTTCAAACTGGGGTTCCGGAAAGGGTTCAATTGACATTTTTTTGACATCAACTTGTATTGAATCAAAATATTGATCAAATTTGAAAGATTTGGAACCAGTACGACGACCAATCATCACCAAAATAGGGCCAAGATTTAATCTCTTGTACATAATATGCAAGCACATCAATCTCATTGAAGGAATTCCCAATTTTGATATTTTTTGTTAGATTTTGGTAGATGGCGACTCAAGCTCAATTTGAGTCGAGTCAATGAATGACACCTCATCAACACTAGAGACAACTTGTTTGTTTTTGAGTTTAAATTACAATTGACTTTTAAATTATTGTTTCTAAACAGCACTCATTATTTAACAATTAATAGATTGTGCATCAGTAGCTGCACCAGCATCTGGAAAAAAGAAAGGACGTTTGGTTGGTGGCACAGAAACTGAAGTATCATCAGTTCCTTGGCATGCAAGTTTAATATCTCTTCAAGGACAACAGCATCTATGTGGTGCAACGTTTGTTCACTCACAGTACCTGATAACAGCAGCCCATTGTGTGTCAGATTTAACAAAAGAAAGGTAGTGGAAGAATTATCAGTTTTACATAAAAACTGCTTGGTTACATGTTGTGTGAAGAAATTCCGGACAAAGAATTTGAGATTTAAAATGAATCCATATAGATTCTTGCATTGTTGTTTTTATGAAGAATATAACTAAAAATACAAATTATTCTTCCAATTGATCAACAACCTAACTAAAGTTCAAATAACTTCAGAAAAGAAATAACGAGTGGTTTTGTTTGTTTTATTTAGAATTATTATGTAGTTTTAAAGATGGACTTAGCAAAGAATTTTTTCAATTTTCAGTAATCATATTTTGTAGGCAGATTTGATTTTTTTATTTGATGCTTTCATTCTAAACAAGGCACTTTGATAGCAGCCACTGATATCCGCAATATGCAAGGATCTACTGTTTTTGGAAGAACTGAAATCTTTCCAGTTTTGCATTGCCTAACTAGCTTATTACACTTTGGGTGAGGGAGGGGTATCTGATTTGGATTCAAGATGTGTAACCATTGATGCCAACACAGTCCAGTGCTCTAATCACTGGGCCACCGAGTAAATTTGCTTGTGAATTTCATAAGTCAGCCTTCGTCACAGAAGGTTGTTCCATTAACAATATTTACATAAATTCAAAATTCAAATCTAAAGCATGTCAGATGTCATTGTTGGTTATGGAGGATCAAGCCTGCGAATCTTGCTGAATCTTATCCATGTATTTACGGCTCAAAACACAGACAACAAACAATCAATGAATACAAGTGATGGAGCAACTTTAGTGAGAATTAAAGATATTCATGTTCATCCTGAATTTGATGACAACATGAATAATGATATTGCGGTGATCAAGGTTAGCCAGACCTCTTAATAAGTCAATGGGTTTGTATTTGTCTATATATCAGCATTCAATTGCGCTAAAAATGAACACAGAAATTTCTGATGGACTAGCATTATACAATTTTATTAAACGCTCTTATTTCCAATACGTTAATTATATTATGACTATAGGTTATAATCGTAATGAGGAGTCTGCAACTGCTTCGTAATGGCATGTTGCAAATTTATAGTCTGCTCTGACAGGATGGATCATGTAATCGCTAACGGGCTACAAGCTCAACATTCAAGCGATGTTGAGTCATTATAAGTATTTATTTAAATAGACAGAAATTTAAAAAGCAACAAATTTTGTTTTATGTTTTGCAACCTGATTTTGCTTGTTGCCCACTAAAAAAATAGAAGTATTAACTGATTCATAAATTATAATCATCAAGAATTTTTGATGGAAAATATGTCTATACTTTCAGATTGCTGTTAAATCTACTCTTGATGCATCAGTTGCATGCCTTCCTTACCCTCATGTGGTATCGGATTCCTCAAATTTTGGTAGAATAGAAATAGCAAAGCAGTATTGTAGAGTGGCTGGTTGGGATGCAGAAGGTAACGGAGGTAAGCAGCGTAAATGTTTTGAACTAATTCAAGTAACTTCTCATAAGTAAGTTGTTCCCAGTGATTACATACACAATGTATTATTCATGAGATATGGTGAGCATAAAGTATACAAGAAGTCTGAAAAGCTTTGTGAAAAATAAAACTGGAGGAACGGAAACCAGCTCTGCTTATATTGGACGGAGACTGAATATTTCTCGCCACCCATTCAGAAATTTATTCTGGAATCGAAACCTACAAATTTTAGAAAATCAAAGTTTCGGTAATATTCACGTTCAATTATTTTCAGGTATTCAACCACTTCATTCAATAGAACTACCAGTACTATCTGATGATCATTGTGATGCATTGTCAACAACATCATTTGGAAGAACAATTAATACAACTTCGATAATATGTGCTGGGCATTTTGATGGAACGCAGCAAACTCTTTGTGATGTAAGTTTCATCTCAAAACATACTGTGGGTTGTTGTAAGAATAATATTCGTTCTTCAAGTGCAATAGCATGTTAATGAAGAATAATGGTTGTTGAAATTGCATTGTCTCAGGCAGTGTTTGGGGTGCTTGAGGTATTGACTCTGCCATTTATCAAAGACTTGTGTCATCCAAATGAAATGGCTCAGACTCAACTAACCACCAGATTGACATAACTCAGTGATTGACTCAGCTGACCCGTGACTTGCAGTTCAGGGACTTTTATTCAATCTGGCCACAAGTCATTATATATTATTATCCTTGAACTTTTAGTTTAAGTTATTGTCTATTTAGTATATATAGGAATTTCATCTCAACACTTGTTGCATTGCATTAATCTAGTACCTCATTCTCAATGTGTTGATCTTTAAAATTTTTACAAATACAATACAATTCCCAAATTTGATCTTTTCTCACTCCCAGTAAGTTACTAGGCTATATTAATACCATCATAACATTATCAAAGATTGGCAATGTTGCAACAATTATGCTAATAGACGTTCTGGCAAAAAGGTAACTGAAAACAAAGTAGAACTGCAGTGAACTGAACGGCTAATTGAATCTTGAATGAATGAATCTAAAGATCGAGTATAATGACTTTACATTTTTGTCTGTATATTGTTTCAAAAATTAAAATTGTCTACCTTTTATTTAACATATCTCCTGCCATTATATTCATTTTACATAATTTTGAGGCAGTGGTTCCCAACCGTTTTTGTAGGATTCCTCCATTTGCTATTTTGGGACTCTTCATTCCTCCCCTCCCATTGCATAAAACTACTTTACTTGTTCAATCTTCAATGTTGATAGAATATGTAATCGTACATGTCACTGATAGGGTAGTGTAATTATGGTATACAATCACACTGTATTGATTTTCAAGGGCGATGATGGAAGTGCTCTTGTATGTGAATGGAATGGAAACAACTATGTTGTTGGAGTAGCAAGTTTCCAGGTTGCACCGTGCGGAAAACTCAATGTGCCAAAGTATTTTGCAAGAGTCGCAGCTTACAAAGAGTGGATTTTGCAACATTTCATCAGTTAGATTTAAAAGAGTAGTGAGATGAAAATTGTTTTTATTTTGTTTCAATTTTATTGCAAACCACATTGGAAAAGTTTTTCAATCTGTGCAATAATTTTATATTTGATTGCTATGTCACTTGTTCATTGGTTCGTTCGTTCATAGAAAAATAACTCGATTTATTCATGGAACATGTATCATGCGAAAAACTTAAAATATATGTCTGGTATGAATCTATATATATATTTGAATCGGGTAGATCGCTTTGACGAGACAACAGAACAGATTCTGCTCAGTGCATTTTTAACATCAGAGTTTTATTGAGTTTTTTAATTTGGAGTTGCAGTGTGAAGGAGCTTACACGATTCATCATAGCTTGGTGTCTTTTATAAGAAATCCTTGTTTAAAATATGCTAGCAACTCCGCCTAAGCATTTCCAAGTGCCCAAAAAACGTGTTTTTATTCTATGCCCATTTCGACATTTGCATTCATAATTACATTCATGGAATACAAAAATTTTATGGAATGAATGAGTTTTATACTACTGTAAAGTGAGGATTTCAAGCAGTAGAAGGAAGTGGATAAATAAGTCGATGAAACAATTTGAACAGCGTGATATTAATGGGGATATCAGTTTTGATCAATAGTTTGCTGTCCTATAACTTGACCTGACCAGTTGAGGCTCTTTCCTGTGATACCATGTGCTGCGCCTGCAAACAAGATATTTGGTGGATTCAATAAAATGACAACACACTGGATCGACCCCATAACATTTAATTGTTTATTTCTTCATTAAATTTTGAAAAATTTGTCCTGGATACTGTTTGAATACCAATATTTCAAATCAAACTGACACGGGAAATTATCTATTCCCCCTAGTTTGTAAAAGGCTATTCACAAAAATTCAACATCAAATCATCGAAAGTGAGAAAGATGACTACACGAACTAAACTTTGCCAACGATACAATTTCAATTTTACAACAATAATAAGCAATTTCAAACAAAGCTAAAAATGTAAGTTTTTACTCCCATAACCACATTCCCCAAATGACATAATGTTAAAAATATTGATTATACGAAAACATGCTCTCTGTCATACCGGATCCGGGTTTTTATTCGTACTCCACGCACTGCCACTATAAAATTTGAATGCCTCTGGTAGCAAAATTGCACAACAAACTGCTTGCTCGATTGCAGCGTTTTTCGTCTGGTGCACCAAAACTTGTGTTGTTATTTTTGTTGATTCACGGTATTGCATGGTCGTTTTTCTTCCACTACTGGCATTAAGTGTCTCATATTGTTCGAAATACAAAAAATGTAAGCTAGGCACCAGGCAGACAGACAAGTGCTGAGATGAGTGCAGGAATGCTGCACAGGTAAGAAGGTGACATTTGTTTTGACTGAGAAGTTAAAATACCGGTTTCGTATTCTACGGTGCCGGCAGCCTACTGATTTCGAATATTTAGTTAAAATTGATTGATTGACAGATTGACCGTATTATTCTGCAGGCTAGTCGCTAGTTTAATTATTCCTGTGTGCATACAGAAATTTTGTTTTTGGTTGAGGTTTAGCTGTCAAGTTAACGTAATGACCAACAACTAATGTTCTGCAACGGGATTCGATTTGAAGGGGCTACTTGACCGGAATTACAATTGGAATATACTAACTTGGGGAAAAGTCGAGCTGATAACATAACTCTTGAAGGCGTACGACAAACATCTTTTCGTGCCGGCATGTCATTCTGTATTTACTGTTGGTTTGTATCGCCTAATATCAAGATAAACAAAGCCCATCCACCAGAATTAAAAGTATTTGGATAAAAGATTGGATTTGAAGTTGAATTGTGGACGATCTGTTATGGGTGTTTTGCGAGGATTGGGTTCTTTGATGAATCTAGTTGTGGATGATAGAACAGAGCTCAGAAAATACTGCACCTGTTGGAATGATGGTTGTGCGTGGAAATTCGATATTAATGTTGCAACCGATTTAACAATCTTTTCAAGACATTTAAATTTGGCATATATATGCAGATATTCCGTATAGGATTGTATAAATTATTATTACTGTAGCTTGAGTGCTTCAAAAGTAAAACAGCCCGAAGGTTCAATACCTTCGCGTATCTTTTGTTTCTTTATTTCTGGCCCAACCCTTGTTTAACTAGGTTTGTGTTTTTTGTCATTTTTTTTTTGTGTGTGTGTGCTGGTGGGCGGGCACTTGATATTTTTCATGTTTTAAACTTTTTTAAAGGTTTTGCTCGTTCTCCAGAATTCTCCATTTATATTTTGTATGTATTATGGAGTTTTCAAAATAAAATCTATCTATCTGTGTATTATAATAGGCCTATTCAGCTATTAGACTATCTCAGTTGAGACAGAGTTCTGTTATTGCTGTATTATGTGAATTAAGAAATCTCTGAATCTACGGTAATATAAACTTGTTCAAGTCCTTCCCTGTTTTGGGCAAAGCTATCTGGACTTCAGGACAGGACTTTTGATCCAACCTCATACTGTCATTTTAGTCTAAGTCAGAAAATCTTGAGCGGTGAAGAGTTTTTGTTATATTTGTTGTGCAATCTGAAAACATCAAGATTCTGATTCGTTTGCTCCCCTGATTTCATAATCAGTTTTTATTTATTTGTTTTTATCTGTCAAATGTATTGTTATGCTGATTAGGGAGTCGAAATAAACTTATACTTACATGACTTATGAATCTGGCAATCAATCAATTACAGAATTGAAGATTTTGTAGACTTTTTCTGGTATATTTCCTGCATCTCACCCATGTGATTAGTTTGTGAATAAAGACAGATGAAAGTATGAAAAATTTAGTATAACAATTTTCAATTTCCCATTTCAAGTTAACATAGCGATAATGATTGATATGGAAGAAGTAGGGTAAATCTTTAATATAGTTTCTTCAAATGGAAAATTAGTGAAAATGGCTGATTTACTTAGAAGAACTCTTGAAGATTTACAAACTACCATACAGGATAATCGTGTTGTTGAGGCAAATTATTTCATCAATGACCTGAGATCTGCCTGCTTTACATCGTCATCTTCTTCAAAAATTGGTAAGTTTGTACATGTATGTAATGTAAAGCCTACCTTGGTACCATTAAGTTTCCTTCGCAACTGAGAATCTTGAAATAATCTTTTATTATGCTGAGGTCTAATCACAATGAAGGATATTCTTTTCACAATAAACTATTCCCTTAAATAGAGCTCTTGGCACTGGAAGTTTTGACATACTATATTTCATATCAGTACTCCATAGAAAAACAGACCATCACTAATCTGTTAAGCCTTTCTGGTCGAATGGAACATGATTATTCATTGTATTTTTCAGGTTTGTTTTGCTCATTGATTTTTAAAGGCTCGAAGAGTTTGCTAAATTTCATCAAGAAAATCAATCATTTACCAGTGGTATGACTTGAATATTTTTGTAGTAAGATAAGAATTCCATATTTATACAACAAGTGAGGAAAGTTGATGAAACGATTTAATCATATATAGCTAATAATCGTGGCCCCTCATCCATGTTGTGATCCATTAATAGTTAACCAGTTTTCATTTCAGATGCTTAGACTTGATAGTGGAGAAAGCTCTAACCAGCCAATGGTTACGTGACCTTGATACGGTGGTGAGGGGTTCAACAATTCTCTCGCACATAATAACAACCTGCAGGGATTTGGAGCTATGTTACCAACTGTTTTAATTCTTCGATGGAGGCAATGGTTACTAAGTTGTCTGGACAACATTATTTCAGAACAATTTTATATCTTAAATTCAAGCATTTATCAATTTAGTTATTTTATAAACGTAAGTATTGCAAGTGTAGTGCAAACTGTGTAGTGTAGTTGTGATCTTTTTAGTGAAAATTTATTCTGTTTTCAGTGTTTAGTTTAGTATTGCATATAGCTTTTGTCACCAATTAATGTTGTTTATTCAACAGTTCGGAAAATGCAAAGAGAAATGTTTGGTTTTCATACAAGAACTTGTGCCATTTGTGGGTGATGAATTACATCCCTTCATTGAAGACATTACCAGTATTTGCTTGAGTGTTATTCAAGCTGGAAAATTATCTTCAAATAAAGAAAAGGCTTTATGTATCGTAATCAAGGTATGACATATCATCATTCTGCAGAATGGTTGTCCCAGTTGGCTAAAAAATTTTGCCCTTTTCAAACTTAGTTAACAATTCTAATCATTGTATGCAGAGATCACCAATTTATAATTAAGTTGATTATAAATTATCTCAGACTTCACAACCCCTTATTTAACCATATGTCATTTAAAAGAACTGATAACTAATTTTATCCAAGGCTACCGCAGGACTAATTTTTTATTTCAGCAAATGAACTAAAATAATCATTGAGTTATTTAATTTAAACCTAAATTATAGAAACAGTCCAATTTTACACAAGGAAGTTGATGATCGGGAAACGTCCATTGCATTATCAGAAGAATTGCAGTCCAATTCTAGAATTAACTCATAAAACTATTTAGCAATAGTTAATTTTTTTTTCCTCAGTTGATTGATCTTCATCACGATGCTCCACAAGCAAAAGCCATTCGAGTCGATAATGTCCGGAAAGTATGCAATGAAGAACTGGCTAAGAGATCGGGGACTACTTCTACCGGTATAATTTATCAAAAATACCTAAACAAAGTAAAAAACCCTAAGAAAAGTGGTTTTAAACCTTTTTCAATATATTATCCCTTTGCTTATTTTGAGACTCTTCATTCCACCCTCAGTAACTCTGTATAACCCTGTTTCCGCTGTCTGTTCAATCTTTAATGGGTGCATTCTATTACCCGCAAGTTTCACTCTTTTCCGGAGTTTGAATATTTTCTAATGTGTCCATAATTATGTGTAACAATAATACTAAATAACCATACAATATTAGTGAAACAACATCAAATGCAAAGTAGTACCTTCTTCTCAAAACAACAAATAAAGGTTGTTCATGTTACAGTGAAAGGTAATTGTTATCATCTGCTGGGTGTTCTTGCACAATATTTTCCTGGACAGATGATGAATCACAGTGAAAGATTATTTGATCTTTATTTACGAGAACTGAAGAAAGAGGTTTGACTACTATTTATCTTTATATGAAAAAAATAAAAATATAAGCTCCTTCTGTATAACGTACTGAAAATTTAAAATTGATTGGTTGGTCCATGACCATGATTTGCTAAAAAGTGATTATTTGGCTGACAGTTAGGCTTCTTGTTGAAAGTGATAGGCGTGAATAAACGTCACATAAAAAAATAAAAATAAAACCACATGTCCAGAAACCAATCTATCTTGACGTATTCACTTGTTGGAATATGAATATCTTCCAATCTTTCAGTTAATTTATTTGTTATAATTGTAACAACCCAACTCAACAGATGTTATCCACACGATCATCAGATTTCAAAATAATTGAGGGTTCATTGAAAGGATTGTCGTGTTTGATGATAAATTTCACTAAATCAATTGATGAAGATGCAGATGTATGCAAGGAAATATACAAATACACATTAATGAGCATTCAACCAAAAACTGATCTTAGCAGATATGCTGTTCCTTTGGGTAAAAATGCATTTTTTGTAATAACTTTCTTTCATTAATTTTCTGTTTGGTGTCTACTGTCTGCTAGAACCAAGCCTTTGAAGAAGTTGCCAGCCAGTAGCTCACTTTGAGAGGAATAAATAGATGACTTATGGTTGTTGTTATCAATAATACTCAAACTGACCAAGCCAGCAATCAAAATCTTGGTAATTATCGGTTTGGTGCCTGCTCTAAACAAGACACTGAATGTTTAGTGACTCGACAATAGTTGTGCACGAGTAAAGGAGTTTTTATGAGCCTTTTTTTCTGGGGTCAATGGCCAGGGAAACATTAATCCAATGTAATGTGTATGGATGAACAACACTACTGCACCATATACTGTTTCTATGTATTTGGGAGGTTTTTCTTAGGAATTTTGTAAACCTATGTTTTTCCATTTCCAGTTTTCTAACATTCAGGTGTAAATATCTAATTGCCACACCTTAAAATTTGTTAATTTGCAAGGGAGGTGGCCTATTTATAGACATCTTAGGTTAAAATCTAATGTTCAAATTCCATGCCCACCACCTCACTCAGGGTGTAATAAATGGGTAGGCAATGCTGAACGGGAAAGGTTGCCTTCCAACTATAGTAGCTTCTTATTTAGCATAGACTACTCGTGCAGAGACTTGTTTATAGCAAATGCATATGGAGTCGTATAAAAAAAATCTTTTCACAAAACTCTATCTGTTGGTTCAAATTTTGTTATTTTTTGTTACCAGCTGGACTTCAAGTATTACAGAAGCATGCATCCCAGTTTGGTCATCTGCTGACTGATAATTATGATGTCATTTACACTGCATTACAAAAGTGGTTTACTCATAACAACAATCAAGTCAAACATGAAGCTCAATTAGCCATCACATCATTCCTGCAGCAGGTGAGATTGTTGGAAAAATTAATCATCACTTTTATTTGTTGCTGGATTACTGGACTCTTACTTACTGGACGCCAGAGGGTGGTTCACATAACCGCTGGTCGATTACGGCTTCCTCCGCCATCAAGTCCATGCATCTGATACAGGTAACTGGCCAAATAATCCCACACCTGACATGGACTGGTAATCGTACGAAAGGCTGTTGTCCGCCAAGTGATTAAGCCGTCTTTTCAGCTTTTCCTTCCCGGGATGAATATGAGAATCTAAAAACTGCCAATTTCTAAGTTTCTCAGAATTTCCTCTGGACAATATTAACTAGAGGTAGCCTTAAAAGTAAAAGTTGCCCGGGCCATGCTTGTTATATTATAAAACTGAAAAATTAGGAAAAACATTATAACATGTTCTTTAACACCCAATTTTTGTCTTTTTATGGAGAGTGATGTAAAAGTTTACGAGCTTTTTTATCGAATTTCAATTTCTTATAAACAGGAAAGATATTGTATTAATCAATATTGGTTTTGCAGATTATACAAAATGTTACAGAAGGTCTAAACGCAGAACAGGCAAAAAGATTATTCATCGTAAGTTTCGAAAATCAATATTTTATGGTTCTTTATACCTATAATTTATAAGTTGTCACTTGCATAATATCTATAATTATAATATAATTAGTTACACAAATTTGAAAGATATTTTCTTGGCTTGAAAGCCCTTGAATTTGTTTGAGTCCTGCAGGGTCCTGTATTTCATTGCAAATTTTGCCGTTATTTATAATTGATGGGAACACCTTTTTATGACATCTGGAGGAATCATTGTAACATTCAACTGGTACATTCGTGTTAGTCATTTGATCTCCATCCATCCATGGCTTTCAGCATTGTTCTCTTGTTTTCTTTTCAGTATTTTATAAACAAGTTCCAAGAGATGATTGATATTCCTAATGCAAGTAGTAAAATGATATCTCTTGCAATACAAGGTTATGGCTTATTTGCTGGCTTATGTAAGGAGTATATGCCGCCTGGTGATGTTGCTAAGATGTTTACAATGATGATCGGAAGATGTGAACGAATTTATCTCGGAGAAGCAGATGCTCTTAGGTAGGTGATAAGGAATTTCAAAGAAAAAATAAATCCGTCAAAGAAATTTTGTATTTCCACCCGAGTATGAATTGCAAAATTTCAGTTTTAATAAATTGATATTGGAACTCTTAGAAAACTCTAAAAGCATTAGGTTTTAATGTCATCATTTTATTCTACTAAAAAAGCATTGAAATCAAAATTTGATTTTATCGCGGTTAGGGCTGATATTTGAGTCAAATTTGTTTACAATCTGGTGTCGGAGTCCGCTTTTTTTCAATCCGATGTCAGACAGACTATTTCTGATTTTTCACAGCTCTGTCTGATTTCGAAGGCACTAGTATTTTAATCTCTCGTTTCTGTCCTTGGCTTCAGAATATAGAATCATAATTTATCCTATTTATCATTACACTGTATTGGACAATTGTCCTAACCTAATAATAATCAGTCCCTATATTACAGACAAACAGAAATTGACGACAATCAATTGCATCAGTTGCCAAGTTTTTTACAGTCATTAGCAAATATTGTACGAGAGATGAACAATGAAGCAACTGCAAATTCGGAAAATCCAAGTCAGAATACTAACTTCATAATTTCGGAATCGTGTGAGAGGTATGTTGAAGATTTCATGTGGTTTTAGTTCCAATTTATAAATGCCTTGATGTTCAAAACAAATAGAATGTTTGAATATATTCACAACTGTTTGGGTGTCTCAAAAATATTAAGTCTCACTTGTCCCACATTTGTCCTAATTGTATGAATCTCACTTCATATAAATACTTTTAACCTTCTTCAAATTATTATATAATGTATCATTTTGGAATATTTAAGAATAAATTCATTTTGAAATGTTTTATTGTAAGCGTTTCACAACGGATGGTCAGACAAAAAATAGGCTTCAATTTACGTATGATAATCTGAAAAGTGGATAATCCAATCAAAACAATGTTCACCTTATTGACTTTTCTGCATTATTAAATTAAATTTCTACCAATTTATAATGATTTCAGAAAAATTTTCTGGTTTGAAAATGGCCTGTTTTAGTTTATACCATATTCAGTTTTCTGAAATATTTCAGAATAGTAAAATATTTATTCTGGCCAGCCCAAAGATCTTGGGTTATGTACTCAATCAGTGTTCACTATTAGCGCACTTTTTTGCGAAGAAAATTGCGAAGCACTTTCGCAACTTTTTTTAGGGACTGCGAAATAGCACTTTTTTCCGATTTTGAAGAGAAATAGCACTTTTTTCCGATTTTGAGTGGGATAAAAATTCAAAGTTAACAAATATTTTCAAGTATTAAGTTGACAAATAAGTAACATACTAGTACTTTTGTAACTCAATTCTGCATATCATAAGAATATTTACCGGAATTTTAACCTATGAGATGCAGACATAGGAGATAAAGCTTTTGCATTAACGGCAAAATTCTTGTTTATAATATGATTATTATACAAGCACACCGATTCCGCTTCTCCCGCAAAAAACGCTCCCGGGTGTTTGAAACCATATGTTGGAATACTAGCTTTTCTTTAAACGAGAGTGGTCATGTGACTATCAATGATATCGATGAATTCAAAATGACTATAAAAGTGTTAGTAACCTGTTATAGTCACTTTGGATGAATTGTGACCAAACTGCACGATTTTCAAATCAGATAAAATGCCATTTTATTGTAATGAGATGTTGAAAGGACGTGGCATTTTCCGGAATTTTGCGATATTTACACAACTTTTCTCATTGATATGCGAGTATGGGTGGGCAAAATTCAATATTTTTTTGAATCGAATATTTTTAAGGAGTACCGAATAAACGTGGTGGAAACATTAAAAAATCGGCAACAAAGCCTTTTTACTGGTTAATTCCGTTGTAATCGCTAATTGTTCTTGTCACCGAGGCGATATCCTGGTTTTGGGTAATCTATATTCCCGCCCTCTCTTTTTCACAAATATGAATTCTTGTGGGTCGGCGGACATCGAAGTTTTATATTTCGGGTTTACCCGTTCGTTCACATCGGCAACAGCTGTTGAAGACATTGAGGACTCAAATTAACATTTGCGTTGGCTTTAATATTACCTATCAAGATTTGTAAATTTACCGTCCCAATTTTATGCGAATGGTAATATTATTATCCATACCGTTTTACAGATATTTATTAAGACGATGATTAACTTTCTCATGTATTTCTATGGTGGTAAACTTCGCAAATCTGAAATTGTGCCAATCCTGAATGTTGATTTAAAATAGTGATTGAATAATTCGGCAATAAAGGCATTTCTGCGTGGTCATAAGACGAGATGACGTTAATGAACAGCACTTCTTTTACAGGATATTTTACGTATGCGACTTAATGCTAAAAAGATTGGGCTCGAGTGCTTTTTTTTTCGAGTGCTCCAGTGCCTAATAGAGGTCAGGCGCTAATTGTCACTAATTCCCTCAAGTTTCAACTAGGGATGCGACGAATCCAAAAAGGTTCGGCTCGGCCGAATCCCGAGTATTTGTGCTGGACTCGTGTCCGAGTCCCGAGTCCAATACTTTTACATAGCTACGAAACAAATACCTAAAGTAATGCTATTGTTCTCGTACATTGGCCGTAAATTAAACATTCTGTATGAAAAGACTATGTAATTTAAATACGTTGCACATAAACACTATTACTTTCGAGACAATCATTCTCTGAGCGACTAGTTTAAATTAGAATAAATAGGTCATATTCCCGTCGAAGGAATACTTTGTTAGGTAACTCTGATCGACCGCCGCGTCGACTGCTGAAGACGCCGCGCTCGTGTCCTGTCACGATAAATACGGGCCATAACCCACACGTTTGGAACAAATTTTTTATGGGAAATTTTTACTCATATGTAACATTTTTAGTCGGCGCTGATACAGACGCCCATCTCCGTGATAATTGAGATATTAATAAAGAATTGCCAACTGTGGAAGCATCGAATAAATGTATCTTATAAATATATCGTAACAAGATAGCTAGCTATTCTTCGTTCGAAAACCATCAATAACGATTGTCGAATCCACGGAAAATAAGAATGTGTAATTGTTGATTTTGATTCAATAAGAGAGACGCAAAAGGCGAAATGTGTTATATGCTAAGTTACGGCTGTATGACACAACCATTTCCATTAATACAAATAACGGCGCTTCAAAAAGCAAAATCAAATTTATTAACATTAATTTAGAAGTGAGAGTTACGAGTAAGAATTCACATACGACTCTCGCTAACAGACAGAAACGATAAATGTGAGAATTATTATGGTTTTCTTTTTGCGCCTATCGTTATCTTAACAATTCCCAATTTTGCATAAAGCGCGCCAACACCTTTTCACATATAGAAACGTCAAACCAGATTAAGTGAGGCAGGTAAATTATGTATTATATGAAAATATTGTTTCGACTAGGTAGAAATGCCATAACTCGAAACAGAACTCAATGATAAATTTCCGGAGTTTTTATTTGTTATCTAATATTAAAATAACACAGCCACGATAGGTATTGTTCGCTTAAAATAGGGACCGTAATTTACAAACTGTGATATGGAAGATCAAATCCAGAAGATGAGGCCAGAATAAAATTAATATATTTATGAATTCACTAATTAATAGCTGTCTTTAATATCTTCGCCGATTTGTACTCACACTTCTGCCTGAAATATAAAAACGAAACTTCGATGTCCGGCGTTGCGTGAGAACTGATAGTGAAAAAGGGTGCTTCAAAAATATAGTTTACCAACCATAATTAGGATGTCGGTCGCCGAAACGATCGCGGTGACAAAAAAACAACTCACGATTGTGATAAAATTACGGATGAGAAGTAAAGACACCGCGTTGTTATCGAGTCTCCAGTCTTCTAGTAATTTTCTACTATCGGTAAATTAAAAGAAATACGGTAGTCGAATTATTCGATCAGGAAAAATTCAATTTTGCCCGTCACTAATCGCGGCGTATGTAAATAATTATTGTATAAAAATAAAAAGTCGGCCCGATTAACATCCAATTACCACGAGTAATAGTTTCCAAATGTATGCACATTTAATCGATGCGACTTGCGAGATTGTTTTTGTACATATATACGATTGTAACGCCACTGACATCTGCGAGTTGTACTTTTCTCTTAAAAGAACCGTAATTTTCACTATTTTATCGTTTTATTTCTAACATTTGTTTTTCTCCGGAAATAGTTAGATCATTTATGAAACGATAAAAGGCGAACAGCGCGACATGGTTACCGCTGATTACGGATTAATCACTGTTAGAGGATTAGCAAGTATATGCTTGAAATAGGACGTGGTAAACATTCACTAAACGACGTCTGGCACTGGAAGGCAAGCTACACGCGCAACACTGGAATTTATTCAGCTGACTTTCGCTGACATTATTTTGTTCTTACGGCGTCGTGAATTTGTAGTTTTGGCGCCTAGTCTCGTGGTAAAACAGAACGAAAAAGTTGAATTTCTCGTCGAATCCGCCACCAGTCTGCGCTTGACTATCGCGTGACGTATGATATCCCGGACTCGGGTAAAATCATCAAAGACTCGGGCCGAATCCGAGTATCAAATTACGAGAGATTCGGCCACGAGTCCGAATCTTGTCGCATCCCTAGTTTCAACGTGTTTTCAACAAAACAATACCCCGGCGATAATTATAGCTAAAATGTTACCGAGCAATTCACAATTTTATTTATGGAATTTGCAAATTCACCAGTTTCTTGACGATTTTGATATTGTCACGCCCTAAATATTAGTGCAAAAAATACTCCCCTTCTTCCGCGGCGGTTTGACAGGTTCTTTGTTCCATTCTTCAGAAAGTTCTGACACGGGGATATAGAATACTGAATCCGGAGGGTTGAATCCCTGTCCACTTACTGGTGATTTTCCGTTTTGAAATGCGTGAAACATTCTCTATTTTAAATTAAATGACGTTTCGCGGGCTAGAGTTCTCCCCGAAAATGATGTGTTCCAGACGTTAGTTAGACGAGAGATAAAACATTAGATTAATAATTTTCGTGACGCCCCGTTTTCGAAAATACAAAGTTATATCGCAAAAAATGCGTTATGATACATTTGGAATGAAACATTATTTACGGTTAATTCAGATTATATTTTACTCTCCATGACACCCGGTATCCGAAAATACAGTTGTATCTCGAAAAATGTGTTTTGTTACATTTAAAATAAAACATTTTTGCGATTAATTTAGATCATATTTTACTTTTCACGACACCCATTTCCGAAACTACAAGGTTATATCGCGAAAATGTGTTTTGTTACATTTAAAATAAAACATTTTTGCGATTAATTTAGATCAAATATTATCTTTCACGGCAACCCGTTTCCGAAAATATAAAGTTATATCACAAAAAAATGCGTTTTGTTACATTTATTTTGCATTCCCAATAAAATACATATTTTCCCTAATTAAGGTCGTCGATGAATCTTTTCCTGTCGTTCAAGCTCGACACACGTTTGGACGAGTGTGGGGCGGTTTTTTGGTCGACGATAAATTAAAAAGTTGCCACACGTTATTTGTATAACGATAATAACTGAAAACTAAGATTTTATAATAGAAGTGAATTTGTCTCAAGATGGTATTTTACGAGTCCTGCCCACAGAAAATAAACACGCTGACAGGCTTGGTTATTTCTTAAGATCGGTAAGTATATTGATAGGTATTTGTATGTATGTATGTCTGTCTGTCTGTGTGTCTGTCTGTTAGATGCACGCGATATCTCACGAAAGCGAGATTGAATCTGCTCCAGATTTTGCATGTGCATTCATCTTATCTCGGACCAGATTCCTATTGATTTTGGGCGAATTATGTCGTATAATTAGCGAGTTATCAATCAATTATTGATTTTAAGTGATCTAGATTTTTGTAAAGCAAGAGAATTTTGAGACCCGCCGAGTGTGTGTGTGCGATGCGCAGTGCGCAAGTTACACGAGCGGATGAATCGAAACTGCAGTTTCTGTTTTGGGGGATCCCCTAACTATCGATCGATAAGTATTCGGTTTCCAACCGATATTCTCGTAATTGATATTCGTTTAATTTATTTTACACTATTAATAAACGCGCCACACCAATTGCGAACATATAAATTGCAGTCGCATCGGTATGGACTGTATGTTTTTGGCGCTTTCACATTAATAATAATTTTCAACAAAACAATACCCCGACGGTCATTAAAGCTGAATTCGTTACCGAGTAATTCACAATTTTATTTACGGAATTTGCAATTTCAATATCTCACTTGACGATTTTGATGATGTCATGCCCTAATTATTACTGCTTAAATGCCTCAAAATACAACAAATGTAATCATTTTCTACGATAACAGGCGCAACAATTCGTAAACGAGCGGTTATAACGAAATTCGCGATTGATTTTATCTCTCTCTTGTTTACAAATATAACATTCCGCCGGCCATGTATGGTCGAATAAAATGTTCACATATTCGAAACATGACTTGGCCAAGGATGGAAGGGATCACTAAAGAGCTAATAGAAAGTACATACGCGAGGGTATGATATTAATATCGAGAATATTTGTGAGCATATCACAGGACGGAAATATTTTGCACACGGCTGTTTGTTGGCAGAACAACGATACGCTAAAGTTAATTGATCGAATACAGGGAAGTATTTATTTATCATCTCACTTGCGAACATCGAGGTTTTGGCGGAATTGTACGATCATGTTGTCTTTCTTAAATAATAACTTTTTCAATAAATGTTCATTTTACTTTTGCGTCTTTATTATATGTCGGGTTTTCATTTATTTTAAATTCGAAATTGTCCGAAATACTCCAACAGGTGTATAAGTACAATAATAATAGTACTTACCAAAGTACTCACCAGGGAAGTTTAATACACACGATGTGTAAAGGGCGTCGTAACTCCCGTTTAATTATAATTTTTTTTACATTCTGCTTAAAAAACAACGGCAGCATCTCACGTAACTCTCGTGACCAAATCTTTTTTGTTTTGTATGGCATCGTCTTGGCGACGAATTTATTGCCGACTGAATTTTAATTGTGTTTTAGGATAAGTTATTTTCTGTTTGTTGGTTTCTAAACTTTACAAACTTGGGTAGCAATTACTATTAATGTGAGATTTGTGCATATGAACGATTTAATATCGCGACTGGATGTCCGATATCTGAGAATGCGTAATTCTCTTTCAACATTAATTTTCAGGATATCAGCGTTCATGTGGTCGAATAAAAATTATTTATCAAATGGATTGGTATTTCGAGACACTCTCAAAATTATTTGGGATCCACTATCATATCATTCGTTTATTCTTTATATTCATGTTTTTCTCAAGAATCACCCTCGTTATATTTAGTGTACCTTCGCAAAAGAAAACTCTTTGGTGTCATCCTTCCTATTAGTGTAATTGAAATATATGGAAACCTCGCAAGTGGCTTTGTGATGCGATATTTGATACTAGGTCAGCAGCATTACAAAGAGCGCTATTTATGAATGCTGAAAGTACATGACATTACTAAACATTTTGCCAATATATGATGTTTTCTGCCCGATTTAAACTAACTCGCACGCAAACCAAGGCATGTCGACATTTAAAAATTACTTGTCTTTGGGTAAGCTCTGAAATGGTATAATATAAATGTAAATGATAAATTAGGTCACGCTAGCTCACGAAACGGGAGGATTTTCAAAGTGATCTTGTGTAATATTTCGGAGAAAAAAGTTTGAAAAGAAAGTAGGTCAACCTATCTAATAAAACAGGGGAGTATCCTGCGTAATATTTCGGAGGGAACGTAGGTTAACCTATCTTTTAAAACAGCGGGTGGCGACTTTCAAAGTGGTTCAAAATCACAAATTAATAATTATCAGATTAGGTTTAGGGATAAATCGAAAAGTTGAATTTCCAATGCACCTATCCCTAATTAGTTGATTGCTATTTATATTTGGGGGGGGGGGGGGGGGGGGGGTATTTTGCACGGGATTTGTACAAACGATCCACCCTGTAACTAATATGGTTCCCAGCCTGCCTGGTGTCTGTTAGATGGAAGGAGTAACAAATGTGAAAGCCTTTGCTGTTTACGCGAGTAAGCAACTGACACGTGATACATTGCATGAAAGTTTTGTCCGCGGCAGGTGTTAGCAGATGTTATTTCGTTGCCGATGAATTCGCTTGTTTTAATTAAACATGAATTCGCTTAAAGGGAACTCGGTTAACGAAAATTCTTCTCTTTAACTCATAATATTAACCGGAGGAGCGCTTTTTCGAGTATCTTTGCCGTTTTAAATGGGTTATATGAAAGGCTGGGGCACCTAACTTGTTAAAATCGGCAAAAGCACTTTCGCACTTTTTTTTTCGACTGCGAAGCACTTTCGCACTCATAATTTGCTTAGAGTTAACACTGTACTCAATACATATATATATGCTGCAATATGATAAGTTTCTACTTTTCAGCTCCCAAAGAAATTCTAGTTTTTCCATATCATTTAGGCCTCGCGGGGTACATAATTTGTTTGCATTTTGGAAAATGGATTCCGACATATTTGTCATTGTCATTTTTATTCTAACATTGCAGGTTACCTTAGATTTGATCTCTAGGTGATCAGAGTAGTAACAATGTATATGTTTTTACTTATTAGGCCTTAACTCTGTGTTCAAACTTCAGTAACAAGTTGTCTCTCAAGGTCAAGATACTTTTTGGTTGCATAGGTGCAAATTTTATTTTTATTTTTTTCTTCAGGTCATTATCCCATCTTTGCATATTGATGATCAGTGAATATCCTCGTCTGAATAAAAAGTTTTCGAAATCATGTTGTGCATCTCTGTTAGCTTTGATGTCTGCTTTCTCAACTTGTCCAGATGCTCAGTTTCGATTTGTATCAAAAATAGGTATTTTATTATCTTTTTTATATTTTTTTACAAGTAAACAGACTTAATTTTTTCTGTAGTTGATTAAGAATATTATTGTCATATATGAAGTTGTATTCTTAGTTAGTGTACAAATAACATTAGTATGTTATCATATTTTCTATATTTCAATATCCCTATTATATTTCAGTATACCAAGGATTAATCAGATGTTGTTGTCATCAAGTTGTATTGGGAGATGATCGAGATGATTCCAATACTATTTCATTGAATCAAGATAACGTTCAAGATATTATTACTGATAGAAGATCATTATCTTATCGTGATTATCTCAATTTGTGGAAAGGATTGATATGTCTTCGACAAGGAGACACCCTGGTAAGAAATATACATTTTTATAGAAAAATGTTGCAAAATTTGGATTCATAATGCGGAAAATGTTTTTAGGAATTCTCACAGTTATCTGACGTCAGTGAGTGCCGCATTAAAGTAAAGTGGCGCAGTTCATGTGTTACCTTATATTCAAATAGTTGAATCAATTTGAATATTTCATATTTGATTCGCTATTCAAATATTTTTCCCAACTTATAAAAAAAAATACAGTCATTGTGATGTAATACTAGATTCTCAATTAATTTCAAGTCACATGACATAAATTTCCTTTTCAATTAAATAAAACTAATACTGTAAATCAGTGTTTATCAAACTTTTTTAGCCGCACCCCTTTTTAGAATTTGCTAATGTTTTATTCAAAAAACACGATAAAAATACGTATGGGACTACATAATAAAGAAAAGTAAATACTGTATAGAAAATAAGGCAAGCAAGATCAAATCTAACAAATATTTTTATTTTTAATTAGCTCCGCGGCCCCCATAAAAAGCAGCGCGCCCCACCGCCAACGCTGTAAATTCGTACATTGATGTTTCACAATATACAATGTTAAAACAATATAACAACACAATTGTTTTTGGACTATATTTATAGGCTTCTTTATCCATTGTTGAAAATCGATCAAAACGAAGAACAGTTCAAGAGTTGGTTTATAATGAAATCATCTCGTCTATTATCACTATATTCTCAAAACTGAATTTGACACCGAAAACATCAATGGTGAGTTGCAAAATGCATAACCTTCACAAAACTTGCTTTGTTGCGGTTCATTTTTTGTTTATGCCCAACTCAAGGCTCGCATTTGCTTCCCTCTCAGCAATCGAATACCTTTTGTGTTTAATTAGATGGGATCTATGTAAAATTATTAAAACATCACGAATTTATCTTGGATCAAATATGCTATACCTCTTTAGAGGATTTGTTATGGGAATCGAGCATATAAGCTGTTTTTTAAATAGGAATTTAGTCAAAGCCAAGTCATGCACAATCACTCAAAAATGTGAAAAATAGTGTCTTAGCGGCGGCTAAAATTTCAATTGTCTTGATATCTTGGCCAATGTTGTGGAAGTAAATAAGGAAGTTGATGCTCAGAAACACCTACAGTTAATTATATTAATCACTGCCTTACCATCTATAAATCAAGATGCTATTTTACAATTTTGCTGAAATTTTTTTTTCTTTAGGATGATTTACAAGCTCAAATTTCAGCAAACCAAGTTGTAGAGAATGCTTCTGCGGAAAACGTCGTTGATTTCCAAGTTTTTGTGAATTTGACTGATCTGTGCAGAGAATTGCTTCCAACTGTTACAATGTCTGATGATGGCAAGGAAATCACTCAGCATGTTTTTTTATCTCGTGTCAGCGAACTTATAAAAGAACTAATAAAACATTCCACGAGGTATATATATAATAATCATGGCTACTATTGGTTGGAATTTGAATGCTCAATACTATTAGTTTTTTTTTCAATTTCCCCTCAGGCAGATATACTTCTCTGTCCTGTACATATAAGTACAATGTGTCTGTCCATCAACGTGGTTGCTTGCCCGTGGTCCTATTAAGAGTATACCTTTATATATATGGTGTCTATGTGTTTGCTTGATTAGGATCTCTTTATGATTGTACCTTTTTATATACGACGCCTTTTTCACACTTAAGAGAGTTGAAACTATACTTGAAACTTCTTTTCAGGTATCCAATCGTCAGTGGTTTTTATAAGTTACTTGCTATAGTCATGGACATATGTGAATCACTGGGTTATTTCAAATCACCTGGCAATACCTCAGTGAATGTGGATGCTATGGATGTTGATGGTGAAAACGACCTAAATTCTGAGAGAAATCAAAATCAAATTTTAATAAAAAAGTTTGTTTTGGAGGTTAGAGTTTTTTTCACTTTTGTGGAATTTCCTTTCGCGGAGATGGGATAGGATTTTTATATCTATCCTGAGAAAGGAAATCTGAAGCGACGAGGAATTTTATGGCAATTTACAGCCTCTTGTCGTGTTACCAGTCCATGTTGGCTAGTCCAGCAATGTTTTCGTACATGATTATCCCCTGCGGATGCAAACCCTTTTTTTCACACTACTTTCAGATAAGAGCCCATGATTTTAATTAAAGCTTTTAACTACATTTTTGTAACAAGCCCTGATGTACCTTTTGGCAATGGCATATGTTGAGTCTTGTATGACGTGTCGCATAAAGAAAACTATTTCGTTTTTCAGATAATTTCTCGATTGTTACAATGGAAGAATGATTTACTAGCTTCATGTCTGCTTTTTATACTTTCTCTTCCATCGGAAATTGTTGTTTATATGTTGGATGAAATAGTACTTCCGTTACAGGTGATATTCTAAGCAATATCTAATTATCTACATATGTTCATTTCTCCAATTTTGTACTCTTGACTTGAGTATCAAGTTCAAATTATATATGTCCAATGAAAATCGAGTACAGTAGGCTACTCAATTATATTTGAAAGCATTTTATAAAATATAATAAATTCTTTATTTTGGAATAATTTAGTATGTTTTTCATTTAAATTTATCAATTTGGGCAAAAAATTTGTTCAAGATGATTAAAACTCAGTTAATTGCACCTAAAATTGGAAATTAGCCAAAACAATAATGATCTTTATAATACTTACGAACTTTGAAAAGTTTTCTCTTATATATGATGCTTATTCACACATTTTGCTCCAACAAGGTTATGTACATCTACTGATATATAAGGAGTGAATATTTTTAAAAGAGAATCTTTCATAATGACAGATCACTTTTCGTCTTGGTCTGAGTTACACACAACTTGCTGAAGCTGGTCTAAATGCAATGGAAAAGTGGAAAAAACAATTATCTGATAAACTGATCAATAAAATATCTCCAGTGTTGCCAGATATTGAACCTTTTCTTCATCCAATGGCAAAACAAAGTGAGGAATTATTGGTTGTTATTGTCGCATTTAGGTTTGGAACATGCTTGCCGTCGCATCTCTTGTTATCATGCATAGATACGCAGAATCGCTGGATTCCTCCCATCATAGGGAGTTTCACGTACCGCTTGTCTGTTACCACTTTCTTCCTTTTTATACATGCATCTGAAACAAGTAAATGACCAACTAATCTCACATCTGACATCGACTTGTAAACTGGACGTCAAGTTGTGGATTTTGTCACCTTTTCTGCTTTCGGCTTCTCCAGGATTAATATGAAATTCCTACCCTACAAAAAGAAATATTAAAATGTTCAGTTCAATCCAGCGAGAATGAATTCCTTTACTGTTCGGCTGAGGCAAAATGTATATATACATAGATAAAATAAAATAAATGTAAAATCTGTTATGCTACTGCACTATTAATAAAGGTAATTTTATGTTCATGTCATAGATATGGGCCCTTGTCTCTAATCTTTAATTATTTCTCCTATCTCATGATGAATAGTCAAACATAGTTTGTTCACAATTGGTGGTTCGACTATCGATTTGTTCGAGTACCAAAACAAGAAAGAATGGTAATTATTATGCATTCCAAAATACCCAATATATTAACAAAACGTGTATCTAAAACTAAGTTCAATAATCATACCAAATCAATTAACTGAAAATATCTTGAGACGTTTGACCAAATTTTTACTTTTGTGTTTCAGGTCTTTCAGATGTGTCTTCCGTCAATTTGAAAAAAAGTGGAAAATCAAAGATTTCAAATTTACCTTTGAAATCTGATGTGTCAGCTCTTGAAAAGGTTAGGTCAGGTTTTCTTTAAAATTTTCCTCTGTCTTCCTAGAATGCCACAAGGTAGTTCTCTAGAGGCCACAAGCAAAGGGGTTTCTTTTTGACAAAATTAGTTTTTTTTTATTGATTTACGTGGGCCGCAGAGTGTCAACAGGCCATGGAACATAAAAGTTTGAGAACCACAGGGTTAGATTTTATATTTAAAGTTTCATATTTTATTTTACGACCTTTTTTTTTCATTTCATAGATACAAATCAGAGCGATCAAATTCATAGGAAGCATTGGTGGACTTGCACACACTGGCCTTAAAAGTGTGACTGAAGAGTCCAACTCAAATTTAATTGTGTGGGATAAGAATGCAACAATTCCGTACGCAGTTCCATTTCAAGAATTGAAGACTGATATTCAACTGGGTAATGACCGAAAACATTCCTTATTTTTTCAACTATGCCAATATAGACAAGAATGAAAATAAGTTGATTAATATGTCCAAATGCTCTTCAAAAAAAATACTTCAATAAATACTGTTCCTTCGTTAACATTTAAAAAAAAATATTATTACACTTTTCTATTTTATCAGGAATTTATTAAGATAATTAGAATCAATTATGATTTATAAAACAAATCAGACCTATTTAATAATGAGCGCTTGCTACTCAGCTTTGGCTAATCTTTGCTTCTTACCATTTTATTGGTCATGAAGTTCCCATATGGATTAATTGCTATATTGTTGACATTGTTATTGTTGTAAGGAGCGAAAAAAAATTTCCCTTTACTAATGGACCTTCTCTACTCTTCAAAGTAGTTATTTGACTTTTGTGCCCATATATTTGAGCATTGCTATCTAGTTTGTTCATTCAAACATGAGATATTTTGTTATCAGGTACTACTTTTGGTACTTCCGTAATATGTCTACCAGGTTAGGGTTAGGCCATAATTTGATTCCGATTTTTGTAATTTCAGTTCTATTACGAGTTGGGGCACTGTCTGTGTTAGCCAAGTGAATATGCCCTCTGCCCATAGGTTTTCAGTCCCTTTACACAGCTTGATGTAAAGTAAGCGAACAAAATTAGTTACCTCCATATTGGTACACACACTTCTGGAGCGTGGATTTTTCTTTTTGATTATATAATTTTAATCTGAGCTATTTTCCTTCTTTTACCCTGAATTTACAGAACTTTTGCTTCCTCGTGTGGCCGATTTAGCATCACAGTCTGTAGTTCGTAGAACGAAAGTTGCTGCATGTGAAGTTCTACATTCAATGACTATTTATGCAATTGGTAGAAACTCACAACAAGATGAAACAATTCAGAAACGAAATCCTCTCACAGGAGTTTATGAACATATTTTTCCTATTATACTCAAACTGGCATGTGATGTCGAACAGGTTACTGTTTTTTCTATCTATATTCTATATATATTTCACGAATTTAAAGCATTTAGTTACCTTTATAGAAACTGTTTCTATTCAACATATTTATATGCATTTGCAAAGGAGGCTCTGCACAGGCAGCCACTAATGTACTCTGTGTGAGATGATGGACACAGGGTTTGAAATGAGATTTTAATACTCATATCCCATCTTAATATTGCCAGTTCTTTCAAAATATGGTAGCTCATTACCATGGCTGCTCATACAGAGCCTTATTTAGAGGCTACAAAATGTCGAATACAAACTCTGGGTCATTTCATGTAATGCAGTCGTGTGTTGGGGTAGCCAGACCTGAATAGTGCGGTTTTGTACCCACAAATTTACCTTGTGAATAATTTTAATTATAAAAAATTTCTTTGATTTGATTTCATATCAAAACCATGATATATGCTGAAATAAACCTAGCGTTTTTTTCCATACATATTTACCCCGCAGAATGGTCTAGCTAAGCTGCTACTTATAGACAGGGAAAGCCTTCAATTTATCCATTTTTGAAATTTACATCAGTTAGGTATATACTGTGAGAATAGCAAATTTGACTTACCATAGTCTTTCTGTTTCTAAGATAACATCAATATTGAATTTTGTTGGATATGCATTCTTTTTTCGTAATGTGTACCCGTTCTTGACTGTATAGGAATATAATTGTCTCTTTTATTCAGGTTAGCAAACAATTATTTGAGCCACTCTCGATGCAGATGATTCATTGGTTTACTAATAACAGGAAATATGAAAGTCCTGATACTGCTGTTCTTCTTAATTCTATCATCGTAAGTTTTTGATTTTTACTCTTCAACTTGGAATTTTTTTTGTATTTATGATTAGAAGAGTAATGTTAATAAGATGGCCCAATCATATGTCGAACCCTGGCCGGTTACCTTTTGTCCGATTACCTGTCCATATTGGGTATGGGATTAGTTAGTCAGGTATTTGTTTCAAATGCATGGCCATGGCAACTGACAGTGATTAAGCAAACGAGCCTACGATGGGGAGGAGTCCAGTACTCATTACACACATAATTATTTCTCACAGGATTCGAACTTGCTGCGAACCCTTCGAAGACTCGTGGTCCCTGCCCTTCTATAGAATACCTAGTTTTACCCCCAAAGAAAGTTAAATCCACCCCCGGTTAAGAACCCCTTTCTACGTAACCCCATGGAGTGTACCGTTCGTTAAACTATACTAGCATAACAACTGGTTATTTTCATTATCAGAATGGTTTAATCGACGATAGTGATGGTGCTCTGCGAGAATTTTGTGGAAGAGCCATCAATGAATTTCTCGTTTGGTCGATAAAGCAAAATTCTTCAATGAACATAGCTAGGAAAAACGTCAAGTCTTTATTTAAAAGATTATATGACTTGGCACGACATCCATCAGCAAGCAAGAGACTCGGATCTGCAACAGCATTTAATCACCTGTATCGTGTATTCAGGTATTATTTGTAACAATAAAATTATCTCTTTCTTTGAGACTAATGGGCCTGTCAATTTCATATTTGCCTAAAAAGGGAAGAAGTCTTTTTAAAGTAATTTCCTTTCATGAGACCCGATATTTTGCTGTTTTATTTTTATTCAGTAGAAAACTTTTTTTTTTATTTCTCCAATGGTAATCACCTCTGTCATGTTTGTCTACTGTTTCGCTTAACAAAATCAATATTAATCCATAATATTCCTAGTAGCGCTGCGCGCCAGAGAGAGGGCGATATTATTCTAGTCTCTTAGTTATTTGACCTTTGTGTCCATATGTTCGAGCTTTTCTCTCTTGAAAACTCGATATCACTAGAAATCGAAATTTTAATTTCTTGTTCAGTTTAGTTTTTCTATTTCCAGGGAGCATGAAACCTTAGTTGATGAATTTACATTTGAAATCATGGTGACATACATCGATAGTCTTGCTATGTCGCACAGAGATGAGGAAGCAATTGGAACAAGAAAGGCTTGTTCTGATGTACCTAATTTATTTTCATCTAAGATATTTTACATCTAGACATCAAGAGAAATATTAAAATTTATGTATTTCGAAACTAAAAATTTCCATTTTAAGATTGAGATATTCAACATTACTATTTTTCTCTAACTTTATTCTCTTGACAGTGAAATCGTGATTTTTGTCAAGTTTCATGAAGCAAAAATATGAATATGGTTTATTAATATAATTTTCATTATAATAAAATTATTCTCAAAATTAAGTTCTGAAATAACAAATCGTTCGAGTCGAGCCTAGGTCTGTATTTGAGTCGATCACTGAGTTAAGTTTCATTGATGATTAATTAGTTGGGTACGAGTAATAAAAAGGAATAAAAACAAAGACCTTATAAATTGTTTAGGAAAATCACTTCTCATATTTTTTTATACCATTTGTCAGGTTCTAAATCACTTGAAAAGAATAGTTGTGGAGAAAAAAGATCTTTTCAACAAAGAATCCAAAATAAGAAGAATTCCTAGTGGATTTTCTAGCACAACATCACTTACAATCGCAAGCATTGTAGATTGGCTGATAAAACAGTGTGGCTGTCCAGAAACAGGTACGAGTATTTTACTTTTTATAATTACAATATGTTATAATTCTTTTTAGTCTTAGTTGTTCTTGGAACAGTTTAGCAATGCCTACCTAATTTATTACACCCTGATGGTGGTGGCTTGCATGAGAATCGAACCCAAGATTTGTAACCTACAGTTAACTTATTGCAACGATTTTAACTAATAGGGCATCACGCCCAACAATTTCTTCAACTACTATGCTAAATTCTTCAGGTAACCTAACGAGGACTATTTATCCATACAAATGTGTGGTAGATATTAGTTGAGGAGTAAAAATTTTGCAGAATAGCAAAAATATTTTTCATTCGTCTTTGAGCTAATTTATAGAAACATTTCCAGAGTGTCGTCATCAATGCATGCAGTTATTTTATGCATTTGTACCTCTCGTACCTGGATCGTTATCTGCTGGACAATGGATGACAAAATATCTGAAAAATAAAGGAAGTGACGCACTAATTGCTTGGTTAGTTATTACAAATTTTTTTTTCACAATTTAACTTTATTATCGTCTTATTATTTTTGGAATAATAAGAATAGCACAAGCTCTTTTCATGAAATAGCAAGTATATTTGTGAGCTCTAGTTAGGTCATAGCCTAACTTCGTCAGACAAAACAATCACCTGACATGTAAACATCCTTATTAGGGCTGGGCAAAATATTTGATATGACAATTCGAATATTCGAATGGCATTTTACTTTTCAAATCCAGCGGGAATTCGCCTACCGTCCTTTCTCTCGTCAACAGACAGAAAAACAACACATTTGATTTGATCTATTTCAATTTCTAAATTGCATGAAAAACGGCAAATTTTAACTATTTTCTCATGTTCACTTTGTGAATTTAGGAATATCAAACCAGATAAACCAAGGCCAAAACATAATTGATAAAAATCAGATTAAAATAAATTTTGGTTCTGACAAGGACAATACACAATATGTTAATACACTTTATAATAATAGTTGTTTATCTGGTTTTTGGTAGCAAATTCTGATTTAATAATAATGAAAAATAAGAATAAAAATTCTACAGCTTGAAACTATTTTTTTTACAGCTTTGAAAGCAAGTTTAGAAGTGATTTTCATCCACAAACATTGAAATGTGAAAAAGGAAATAATCCACTTAAAACCGCTTCAAACTGGTTTGATGTTGTTTTGGCAAGTCTTGATTGTTACACTTGGATCTTTCAGCAAAAGTTATTGACTCCAAATTTAGCCTTTGGTGGTGAGATGCCATTATTCATTACCCATATCATTTTAAACCCACAAATTTGAGACCGTGGGGTATTAGAGAAAAGATAGTATGAAAAATTGTTTGGCAGCGTTATTTTATGAACGACATTATCGCTAAGGTGATCAGCCAAGTTTTAACTGAAAATGACTGAAATTTAAAATTATGATTCTTTTAATTTGTTATTTTTGAGTAAAATTCTGGATTCTGGAATAGAATTTGGAAGCACTCAACTATTCGGATATGAACATTCTTAATCTAGACTTGGACTTTTTTCTCAAATTTTGTTAGTTTTGAAAATAATTGTGACTGCACACAGATTTTCTGCCGACCTTTTCTGGTGAGTTGTTGCTCAAGGAATGCATACATTGTGTTTATACATTTGAGCAAAGGCTCGACCAAGACAAAAAAGATGTTTCAAAAACTCACATTCAGTGCCTTGAAAATTTTATGCAATGGCTTCTGAAACGGCGATTACACTACTCGTTAAAAGAGCTGACTTTCGCTTTTAAGATTTTTTTTATGTTGCAGAATGCCTAAACATTGTTCTTTTTTTTACAGACAATAGTTCTAGGTTGTTTGAATGCATCAACTATATTCTACACGATGTTGCAAAAGGAGGAATATCCGAAGTTTCAACAGAACCAGGTGTCTTGAATCATTATTATTAGATAAACTTCAAAGAAGCAAATGTTTCATCTGTCAACTTTGTGGGTTTTTGTGATAGTATCTACATTAACTGCTTTATATCTCTCATCAATCGCTATTAACTTACACATGATTTTGTGATAATTATTTCTGTTCTCAGTAGCTTTTGGCACTTTGGTGGCCATTCATAACTTCATTCAGGGATCAATCTTCTTTTTTTTTCTGAGTGAGTTAAAGTGTGTGGCCTTTCTTTTTGCAAATTTCCTTAAAAAATTATCTTCCGGAAGTTATTCGAAGCAACATATATGTTTGTTTAGGAGTGTAAGTTTTGATCTCTTAACTTTGCCTAACTGAAAATACTCGATCTTTTATTTCAGATATTTTCACACCTCGAGAACATGAAATATTCAATGAAAAAAAGTGCACAGTACTTGTCAGAATCCTGCAGTTTACTCACCTTTTATTGCAGCAATATCCAGAAGATTGTTTCAAGGTGGTTTTGATTTATTGATTTATGTGATGCTCATACACACTGTTTGCTCTGAACAAGGCCTTGTACAACTATCTACTGATATTTAACGATATTTAATAAAGAAATACTCTTTTCATAAATAAATTCATTTTTTCATGTACCTTTTTCAATATTAGCGATATTGCATATGTGACAAACGACAAAAAATAGGATAAAAACTTAAATATGATTTTCAATTCCAGGTTTTTCCTCAAAGTTTTTGGAAGAGTCAAACATTGTTTGGAACTGTAGCAAGCTGTGTTGTAAATCCTCTTATGCTTGGGTTCAACATTGAATCAGACATCAAAATTGCAGAACAATTGCCTGTGCTAACTTCTGATATTATTTCATCTTTGAATAAGAAACTATCTGGAGAAATGAAACAGGAATTTATAAATCAGTTACAAAAAGAAATATGCAATGATGGGTAAATATGGAAAATAAATTTAGGAATTGGGGTATTTATTAATGTTTAAATAATCAGTTCTCAGTTACGCAGAATTGAACCTCACCCTTTCAACTTTACATATCGTCTATTTCAGGGTTCTCAAACGAGGTCCTCGTGGCCCGCCATTAGGTACCATTCGTGATTACTACATTAATTATAGTGAATTCGCTGCAATTTGTTTAATTCAGGTGTGCAACCTTTAATACAGAAGGGCTAGATACAGATAACTGGTGGAAATCGCGGGCGGAAACTTTATTTACCATTGGCTTTTCTAGTAGTTGCATGCACAATAATTTTAGTTATTGATCTTATTACATGCGTTGTTCGCTACGTACAAGTTGAAAAAAAAAGGTAAAAACTTGTTTCGCGAGCGCATACTAGAAAATTGGCACTCTTCCGCGTGTCGCATGATTTTTCCTTGTGGGCCGCACACCCCTGGTTTGAATCGTTAACTCTAATGCATTCATCTTAATACTTTTTGCTTTTGTTTGTTAGCCTGTCATCTTTATATTTTCAGAAGCCTGATCGATCAAATTACTCCGTTATTTGAGAGTTCGAAACAGTTTTCTAAAATACATCTAGTCAATGCTTATTGTGTTTTACAAAAGAGCGGCGTTCTAGCAGATGTCTTAGCAAAAACAAAGGTAAGAAACAACTTTTGTGTTGTTGAAATCCCTAGGGTAGTAAATCTACTAGTCTAATTGTAGTGTTAGTCAAGTTTAATGTCTTGCAACTGTTTCAATCACAGCAAAGTCATTATTTATGTCAATTATGTTTGCATAATGAACTTATTTGAAAACACCTTTGGCACCACATTTTGAAGACAGGACGACTGGAATGGAAACTGGTTTACATATTCATAATTGTTAATTTGATTTAAAATATGTAATTCTGTTTTCCATTATTAAATTGTTATATTTTATTTTGAATTATTTTTGACAAAACTTCCAGTTTCTTTTTTTTGCATTGTTATTGTTAAATGCTTGACTACCCTTGTTTGAACCTTAATTAGGATTTACAATTAATCAATTGTTAATCAGTATTTCAAATTGCAGAATGGCTGACATTTTTATTTCAGATATCAAGTGCTTTATCGTTGGCAAAAGAAATTGTGTATTTAGTCTTCAATTCATTGGTTGAAAAAAATTTTGAAGAAGGTTCACAGTCGACAATGATGTTGCCTGCAATATCACAATCTACAATAAAGCTTGGAAACAGTTTACTTGATCTCTCTTTCAATATAGGTACTAATTTGAATTTTTATTCGTAATTTAGTTCTCAATTAATAGTAGTATGTATGCAAATATTTTATAAGACGCTCAATTACACCTTTTGCTCTGAACTACCCCTGTAGATGCATCCACTGATATTGAACGATATATATTGCTTGCCCAATTTATTACACCCTGGCTCATCTTCCTGGGTAAAATTTTTATTTTTTTGGGATATTGGAGCCGCAGGCGTAGTTTAAAACTTCTCTTGAGTTGTAATAACAAATTCATTAGTTTGAAATACATGGTTTTTTGTTGCTGCAATTGCCCATGGACAATGATGCTCTCTCTCATGAGCAAATATATAATAAGATTCATTAATATTTTGAACCAATTTTTACTCTCTAAGTTTTTTGTGTATTTTTATTATGAATCTTCTGTTTTAGGTGTATCTGCAGACATGTTGGTTCAATTCATGATGAATGAAACGTCTCTTTATTCTGATACTGGAGTTTTGCTATTAACAAAACATGGCCAGGTTTTCTTCTCCACATATAAATCATCTGTAAGTTTGGATTTTTCCATATCCATTTCTTTCTACGGATAAAATCAGAGGTGATAGGTCTTGACTACAGGTTGAAAATTTTTTTTATTTCAACTCTGAACTCTTGAGAAAGTCGAATTTCTCAAGATAAACCTTTGAGTTATTCAAGCCTCATGTTAAGAACGCTTCTTTTTTGCATTTTTATAGAAAGTTTTGACTTCTTTATCACTATTGCAAGTCTAAATTCTGGCAGAATTCAAAATTTTGACTTGAACTTCTGACTTCGTTATAAACATGCTAAATTAGGAAAATGTATGTCCTGAAAAGAGAGCACAACCAGGGATGACAGTTTACAATAAAAAAATTTGTAACTATAGGCTAACTATCACAGTCCAATTCATACCATCACATTTTTTTTATCTCGATTTGTTTCAGATTATTAGAGAAATTTGTTCCAAATCGCCCACATACATACCGATGTTATGTAAACATTGCAGAAAATCTAAGGTAACATGCGCAAATATATTGAGTGAAGTTTTGGAACATCTCTTTACCAACCGGTAAGTTATGATTATATATGCTTCAATAATATTTGAATTTGTTTTTCTATATAGCATATGTAAGCCTTTAGCCAATAATTCTTTGAGGGTCTAATTATCTGTAGGCTCTTTGGTGGTCATTTGTAACTTCGCTCAGAGATAGGTCGTCTTCTTTGTTTCTGAGTGAGTGCACGTGACCTTGATTTTTAGCAAGTTTTCTTGAAAAATGTAACTGAATTATTACATTTTATATTTTTCTGCTTCAGTTGCGGCAAAGTCATTATATTCGTCATTTTTTTTTTACATATTCATTTTGTTAGCAAAACTCCTTTGGCATTGCATTTTGAAGACAAAATGACTCAAATGAACTCGAAAAAATGTAACTGAATGAGAGGTCGGGTTTGCCATATAAATATGTTCGCTTTATCGCCTTTCCAGAGGATGAAGATGAAAATGCCATCTTTTCATTTTGGAAGTTACAGATAAATGCATCATATTTCATTCATCTTACCATATTTACAGATCATTTCGCAAAAAATATTCTGCTGATCTTTGCAAAAATATTTTGGCAGAATGGGATGATAGTTTATCATGTTTATGGAAATCTTCGAACTCAGAAACGGAATGTAGTGCAGCACTGGATATTTTCATTAAGATTGTCACATTGGACTCTACGGTGTGTTAAACTTATTTGAATTTGTTGAGACTAAATATTGAAACTTTGTTCAACTGTATTCTGGATATTAAACATTGTAATTTGTTGTATGTATTTTTGTACTTTTCATCGGCCTGCTCACTCACGTTATTTAATCGTGCAGGGGACCAATATACCCGTCATCCTGAAACTCTAAACTTAAATTTTTTTTTATTCTTCAGAATGAGGATACTTTGAGTTTATTTGAATTTTTGATTTCCTTTATCACAGGTTTGCATTGATCCTCAAAGTTCTGCTTATGTTGCTGTTTATGAAATGGTCTGTCACTTTTTAAAATCAATGACGTTGCCACTTTCATTCAAAACAAAGGTATAGTATTATTACTTGATTTCACTATTTTTCGGTGGTGATAATTTGCTTTTTTGTTGTTTATCACACGAATAGTAAATTAATATATTGGAAATACATACCATCAATATTATATTATTTCCATTTAAATTCATGTAAAATGAAAAAACAGTGCAATACGTGTGCAATGGTGTACAACTTTATTTTTCTCCCAAGACATACATTGAAGTACCAAAAACTAATTTCAAAAGCTTATTCCATTCTGTTTTTGATTACCGCAATTAAACTGAAACACATCTGAGGAAAAAATGTCGGCGGAGTTCTCTGATTTGTACTTAAATTTTGGAAATGTATGTAAAAATTAACAAACAATGCTGAAAGCTACAAAAATAAGGACATGCTTACGTTAGAGCTGATTACATTTTAATTATTGCTGATTGGTTATTGTTAGGGAAATAAACAGGGAAATCCATGCCTTGGAAACATTCATTTTAGTAATCAGTATAGCATAGCATCCACTAAATATTATTTTTAGGTTTTGACTCTCCTCAACTTCTTTGTGAAGTCTGAAGATAGCAAACGTCAAAGCGAATTGAAAAGCGTTATTTCTGATTTCTGTTCTCTACATTTCCCATCACGGTCAAGTGAATTTACAAAAGGAACATATGAATATGATAATTACATTGCTGCTTTAAGGAAATTTTTCCTATGTTTGGAACTGACAGGCAGTGCAGTGGTTAGTGAAATACATATTATTAGACACAAACTGTCCATATGGAAATGTTTTGCTAAACCCATGTTGTTGTTGTTGTTGTTGCGCTTTTTTCTGCATTTCATGGACCAATCAATTTAAATTTTTTAGTTCTTAAAGATGGATGTAGTCGCCAGTAAGATACTACTTTTATTTATTTTTTAAATTCTGTGGGGTCTGATATTTCACCCAAAGTTTTGAGAACACTTTTTTGGGGTTCCAGAAGTAGGTGTAGCAATATGGAGGTAACTAATTTTGTTTGTCTGCTTTACATCAGGTTGTGTAAAGGGACTGAATGAAACCTATGGGTAGGGGATATATTCGTTTGGCTAACACAGACAGTCCCCGAACTCGTAATAAAACTAAAATAAGGAAAATCGGAATAAAATTATGTCCTAACCTTAACCTGGTACACATACAAAGGGAGTACCTAATTTTTTATTCATTCAACCATTACAGCTTCCATCATCACTGCTGCTTTTTTAAGCAAACTCAGTGCTCGATCTTACCACATTCGAGTGGACATGTACCTCAGTTTTTCTGTTTCTAATATTTTTGAGCATGCTTTCCCAAACGAACATTTTTCTTGTGTTTATTCAGGTCTTAGAAGTTATTATTGGTGTCATGTGTAAAGAAGAACAGCATGTACTTGAGGAAGAATTTCAATCAAGTCTTAGAAAATGTTTTTCAAAGTATGTATGTATGAGCGTTAACTAAATTAGTTGTTGGTTATTTTCAAGTCAGCTTTCCACTTTGTGAAAGGGTTTGTACTAGAATCCATTGTTGTGTGAAATGCTATTACGTTTGGAAAATCTCAATATCTTATGCCCTGTGTGAGGTGTTGGACAAGAGGTTTGAACTTGAAGTGTTCAGCATGTTCCACCAACAAAGTTTAAATGCTTTAGTCACTATTATAGTCACGATTATATTCAGTTTTGATACGTATTGTTGCAATTTTACCCCGGAAAACCCCTGGCTGTGCCACTGCCCGCATTCATAGATTTAAGATCTATATTTGCAAGTATGTTTTTCAGTTTTAATTGTCAGAAATATATCGTCTTTTTCATATTATTTACGAAAACTATCTTAATATTTTTTTTATTCAGTGTTGATGAAAGATTTCAGAAACCCATTTTGGACGTTCCATACAAAGTTTTTTCCGATGCCGAGAGTTTTTATCCAGTTGCATTCAGATGTAGAACAATTGATTGTGTTTTGGTCTCTATGATGTCACAATGCTCTTCTAATGCAACCAATGAGTTTTTCACTGATCATATTGGGAACATCATGCAATATCTTGTGGAAGATATCCAGCGGGTATAATTATTACATTCTTCATTAAATCGCTGGATTGTTGTTTATTACTTGATTTACTGTTTTGTCCAGTAGTTCTCAAACTTTCATAATTCATGGCTCCCCTGATCCCCAAGAATTGCTCTCTAGTGAAAGTGAAAGAATAAATGCATTATACTCAAAGTTTCATGCTAAGACAAAAAAAAAAGGTGATTAGGTGAAATTTTTTTATTTGAAAAAATTATAAAGAAGATGAAATAAAGAAAGTTCCTAATCAAAATTTTAAGCTTTATTCATCAAAATCATCTTTATTTCAATAAAAAATATTTTTCCTTTTTCCCGGATTAAAGCCCAAATTTTGAACTCAAATAGAATAATAATATTTTCATTTTTAATCCACTTCTTCTAGTACGTCAAGGAAAAATGGAAAGATCAGCTTGCCATGAAGTCATGTTGTTACAAATTGATTGAAATTATGTTTTCAAATCTTCAATCTGACGTTATTAAAAACGAGTCTTCACCTCTCGTTCAATCGTTTGCTGCTTCATCTGTGGGTGCTGGGTCGACTAAGTTACTCAAATTATTTATGGGAAGAGTAATCAGGTGAATTGAATGTACTTCAGGAATAAAACTGTTACTAGTAAAATTAATTTGAATATTGGACTCTGGCATACTCCACCAAACGCCAATGAGACTTGGATTAATGAGATTAACTCTATCTACTTCAGTGGTCCTCAAACTTTTTGAGAATTTGTCTCACACCCCACCTCGAAAATACCTAGCTAACAATAAGCTACAAATACCAGATAGTAAGGCGAAAGTATATCTTATTTAAAAAACGTGTTGAGAATACGAGGATGGCGTGTAAATATCCAAAAGAAAAAAAAAGTAAATATCTAAAATACGGCGGGCAAGAATAAATCTAACAAATATTTTTATTTTCAATCAACTCCACGTCCTCCATTGTCTACCCCCCTTTTGGGGCGCGCCCCACCGTTTGAGAACCACTGCTATACTTGATTATTTATCTAAATGTAAATCTAGCTAAATATTTTAAAATGTATCAAACTGCTTTTATGGCGGATTTTTTGTTGTAATTTAGTTATGGTACAATTTATATCTAATATTTATAAACGAAATTTAATTTTGAAGAGATAAAAATGAGGATATGACTGGAGAAACCGAGCTTTTAGAGGAAAGAAGGAAATTTCATTGTTGCGTTTATAATGCTGTTATTGCAGCCGTCATCTGTACACAAAATGACATAAAATGGTAAATTATGATTGTTTTTTAATTTGATGAAGTAATTCTGTATGTAATGTTTTTTTCAACTTTTGTCTCCGGTTTGTGAGAAATTTAGCTCCAGATCTGGTTTAGAAAAGGTCAAATTTTGAAAACGAAAACTTTAATGAATGCAAACTTATTATGATAGACTGTTAAGAACACTCATTAATCTTGATGCTTCCTTAGTTTTAGAAGAAAGTTTTGATTTTCTCTATCATCATTGAACATATAGCATTTAGACTACTGACTACAGGCGGTAAAAAATATAACACCAACTTCAGGGAAAACATTTCAATCCCCGATCTCGATTCTGACTCCCTGCTCTTGATATTAGATTGAATAATAAGATGTGAAATGTGCCTCTGGGTAACATGAATATTATCCTTTCATAGTTTTTGTTAATAATCTACTGAGAAACATTTTAACACTCAATATATTCATATTTTAGGTTTGATGCTTTTCTATTTTCCGACAACCCTAAAAAGAAAGAATTCTTGTTTGATAATTTAATCGACAAAAACAAAAATTATGTATTTCCTGTCGAATCAGATGAACCGGTGGAAAAGACGAAAAAGTTTGTTAGTATTAGAAGGTCTAACAGAGATATCGCCAAGGTATAAATATATATGGAGTCGGTGAGGCATAAAATAATTAAAGCTACCAATGCCAGATAAAGAAATCAGTAACACAATTTAGCTTATTCTCAATGTGTGCCATTGCTCACTTCACCAGAATACCCAAATGGAAATGGAATATCAATTGGGTTTTTGAGCAACAAACAAACTACTTATTCTTCTTTCATGCTTTTCTATCAGTGGGAATTTGTGTGTATATAATGCAAGGATTTTGTAGCAAGAGTGAAGATAACTAAACAAGTTATTCAACGAAAGTTGCAGGAATTTATTTGTGTTAGAGTGCAGCAAGACTTTTGAATCACTTAGAACGGAAAAGTGGTCTTTTTGGGGAAATGCTGCAGTAAATTGCATTATTGCATTACACTAGTATTTATTTTTAACAGCTCCAGAATCCAGAGAATCAATCTGTTGCATATATTTCATTGTTAGCTGGGAGTAGCCTGAGTGAGGATGTCAACCCATTTGACAATAATTTGTCTTCCACACTAACAGAACGCCCGACTGTTATGGAAAGCATTGAGTCAAGTTAGTGTTTCATTCTTGTTTATCTGTATAGAAGCATACAAGAATTTTTTTACAAGCGTATATTGCCTTCGCACCTCTGATTACCTTGCTGGACAGTCGAGCTGTTCAGTTACGGCTTCCACTATTATCAAGTCTATGCTTCTGAAAGTAATAACTGATTAAATATTTCCATACCCGACATGGACTGGTAATCGGACGAGAGGATGTGGTTCGCCATCGCCATACAATTAAGTGGTATCGACTTTCCCCTTCTCCAGGATAAATACGAAGTTTCTATTTTATCCTAAAATCCAACATAAATTAGAGGGCTTAGTCTAAAACATATGGTAATGAGTTGATATCTGTTTTGAAGTTGTATCTGTGAAAACAGGTGGCATAGATTGACCATTGATACAAATCTCTGGAACCGGAAAATATTCCTTTTTGACTTGAAATTTTGCACTGGTGTTAGCTGTAGTATTCACATATTCTAAATATTTTGAAACAAGTTTGCACATAAAATTGCCAGTTTATAATGATATTCTTGATATTGAACTTTTGTTTGAAGATGAAACATGGACGGAAAATATTGTCACATTGGAGAATGATGAACTGAATGATCATGAGTGTATGGCAAATATTATTTCATTGATCATGCATATGCACAAGAATGCCATAGGTGATATATCAAATACATTATACATTATCATACAGACTAAAATAGATTAATTAATAGATTAAAAAAGAAGTAAAATTTTGGCAATAAAGTCGGGCTCCAGTTTGAGAAAAATTTTAACTTTGTCTCAGCTTTGATTGAGCTTGTGTTAAAAACGCTTGTGAACTTTTGAGTGACTGACTTTTGATTTTTGAGATTTAGTGGGAATTTTTGACCATTAATAGTCTGCAATCCAACTCGTATTCTGAATTAAACTCTGACTATACTGAATGACTATACTGAAAACATGCTTTTGATCCACAGCTCTGACGGTAACTATTTCATATCGCTTTGATCCTTTGTAACTCGAGCCAGTAAGCTGTGTGGTAACCCCTGCTGAACACTTCTTGTGCCGCCCTAAGCCAAGTTCTGTAATCAAGTAAATATTATATCCATTTTTCAGGTTTTCCAAAAGTTGACACTGAACTGAAAAGCAATTCATCCACCCTTCCTTTACCTAAATGGTTGAACATATTGATTTCCAAACTATCTTCTTCTCCCCATAACAATGTTAAATTGTTCATTGCAAAACTGGTCATCAATTGCGAACATATTTTTGAACCGTTCGCCTCTCATTTAATTGCTCCAATGCTGAAAGCTGTTCTTTCTCACTTCAAACATGAAAACAAAGCTGGCGACGCAAACCTTGGTATGGATCAGTTTGTTGTGGATGCAGTCGCAACGATGCTGTCGTGGTCTCGAACTGCAATACCTAAGGTCAGTGGTTTCTAACTTTTTTGATACCGGTACATTACTTCATACGGCTATTTTGAAAGTCTCTCTGTCTTCATTTGTATTTACATTTTTTAAGGTTCACAAACTAGTAAAAAATATTAGTATGTGAATAATAGTAGTGCATAATCTTAGTAATACTACACACAAATACAAATAAAAAAAACTTTGAACTAAAAATTTTTTAAAATCAGCGAGCCTAAAGGATGATACTCATCTCAAGAGAAGTGTGAATTAATTTAATAGACGAGTGTAATAATATTGATCTTCCTAATTGCTTGCAGGATGACATTGAAGAAAAAATTCTGACAAGAGCTTTGATTGAAAATTTATTGAAAAACATTCGACATGAAAATCGTTCGGTGTTTCGACGTAATCTCGAAGTTCTAAAAACAACGATTGAATGTTGGAGAATCAGGGTATCAGATATCAACACTGATATTATATTTCATCAATGTGCAAGGTTTTTTGAACTTTTTCTTATCTGGTTTTGTTATCATCCAAAGAATGCCGCTAATTTGTGTTTTAGGCCAGTATGATCCTTTTTAATATGACGCTTATTCCCCCCTTTTGTTCCAAACAAGAAGCCTATCATGTTAATTGCTGCCACGGCATCACTTTATTCATATAACTTCTCATTATCCTACTTAACAATTACATAAATAATGTTCTAAAATCATGTTTTCCATTACAGCACTGATATCAAGTCAAATGATAATTTTCCTGGATTGCAAGTGCTTGGTGTATTACTTGCTAATGATCTGCCCCCGTACACTCCTTCTATTGAAGTGGATAGGAACGTATTCTTTCGAAGGTGAGTGTGTGGGTTGAAACAATAAGTTGTTACCTCTATGCTTTTTCATTGCAAGTTCATACATACTTGTAAAAGCCGATGATATGAGAGAATTTATGCATATCTTAATGTCGGGTTTAGCTACTTATGAAATGTCTTCGTGTATACATTTTAAACAGTTTCAGAACTTTTATTGTTTGCCTTATTAATAGGCTTACCATAAGTCCCGCTTTTCAGCGTTTTGTCCCGATAAGTCAGCCAAAAGTCCCGCTTTTCCAGCATAATACACAAACATGTTCTCATTAATGTTGTTTCTGTGTAGCGCAGCGCTAGCCTACTTACTGAAGATGAATGCGTTCGTTTCCCGCTGATTCCCACTGATGGCAGACGTATCGCATGTAAAACCAATACTAATTAGTCTAAATTCGAATTGTTTGTACCGGTATTGTTAACGTCAATTCCTTCCTATTTTTCGAACTGAACCCGATATTTGGACAGAGAATATGCGCATAAAATTTCGATAACAATATGGTCAATGAAGACAGCCGGGACAGCTTTAAATGTAGGAATGTAGGCCTATGTAGCAAAATCGGAAAATGTGAAGTTACAGAATCGTTGGCTTTTGAGGCGTCCCGATTTGAAGTTACAAAAATATGGTAACCCTACTTATTAAGAACTGCACATAAATTTTTTCTCAAGTATCATTTATTTCAATCACTATTTTTTCATTTATGTTGATAAATATTTCCAAATTTTTGTCTTCAGAATCTTCAATAATATTCTTTCTGCAAGAAAAGAGATTGTTGATACAACGTCAGAAGTGATTGGAATGTCATTGAAACATCTTGCGGAAAATCAGAAGGAAGTTGAAGGAGAAATTCATGACATTGTATGTTTTTTTTTTTTATAAATGATATTTGATTCAGCATTGATTTTCATTCAAAAACTCGCCATTTAAAACTAAATTCATAGACGTGGTGTAGGGATGGGCAATGTAGAATAATTTGGTATTCTGGATTCGTTTTAACTATTCTAGAATATTCTAGAATGGTTAAATCGAATCCAGGATACCGAACCCTATTTTATTTTCATACTTATTCAAATAGTGAGAATTTTCCTAATTGCTGGATTTAGATGTCAAAAAATTATAAATGTATTTCTATAAATGTAATATTTATTTGGAAATGTCCTTAACATTGGATTTGATTTGATACTAAACAGGCATTTCCCAGGACAATGAAATCTAAGAATATTACAATATTTTTGCTTTCAATTGTTCCAAATGTATGTAATCTCTAAATACTAATATGCTAAATTAAGACAAGCTTCAAACACTTTAATAGTAAGAGGTTAAATACAAAAATAAATATGACACGGCAATAAATCATTATTAGTGTTAGAGTGCCGAGTGTACTAAAACATACCCGCTGAGAATTAATTAGATGCAGGACCAGCGTGTTGCCACTGCAACCTATGCGACCGGTGTAAAATATTAAATTTAACCACTGTCAATTAAAATCAACTTTTTATTCTGTGCGATCAAGACGTGCAAAACAAGGTTCCTGTAAACGCGATTTCGTAGTTAGTTATTAGTTAATATCATCTAAAGACGAATTCATTTTCTAATATTATCGTTACATATCATTATCTACCCAGACTTGGCCCTACTCAAACTCAATACGTAACTATTTTCGCCAGATGTGGCATCTTTTTTTAAATTTATCTGCGAATAAAATTACTACAGACACTCGATCAAACGTGCGTCTATCTTGAACGATAGAAACGGACCGAAAGATATGTAATCTTTTGAGAGTGAAATTTGAAATTTAAATGCGACAGATCGTCGTGTTTTGCGATATAACTTTGTATTTCCGAAACTGGTGTAATAAAAGTAATAAAATTATTCCTAAATAATATTTGATTTAAATTAATCGCAAGTAATGTCATAACATTTCATGCCTGGCTTTTGGTTTACATGCATCATTTTCTGGGGAAAACTCGCCGGTCGCGGAAAATCATTTACAGTAATGTAAAATGAAGTTAAATTGAAGATTGTTGCAATCAGATTATCGGAATATCGCCAGTAAGTCGGCACAAATAATTATTATCATTAAACCCTAGCTAGATAGCAAAGCAGGAAAATGCAAAAAATGGTGCAATAACGAGTCTTCGTCGTATAGTGTACTTCACAACTTCTTGTCCAGAATAGGCCGATTGAGATTACAGTGTTTGATGTTTACCGATTTTACGGGTTCTTTGCGATTTGGCAAGTTTAATTAAACGAGAGAAATTTCCACGCGAGAAAGAACGCTGGTCTTTAATTGATAAATTAGAAACCCGAAATACAAAAATTGATGCACGGCGAAAACACAAAAATGGTGCAATAACAAGTCTTTGCCGACTTCCTGTCCAGAATACGCCGATTGAGTACAGTGTTTGATGTTTACCGATTTTACGGGTTCTTTGCGATTAGGCAAGTTTAATTAAACGAGAGAAATTTTCACGCGAGAAAGAACGCTTGTCTTTAATTGATAAATTAGAAACCCGAAATACAAAAATTGACGCACGACAAAAACGCAAAAATGGTGCAATAACAGGTCTTCGTCATGAGATGTACTTCGCTGACTTCCTGTCCAGAATACGCCGATTGAGATTACAGTGTTTGAAGTTTCCGATTTTACGGGTTCTTTCCGAGCAGACGCGAGTCTATTTAAACGAGAGAGATTTCCACGCGAGAAAAACGCTCATTTTTAATTGATATTTAGAAACCCGAAATGCAAAAATCGACGCATGGTGCCGGAGAGGCGGAAACCGAATCCTGTTGGATTCGAATACTTTGGGATTCGGTATTCTATATTGCCCATTCCTAACATGGTGGCAATATTAGACCCAATATGATGGCATCTCGAGTACATGTGAAATTAAAGTTCTGAAATTTATGTGATTCAGTATGAACCTGTCAATACAACATAAAACTAACCACTATTTCTATTGAAAATTATTATTAAGTGACTATACGTATCATTTCTTAATAATGATGCCATTATTTTCCCACAACGAGCAGTCTTGAAAAGACTTGGGTCCTCTACTCATCTTGAGTTGGACTCTCGCGTTATCTTCTGCCAAACACTCAAAGTGACTTGGGTCATCTAAATGGAATGACTCAGACTAGTCATTAACTGTCCTCCAGTGAGACTCAACCCAATGATTGACTCGACTCAAGTCTCGATTCGCCAGTGACTTAACTTGACTCTGGGACACTTGGTTTAGAGTTTTCTATCCAACTCTGCTTAACCATGTTTTCTTTTAGAAATTGTATTAACTCAGACCCAACTTCTGCATACTTCTTGAATTTGAAACCGTTGACTGTTTTGTAGTATATTTTATTTTTAATAATCATGCTATATTCCAGGCTACTGGCATTCTCGACAAACTGGCAAGTTCATCTAAGAGTGGTGTTTCTGGATTTGGCATATTTATCGATGTTTTACTCAGAGTATCGAGACATCATCCTCCAGCTGCTAAACCATTCTTTTCTAGAGTTTTATTCAACCTGCCAAAGGTTTGTATTGCTATGCTAAGTCTATCTATTTTGTTTTTAAGAAATAATAATGCCAAAAATATTATCGCCGGTTTAGGTTGACTGAGTCGATCTTACAATGACGCCAGCCAATTTTTAAAATTTTCAAAACAATCATTTTTTTGCTATTGATTGGGTTTCACGAGACTAACTACTTGCAATGATGCTGTAGCAAGAGTGAAGATAACTATCATAAGTGATTCAAGAGTCTTGCTGCACACTAACACAAATATATTTCTGTAACGTTTCGTGACCTTGGTTGACGAAAGGTTACAGAAATATATTTGTGTTAGTGCGCAGCAAGGCTCTTGAATCACTTATGACAATTATTTTTGGTTCATTTTCAGTGACTTCCTTGAAAGTATAATTTGAATAGTCTGCCTTGGGGTACTGGCAGCTGATATTACTCATCTGTTTGAATAACCTCTGACTTGAGGGTTTGGAAATTACTGGATATTGTCTTGATTTATATCAAATAGAAAATAATTCACATTCAACGTCCAACTTATCTCCTTTTCAGTTACCAGGAACTGAGATGAAGACCAAATGCATTGATATCTTATGCTTAAATGTTGATGAAATCAATGGCTTGTTAGCTGAATTGAAAGCGAAGGATTTCATTAAAATGCTGGTTCACAGGTTTGGTTAAAGCTTTACCTATATTTCTTCTTCTATTGTAAATTATGTGCTTCGTCTGTGAATAATAGGTGGAATGACATTTGTGCCGGAGATTTCTTATTTTTATCTAGTAATATTGTCCTTTAACGTTATATTTGAGAGGTCTTGTGTGTGTTACGTTAAAAACCAGCGCAGCGAAGTTGGGGTTAATTTACATTCGACCCAAAACTATGAAATATTTGATAATTAACCCGGTTTCTGCAAACATTTTAATTCACACTGCAACCCCGAACTCCAAGAAATCAAATTTTGACCGCAATATCTCTTGCATATGCAAGATTTTTTTAATTGTCTATTGAAAATGTATATTCAACACTTTTTGAGTTTCTGTTCAACCTATTCTCATTTTAACCATTTTATTGTTGACTTGATGGAAATATACACAAAACAATTTTTCCAAATCTTTCTACCAGGGACGAATCATTACAACATTCCTGTTTGAAACTATGTTCCGCGTTGGTTCACAAATCCATTACTTGGGATAATAATATGAACAAGATGAACAATGAAGACATGATTTACCATAAACAATTAGTCGATTACTTCTTCCCATCGGTGGAAAAACATTTTCAATTCCATCCAAGTCCGCTGTGTAGACAGGTATGTATTCTAATAAATTTTGAATTTGTAGGGAATATGTTGGCCACGATCACAATGAAGTCCATGCATTTGAATAAATAACTGGCTAACTATTTCCATACCTGACATAGACTGGTGAATGTATGAGGGCCCACCTCTTTTCTTATGATTTAGTTGTCTAATCGACTATTCATTCCTTCGGAATAAATTTTTTACAATATTATTATATTTTTAGGAAATGTATGATTTGGCAATGCAGATATATGATATACAAAACAGGTGAGTTTGTTTTTAAACTTGTTATTTGTAGATTGTATGATGTATTAGGTAATAATTATTTTTATGTACTCTTCAGGTTTCCTACTGAACATCAATCCTCAAACACAATCAAAACTGCAAAAATTATTTTACTACGTGGATTGAATGATACAGAAGTGTTTCTCAGGTAGCTTTGTTCCTTTCGTTCCAAAAGTGTTTTCATGGTAAATATTGTCAGTTATCGAAGGCATAATCATCTAATCAAATTCAGTGATTAAAACACTTTGGCCATTCTTCCTACATGTGGGGAATCACATACTGCTAACCCATCGTTTCCTAAAGAGGAAGAACATTATTGTTTTCATGGAGGTACTAAAGAAATATTACTCTTTATTCGGTGTAGTTTTACTAATGTTGTTTAGTTATAAAAAATACTGAACAAATGAACACATTATATACTATTCAGACTGCACGAGTTAATAAATATAAAGAGAGATAAATATAAAAATCCTTTTCTTTTATAATTCCAGAACACAAGTCATTAATTTCTGGTCAGAAGAAAATGTTGGTTCACATCAAGTTAGATTAGCAGCCGATCCTTCTGGCAAAATTAACGGATTACTTGGTGAATTGTATCAGAATGAAGTGGATGAAGCTGGATTTCTCGCTAGTTCATGTAACTTACTTTTACAAGCTGCTTCAAGAAGTCCTGATTTTGAACGAGCAATATTTGAACATCCGTTGTCTGAATGTGTTTTTCAGGTTTGTATGTTTTATTTGTGTTGCGGTATTCTTCTTATGTACATGATATCAGTAGTTTTGTAACAATATAATCATGGCTGTTCAGTTATTGTGGCATGTTGCATTGAAGTCGGAGTCTTTTTTTCAAATTGTAAATTGTCTGAAGTGAAGATAAAATTTTCGATCTTTCATGGTGGCCGATCTCCACTTTTTTAATTTCAATCACACTGATCTACTTATAATCTTGAATATTGACGAGACCTATAGATCTTATTATTCATTTCAGGATGTAATTGTCGATCATACATGGCAACACAGACATTCCACTATGAATCCAATGTTTGTTGAAACAATTAGTTCATCCTTTGGCGGTTCTCCTACGTTATCAAACTCAGCTGCAAACCAACAACCAAATGCATTACGAGCTACACAAGTTGAAGCTCAATTTAGTGCGACTGTTGATAGTAAGAAAAATATGGAAATTTTCTTTTTTTTTCTGAGAATTTGACTAAAAAGTTGTACACGCTACACTCACTCAAATTTTTCTCATGAGTGACAACTGGCCACGTTTAAGAGGGCTTTAAGAACTGGCGAGACATTGTGGTACCAGTATGTCAGGAGTAACTTGGGGTTCTTTTTATCATATTTTTCATGTCTTTCACCCCAAACAAGGAACGATTTAAGCATCCACTGATATGTGTGTAGATACTGTTTTTGCAAATACCGGAATATTTTCGGTTTGGCATTTCTTATCCAATTTATTACATCCTTGGTTAATGGGATTTGAACCTGTGTTACCAACATAGTCAGGTGTAAATCTTCAAACACTAGGCCAGGAATTGTGGTAATCTAGTTAACATTGTCACTTTATCTCTTTTAAAGTGACTGGGAAAAACACTTATGACTGGATTTCCAATAGTAGTGTCGATACTTTTTCAACATTGAATATGGCTGGTGTCGTTAGTTCCGCTGATAATAAAGAAAGTGCTATATTAACCAACAGAAGACAAAACAGACATAGAAGAAAACCTGTTGGACAGGATTTTGGAATATCAAATTTGAAGTCTCCGATTGAAGGTATTTTGTAGGGGTGTACGAAACGATTTAAAATTAATTATATTCAATAGTCTTAAGAATTAATTTGAATACTTACTTCAACAGTTATGTCAATTATATTTATTAATTTGGGCTGCACTTGAAGCAAGTTGAAGCCATTGTTGGAATTGGAAGCCATTTTTTTGACTGTATCGTGAACTTGGGGATAATTGAACTTCTAGTAAAATCAAAATCTCTGATATTTAATAAAATACCTTTTTTTTAATACACACATTTAAAATGATCTTCATTTCAATATAATTGATAATGTTTAAAATCTAAATTAATTACAAGGCAGCAGAATACCAGTGTATTAAACTATTTGGAAATACTTCAAAGCAGTGTTTTCCATCATAGTTTCTAATTTTTTTCTTGTATTTTCAGAAGCTGATGATATGCATATAGATATTGCACGTCTGCGTAGAAAATTCCAGAAAAAATCTTCAACTGATAACTACCACTTTGCCAGAGTTGTGCAGCAGAAAAATAGGAGAAAACAGGTATTTTAATATGTTAAATTTACGTCTTCAGAGATCTATTTTTCCATCTACGTATCAAAATCTTTTTTTTTTTTTTTGACTTACCGGTACCTGTTTAGTAAAATATATTTTTTGGCAAGAGAGAATTTAAGGCTCGAATCTCAAGATTGCAAAATAATTTGAAAATATACTGCTCATAGTAATCACATTTGATTAAATGGAACTGGATAATAGATTATAATTGCTTTTCTTTTTTATTTGGTTTATCAGATTTTATTTAATAAGTAATATTGAATATTACCAGTAATTGACTCAACCAAATTTGGAATTGAGTTGACGCAAGACATCTAAATGAATAACTCGTACACAACTAAATGTGACTCTACTTTACTCGCTACTCAGGATTTGAGGATTCCTACATAACTTTCAATTAGCCTGTATTAAACAAACTGAAACTTTTTAGGAAGTCATCAAACGTGAGAAAGCGAAACGTCAACATTCCGTGCAATTGTATCGAACATACAGAGCTGGTGAACTTCCAGATATTCAGATTCATCACAGATCTCTTATTGCTCCTCTTGCAGCTCTCGCTCATCTTGATTTATTTGTGTCTCAAAGATTACTCTCTTCTCTTGTTCACGCTGTTATCGAAGAACAATCAAAGAAATCTACGGTGAGATACTGAACCTGTGAACAATTTATTTAACTGTGTGCTTCTACAGCCTCATAATTATTATAATTTCTACACCTAACTGAACTATTGTGCCTATATATATATATATAAATTAATTGCCTAATTATCAATTGACAATTCACCAAAACTATTTCATCAACTCAAGCGTTTGTGTTCTGTTATTTTGACTGTTGCCAGAAATATTGTTCTAGGTTGCATATATCATGAATGCAATGCATTATATGTCTTAATACTCTTTTTTTTATTTTAGGAATATATCAAGCAGATTGCTGAAACTCTTGGAAATGTTTTAGCTTCATCTGAACAATGCAATCCTGCGTTCATTGCTTTTATTCTTGATATCATTCAAAGAAATGCAGCTTCAATAAAAATTAATCCATCTATAGTTGCACATGCTGCTATCAAGTCAAATCAACATTATTATGGTGGGTGATATTTATTTATGTATATATATTTATATTTTTTGCATAAGAGTAGAATAGTCAAAGAATTTGGTTTGAAGTCTATAGAACCCACAATGCAGTGGTAGTTAAGAAATTGGATTGTATTTGCATCGCAGAGTAAAAATCTGAATTCAAATCTGGAACGCAAAGTTTATGCCAATTTTTGCTATAACATGTGCAATTTCACATTCTCTCAGACTTGGTATTTCAGACTGAATGTCGATAATGGAAGTTAAATATCCAAAATAAAGCTCAACTAAAGTTGACTGAACAATTTCAACAAACAATTAGAAAGGTGTATTGAAGAGATTGCATAATTCCAAAATTTTTTCTATTGAAATTTGGTTTTGTCAAATTTTGAATCTGGAATCAAAGAGTTTTTTTCATTTAACTGGGAGTTAAAATCAACCAGTTCAAGGTCAAGGCAAAAGTCAAGGTTCAAAATCGGAGTCATTTACCAAAATGGAGTTGGGTGCAAATTTTTTCAGGTTTCACAGCCCTCTTAGGTCACATTTTCAATTAAATTCAATGTTATTTTCTGTTCTAAACTACTTTTCAAATTGATCATAATTTCTAGGTGTTCGAGTCATTGAAGAATGGCTTCTCTCACAACAAGAACCTGAAGAACCTTCGTCAAAACGTAGAAAAATGTTGCAGAAATCATCTGATGTTAATGAAGCTGACGTGGTTTCATGGATTGAATTAGCAAGGTACTGAATTGATAATATCTATGTGAAAGGACTGATTTGTAAAATGTTTAACTTAAATTGAATCAATGATTTTTTTCAATTCCAGTTAATCGTAATTTAGAAAATGCTCAAAATTTGCTACGGCATCCGCTCGATTCTTGTGTTACATCACATAGTTCAAAATTGGAATCGGGAATTCCTATGCAATGACTTCTGAAATAGTCGCCACAATCACGCCACTCATTAGAATAGGATGATGCTTACCATTTCAGCAACAGGCATCAGTTCAATTTGACAGACTTTGTACCATGTCTTGTTTTTTTTCACTCACATACGGTGAGAAATAAAGTGATTCAAACGCCCTGCATCATTGTTTTGACTCTGGTTAACTTAGTTGAAACAATACTCAAAATGTTTTTTCAGTGTTATTCTAGAATAGTTCAGTATTCAGATATGAACATCCTAGACTCTAGTCATCTTGGGAAAATGACTAGTTTGCGGGTAACCCCAGTTCACCCCAGTGATTGACTCACTCGAGACTCCTATTACTCATGATTCAACTTGACTCCAACGGTGTAGATTTAATTATCATCCATTCTCAATTTTTTATCAATATGCCAACTATGTTTATTCAGGTTATATAGGAAAGATCTGGACGTACTTCGTGGAATTTTTACTGGAACACCTGTTGCAAGATCTTTATTTGGTAATGCAGTTGAATATGAAACGCAATATGACTATACTCAAGCGACTAGAGTTTACCAAAAGGTTTATAAAATTATTCATTACCAATTGGACTTAATTATAAATGATTTTTTTGCAAAATTCTGTTTGTGTGTTAGTTGTTTATGCTCATTCCTTTCAGTTTTCACCAGTTTTCCCTTTCAGTCTTTTCAGTTCATTTAGTTTTCTCCATCTTTCTCTTTTCAGTTTTCTCTAATTCTTCCCTTCCAGTTTTTCTCTTTTCATATTTTTCTGTTTTTTCCGGTTCCTCCATTCTCCAGAAACACTGTGTGCTTATTATGATTATGATTATTATGATTTGATGTTAGAAAAAATATCTTTGCAATAATCCTTGCTAGATACAAACCTATTACTCTAATATTTTTTTCAATTTTCTTATGAGGTCTTTGATATTTCATCCCAAATTTGTTATTTTTGCTCAAAGTATTTGTTTCTGAACATCTGTCATAATCCATATCTTTTCATTTTAACGTTGAATGTATTTTTATTTCCAATCCAGGCTCTTATAGAAGATTTAGAACCAGAACCCAGCGACGTTGAAAAAGATCTTTGGGAAGATTGTTTATTGAATTGTTTAATGAAGCTTGGGAAGTATGATATGAATTTTGTTTTTTAATAACATAAAGCGGGATTATTCTCTTTACCAGATGTACCCAGCGCTGAATTCGTTATATAAATGGCTCGAACTTCGAAGTTGGTTTTACAGCCTCCATAGCACTGTCATATATTCTTGTAAATATTTTGTCTTTCTGATAAATAATTTTGTTTGCAATTCAGATGGGAGGAAGTCAATAATTTTTGTGATAATCAATGCGACAATTCGTTGGAAAACTCATGGACGAACAAATATTTTCAGGTTTTCAATTTTTTACATTGTATACTTTTGTTTTTTTGAGTTGAATCTAATTTAGGTTAATTTAATTTTGATCCAAAAATTTCACATAACTATGAAATTAACTATGTTAAATCACCCACTCATTACTTATCGATTCTAATCGGTAAGTATGTTGATAGGTATTTGTCTGTATGTCTGTCTGTTTGTCTGTAAGATGCACGCGATATCTCACGAAAGCGAGATTGAATCTGCTCCAGATTTTGCATGTGCATTCATCTTATCTCGGACCAGAAGCCTATTGATTTTGGGCGAATTATGTCGTATAATTAGCGAGTTATCAATCAATTATTGATATAGTGATCTAGATTTTTGTAAAGCGAGAGAATTTTGAGACCCGCCGAGTGTGTGTGTGCGATGCGCAGTGCGCAAGTTACAAGAGCGGATGAATCGAAACTGCAGTTTCTGTTTTGGGAGATCCCCTAACTATCGATCGATAAGTCTTCGGTTTCCAACCGATATTCTCGTATAATATATCATAAACACACACACATAGAAGGTGTATATGTAGCTGAGTTATTTTTAAATCTGGTTGAAAAGAGTAAAGCAGTCATTATCTTGTTTATATATTCTGACAGCAAAGATTTTTGCCAACTTCACTTCATGCAAAAATGTTATTACTTCTTGATGGATCGTCAGAATGCAAATCTGAATTGTTAAATTTTGTTGAAAATGCCATCAAACATGGAGGAGATCGAAAACAATTAATTGAATCTAGGCATTCTGATCATGTTGCAATGCTATATCTACATCAGGTAATACTCAAACTGTTTACTCCAAAATTGAAATAACCACATAACTCTAAAACTTGGATTAAATGTTACTTACAATTTACTTTTTTCATAAAGGAGGATTACAGCCAAGCAAGTTACTACCTTCAGAAAGCAATGGATTCTTTCGCTGAGGAATGGTCGCTTTCTGATGTACAAACTGACATATTGAACAAAGCTGTTCATTTATCGGATATGGCTGATTTTATTGACATTATGCAGAAACATCAAGGTATTGTGATTATGTGACTTCATTTTTGATATATGAATATAGAAATATGATTATCATTATAATCAGGAAGGAGAAGAATTGAAGGACTAATTATGATAACAAAAAATTTGGCTTATGTAAGTCTTCTCAAAAAAGATTGTGACTCAACATTGAAAGCCTGATATTCGACTAGGGTGAACTCTGAATTTCAACTCATACTGAGTATGGCTCATCTTGCCGAATGTGAAGAATGCGCTTGTCATCGCACTTCTGAATACCCCGCTTGGGTTTTCCAGTTCGAATCCTGTGAGGGGTTAATTATGTGCGAGAGGATTGCTGGATGGGATGATTCGCGTAATCGTTGATCAGTTACATCAACCTCTACCATTAAGTCCATTCATCTGTAACAATTAATTCGGTAACTAATCCCATACCCAACATGTACTGGTAATCAGATGTGAGGCCCGCGATTTTCCATATGATTAAGCCGTCTATCGACTTACCGCCGCTCCCTCGGGATAAGTTGTGATATAAAATTGTTTGTTTTGTCCCAGGTAAACAGTTGCCAGAAACAGATGTGAATGATCTTGTTGATAAATGGAAAACGTGTCTTCCTCATCCTATACATGATTCAATTAATGTCTGGAAAGATATGGTTGCCCACAGGTAGATTTTTTGTCCTTTAAATGTTTTATCTATTTGTATATATACGCACATTGGCTGACTATCTTAATATTGGAGTTTCAAAGGCATGGATTCAGGCACTGGTTATACGAAATGTCATCTCGAGCCTAAATTCCCTGCTTGTACAGGGAATATTTTGAATTGAAAATAATTCTTTATTCAATATTGAGTCACTTACTCAAATTATCTTCTTGTACAGATCATACTTCATTGACCAGCTGCTCATTAAATATTGTTCCTTTGCTGAAGAATCGAGTCAAGATGAATTGATGTTATCAGCTGCGTGTATGAAAGGATCACTTGCTCGAAAAAAACTTTCTCTATTACTGAAATCAGTGGATGTTGCATGTTCTCAGAAGCATTTTTCAATAGCAAGAAAGTTTCTAAATGAAGATGTTGAAAATGTGAGTAATTGATGTAAGTCCTCCAAGCCCGAGTTGCGAGTAAAGTCGAGTCACGAATCATCCGAGTCAAGTTTGAGTTTGAAATCGAGTCAAATTACTGAGCTGAGCTGAGCTCATGGCTACTTGAGTATGGTTCTGAGTAATTTCATTCAGATGCCTCAAGTCAATTACTTAGCTTTTAGACTGATTTGAGAGGAAAAAAGGCATCCATCGTAGTAGGATTTATCCATCTTTTTTGTGGATAGTAGTCGGCCAAGTCTCCATAACATCCGACGAGATTTTCCCTTAATGTTAGAATAATCTTATTAAGTATTTAACTTGAAAATGATGTCAAAAATGTTCTGCTATACTCGTGGAAAATTGGTAAAATTATCCACCACCAGATATCAACTATATCCACTTATTGTTATATTAGTAATGGCTAATAATATGATTAAGTCTTATAACCTGTCTATTATCTTCAATAATTTTAAATCCAAACAAAACCATATATGCATATCTAGGTGATGAGCTATATTCACTCAATTGACGGAAAAGATGAAATGTCTTTGGAAATCATGCAACAATCACAAACATTAGCAATGTATTACATGAAATTTGCCTCCCATGTTTTTACCATCAGTAATAAACAAGCAGACCATGCGAAAGCATCAAAAGCCATTCTTCAAGCTACTAAAGTTTTGGTTGAAGAAATTGAAAAGAAAAATACTGAGTAATAAATTAATTTTTTTAATTTAAGTCTCCTTTATAAGTTTTCGATATAATTATCAGTGGCGGATAACATATATATGAATTCGTTATTTAGAATGCACATTTCTCTACCCTTGTATAGTTGTTTTCCATGCTATCATTGTTGTAGCGAAATGTGGGAATAAGCGTCATATATAAATAACATTGAAACTTGACGAGCTGCTCAAACAAATTTTCACTTTGACAGATTTTCAAGCATAGTTGTAAAACATGGACTCAATTTTGTAATTTTGGTGTTATTTGTCAGTCTTACTTATATTTTCAAATTTTAGGTATCAGGATTAATATTTCACATTGCCTGATCATTTATTGCTTAATTTCATTGGGCCTGTACCTAAACAGTAGTCTTATTAAGTTTACAACTAATTTTAAACCTGTTTTTTCCTTTGCACAGCCATGAAAACCTGGCTAAGCTTTATATGTTTCTTGGACAAGGATGTTCTCTTGCTTCTGACATTGCTGATATCAACAGAGAGAATGATGCCGTGTTCAGAAATATTTTGAAGGTGTTAACAGATGCCAATACTTCAGAAACTAAATTAGTGAAAGAAGGTAAAATATTAAATTTTTTTACATAAAATCAAATCAACCTATGGATCATTTCATTAAATTGTTGTTCTTGTTGGGTTGTTGTTGTAAAAAAATGTCTTGCTCTCCGACAAATTGGCCAATCTGTTTCAAAATTTCAGTATGTACATGATGGTATAAGTCGTTATAACACTATTGGTTTATTATCATTTAAATTTTCTCTGAGTCGTTTGGGGTTGATAATTCACCTCGAAATTGAAAAAAATTGCTTTTCTTAGTGTTTTTTCGAATAAATTTGGTATTTCCTGCATAATAGAATCTTCCAAAGAATTTAGAACACCGATATATTAGGATTAACTATGCATAATGAGTTTGAGTCTCTCCAGTCTCTTTCTCATTTCCTGCATGGTAGTTTCTTCCGAAGTGCTTAGAATTTTAGAATACCAAGATATTAGGATTTACAATATATATCAAGTTCCAAGTCTCTTCGATCATCTTTTTAAAATTGATTTTAAAAAATTTATATTCATACCCATATAAAATTTATTCAGGTATCTTGAAAGATGATCTGAGATATTACGCTCAGAAATCTTTAGAGAAAGCGGTCGATATATGTTCTGAATCTACAGAAAGACATGATGCTGCGTCTGAAACATATTTTGAATTTGCTAAATATTGTGACAAAGTTTTACAAGAAATTGGTGAGTAAATAATACTGGATTAACAGGAATAAACTATCAGGGCTGTTGAGTGTGCGTTGGGCATGTTTTTTTCATTTGTGTCGAAGTCGTATTTTTCTGAGTCTGAATTTTGAGTTAGTAGAATCTGTATTTTTCATACTTTTAATGGTGATAATCGAAACGAAAAAAAATGAAGTGCACCAAGCATTCCGAAAAGGCTTACATACGCCAGAGTCTTTATTATCAAAATTTTATTCCATCGGGAGTTCAGATGTGGAGTCGAAATCAAATTTTTTTAAAAGTCTGCGTTGATTGTAAATTTTTGACGACTCATTTTAGATGAAAATCATGGACAGGAGAACCTCACATTTTCTGACTACAATGCTCATGCAAAGAATATGGTGAAATATATACTGATGTCAATGAGATATAATGATGGAAATATAGGACAAGAAGCTGCATTAAGATTTCCTCGCTTGTTGCAATTAGTCAACCATTATTCAGATGACGTGAAAACATGCTTTCTACAAGAGGTGGGTAACATAGCTCGTCCATTTGTACTATGTTAGGGTTTGGTGTTTTTCTAGTGATGTTTGACTCAGCACTTCCAACTTTAAATGGTAATTGAAGTCAAAATTTTCGACAAAAACTCGAAAAAAATCGATTTGAATAGACATTCTCAACACTCAACACAAAATGGCCACAATCATGTGTCTAAGTATAAATCTCTGGATATTCTCGAATACATTTTGAGCTGAAGTTTTTCAATATAGAGTCACAATTCTGGTGTTTTGGTAATTATGAAAACAGTGGAATCATAAACATAAATATCGTTAACATAAGCCTGAGTGAGTGAGTGCGCGATACTTTAAGAAAAATTGTCTTATGTTTCTTTAGTCATCTCAAGTTCCGACATGGATGTTCCTACGTTGGACAAATCAGATGATTGCTTTGTTGGATAAAACAGAAGCAGAATCAGTTCATGATATCATTTCGAAGTTATCGGAAGAATATCCTCAAGCTGTTATTTATTCTGTCAAAACTAGTGCACCGGACTTCATTTTTGAAAGAAACGAATTGGGGAAAACTAACAGGGATTTTGTAAAAAGGTAAATTTATGTATGCATAGTATGTGGGGCCTAGGTCACACACCCTCAAACATAAATTTCCTTGTTAATACAATATCTTTTTGTGGCATCGCGATCTAAACAAGACGGTGATGTTACAAGGAGTTTTAAACATGGCAAGTACATCAATGACACTGGACGATTGTAGCTTTGTCGCTTTTTCTATTAAGTTCATGTATCTGAAACATTTATCTAACTGTTTCCATACCTGACACGGGATGGTAACCAGACAGGAGGATATGGTTTGCCATATGATTAAGTCATCTCATCTGGCTTTTCTTTTCCCTAGGATAAATACGAAAATCTTATCCATCCTTATTATTTGGTTTAAATCCTACAATAACATCAAGCAGAAAATGCTCTGATATAGTCAAGTACTTTTTGTTATTTACAAACTATCAAACATAAAACTTTACAAAACTACTTTTCTTCTTAGATTGCAACAAATGCTCGACACAAGTGTTCCTTTGGTTGAACCATTCATAAAGAATTTAACAATGCTTTCTAGCCCTGCTCATATTTTTAAGGTAATGTTACCGGTATGTTCGTTTATGAGTAAAAAAACGGATTGTGATACTGGAATTTTATTTCATGGAAACAATATTTTTTCTGAATGCTTGAAAATATTTAAATTTTCTAATTTTGTAGATGTTTGTTTATGTTATTGTACCAACAGACCTATATATTTTTTATCTATCAAACGTTATTAGTTCAACTCTAATTTAAATAACGCTATTTGTTTTGACATATATTTCTATATTTTCTGTCGCTGCTTTTCAGAATATCAACACACGATAACACTTTTCAAAATTTGAGCTTCATGTGTATTAGCTGAGTCTGTCTCAGTGGCATTTATTTGAGTACGAGTATGAGTTATTTGATTAAGATGACTCGAGTATTTGATAAATGGTGTCTTACTCGAGTCTAGTAAATAACTCAATCCTCAACACTACTTTCTTCTATCACATACAGGAATGGCAAGAGGAAACAACACACATATTAAAAAGTAAAGAAAAAGGAAAACAGAAAACGATTTTCACAAAATACCAGAATATGTACAATGAAATACTCGCATGTGGTCAATCCATAAAGATGGAGGAAGACGATGAACTATATGGAACAACATCAAATTCTGCGTCCGTTGGTTCATACAAAATTAATTTTGCAAAGGTAATATCGAACTGAGTAAACATTTTCGTAGTGTTTCACTAGTTTGTAACTTTGCAGATATGAAATTCCAACTTCATTCTAAAACTTTTATGTAGTTTTCCTCTAAATTTTTCAGAAATTTCTCAAGAAAGTTGAAAAAGCATTCGGTGGTTCCACAGGAGGTCAAGGGCTGATGAATGAAAAGAAATTCGTAACAGAATCGAAAAATCTTCTGACTGAGATGAACGATTATTGTAAAACACAACGTCCACAGACGCTGAAGGAATACAGTAAATGGCTTGCCGATTTTTCCTCTTTGAACCTTGGAGGAACAGAATTAGAAATACCTGGTAATAAATTAAAATCACATATTATTCACGCTGTATTTTTCAAATGACGTTTTACATGCCTTTAATTCTGAAAAAGACTGTACAAGCAACTAATAATAGGTAAGGATCTGCATATTTTCAGTTCACCATCGTCTACTCAATTTACCATACTTTGGATGAGATTTGAACTTAAAATTTTTATGGTCAAACACCTTATTCGCTGTAGACTATGGATGAGTTTGACGACAAATACATTTCAAGTAATGATAGTTTGTACCTGCGTTTGGGGCATTGATTAGTGGTTAGGTTACAAAAACTTTGGAAAGAACAAACTAAAAATAATTGAATTTAAGTATATTTATGTATGTATGTTATTTTGTCTCTTCTACGTATTAGATAAACGATGCTCCAGAAGTGTGTGTACCAATATGGAGGTAATCAATTTTTTTCGCCTACTTCACATCAAATTGTGTAAAGGGACAGAAACCTATGAACAGGTGGTATATTCACTTGTCTAACACAGACAATCCCTGAACTCATAATAGAACTAAAATGAGGAAAATCTAAATAAAATTATGGCCTAACCCCTAACCTGGTACACATACTACAAGATGAACATAATAACAGAGACAGGATTTAAGACACAGTTGGGTCTTGGGTGACATGTATCCTTCACGAATATAACATTTATAATGATAGTTTACCTATCAATTTTGGTTGTTCAATAATTCCAATTGTTTACTAATTCTACCAAGGCCAATACAATGGAAATTCCAAGCCCATCTCAGAACATCATGTGAAGATCAGTGGATTTGGTGATTATGTGCGAGTGATGTCGTCTCTACAACAACCAAAGAGAATTACTATCAAAGCATCAGATTCTCATGAATACCAGTACTTGGTTAAAGGTTTGATATTTTTAATGTTATTATTGTTTTGTTTCTCACTGTTGTCACGTTACATATGAACCTTGAAAAATATTCCCAATGTATGAAGTGTCTACAGTAGATGTTCTCAATCGATGGCACTATTTTGCATTGTATTGATAGGTATTTGTCTGTCTGTTTGCCTGTTAGATGCACGCGATATCTCACGAAAGCGAGATTGAATCTGCTCCAGATTTTGCATGTGCATTCATCTTATCTCGGGCCAGAAGCCTATTGATTTTGGGCGAATTATGTCGTATAATTAGCGAGTTATCAATTAATTAGTGATGGGACACAAGGTGTCACTATGGAGTAAGAGCGCTGTTTTTGGGGATCCCCTAACTTTCGATCGATAAGTCTTCTGTCTCTGACCGATATTCTCGTATTGAATATCATCAAATAAGGCTATCATTTTTTATTGAAGCAGATTATATGTTTTCTAATCTGCAAAGTTAAAAACTTTTCACGAATTTCATTTTTTAGTTAATCAGAGAATCTCCAATAATTTGTATATATGGCTTTTTGATATATGAGTTTTTTTTATATACAGGGCTATTAGCTCCAAACCAGGCCTTGTCCAATAAGCCACTGCCAGGATCAGAGTATTTCTGGTTTGGCCTAATTTATTACGCCCTAGGGTGAGGTGGGGCGTATGGGGTACACGTAACCTGCGATGCCAACACAGTGAAAGCTAAGACTTAAATTGATGGGCTATCGCACCCAAAATTTTAAGAATATTTTTGACAAGATGTCAACACTCGACTTGTTTATCATTTTCTGTTTTAAGGAAACGAAGATTTGCGTCAAGACCAAAGGATTCAGCAAATCTTTACTTCTATTAATTCAATCCTACAACGTGATTCGAATTGTTCAAAACGAAAACTTTTTATCAATACATATGAGGTAATGTACCTTGATCATTATGCTGCATATGAGCATGGGATTTCATACAGTTTGAGCAACTCGCAAATCATGTTCTTTCAAAAAATGACTCCCGACTTTTTTTAGATTCAATTCTGAGCCGGACTTATTATGTAAATGGCTTTTTTGCCTTAATTGCCATCTACAGGGGTCAGCCACATTATCTGAGCTATGTAAATTTTATGTTTGAACATTTCAGGTCATTCCAGTAACTTCGAGACTGGGTTTGATTCAATGGGTGAAAGACACTGAAACACTACAAGATATTATTTATGAAGAAGCCAAATACTTGAATAAGTTGGTTATTTATATTAATTACAGTTTTCATATTTTTCATAGGAAGGGGAAAGATGATAAGACGATTAATCATATGGTGAATCGCATACTTTTGTCCGGTTATTAGTAAATCTTGGAAATGGGAAAAGTTATTTTTTTGACCAGTTTTTTGTTTCAGATGCATGGACTGGATGGTGCAAGAAGCTTTTTTTAATATGTTCATTCCAATTTACCAAATACTTTTTTTTTTGTTTTTCTGTGCCGTGCTCAAAGTAGCATCAGAACTTTAAAAAACAGTCATGTCAATGAATTAGGAAAGAAATCTCAGAACGCTGATTTATTACTTTATTTTAAAAAAAATTCTCACAATTTTTCAATATCCCTAACAGCAGGTTTTTTTACTTCAGGAGCAGTCTCATGGATAAACCTAGTCAAATATATTCCAAATGGCTCTCCAAATTTGCAAAAGGTGGAGATGTTCGCAAAATGTATGGAGAGATGGTTAAACTTGGAAATTATACAGAAGCTTCTAATAAATACACCGAAGTTGTACACCAGATACCACAAGGATTACTAAGGTATGGTTCTTTGGAGCTTTGTTCTGAAACGCGGCGAGCACTTAAATGAAAGCTTTGGAAAACCATGAAAAAGAGTGAGCATTTGTTACGTATTGTTTTCAAATTTTCATGATATTTGGCCCTTTTTTTTGCTTTTAACGCATTTCCATCAGTTATTTTATGTGTCACAATTAACGGTGATAATAAAGAATGTCAACCAATGAAAGCAGAAAAATAAATGCATTATGGTCGAAGAATTTAACGATTTACGACCAATTTACTGTAATTTAATCATTGCGAATGGTACCTAGGTGAGGTTATTTGTCCATGACCCCCAAAAAATAGGAAGCAACGGACCCAGTTTGAGAAACCCTGAACCCATTTAAACATTACAAAAACTTAGATTGTTTGCTCTTTACCGATCATGAATTCACACAATATGATACTTCACTGACATTCGGTGTTTTACCAAACATTATTGCTAAAAATTCGGGGCTCCCGAAGTATGCGAACCAAGATGGCGGACATCGGAATGTAATATGTGTACTAGGTTAGGGTTAGGCCATAATTTTAGGTATAAATACTACGGGAGGCTCTTGGCTAGTCTTCGAACTGATAATAGGACTAAAATAAGGAAAATTGGAAAAAAATTATGGCCTAACCCTAACCTGTTACCCTTGTTACGTTCCGATGTCCGCCATCTTGGTTCGCATACTTCGGGAGCACCAAAAATTCATCTTATGTGAGAACATAAGAAGAATATTTGTATTCTCCCATTTTAACTTTTCAGAAATGCATATCTTCGACTGAGTTCCTCTCCACAATCTTTTCTCACTCTTCGTAAAAAGTTCGCAACAAGCTACGGTGCTTTGTGTATTTCCCACTGGATTTTAGGAATCGGCGATCGTCATACTTCAAATTGTATGATATCCACAAAGACTGGAGCTCCTGTTGGAATTGATTTTGGACATGCATTCGGAACAGCCACTGAGGTATAGGAGTTTTTTGTATGAAATTTTTATGAACTAAGACAATTTTTCTGATTTGAAGCGTATATATCGATTTATGTGCTGAATTATTGTTGTGAACTAATGGATCAATCGATTTCAATTATTAGATTCGATATTTCATCCCAATTCTTGCGACTATTTTGCCAGAATGTAGCATTTTGTCAGACTATTTCGTCATCTTGTTGTTAAGGTCAGTTCTCAGCTAATGCCTTACTGCCTGGGTCCAAATTTTGAATTCCCCAGAGTCCAAGTTATACTTTAAATTCTAATAATAGATTTCTCTACTCAAAATCTATTTACCGTATTTTCTCGAAATTACGCCTATCTCGTGAATAAGCCGACTCCCTAATACCAGCTTCAAAATAGTGAATTTATAAAAATTCGCATATACGCCGTTTCTACAAATCGTAATGGAACACAGCACTTTGCGGCACAACTAAATTACTGTCAACATAAAAGGAATTAAATCAGCGCCGACTTGAAGTACCGAATGTATGAAATGAGAACATTTTTGATTGAAAATATTTTACAATTCTTATTTTATATTAACGTAGTCGAGATATCCTGAGTGGCAACGGCAATAAATTTGGTTATTTTTCGCAAGTCTTCTCAAACATGATTTGTGTAAGCTTCATATATGGGCTGAAATTGAAATTACAGTTTTATTGTTAAGAATTAATGCTGTGACTGTGAGTATTATTCAACCTGATTCTTACTTGTAAATTTATGTTAATAACGGTATATTGCTTTTCATTGCGCGGTGATTTGTATTAATGGAAGGGATAAAACAGAGGGGGATCAGCATAAAACAATTTCTTTTAATCGAATGTTGTATTAACACATTCTTATAAATCGCTGATTTGGAAGTTGCTATTAAAAGGATTTTCAAACGTCGTAGAATGAATGTCGTTTTGTGACATATTTACAAGCTCCATTATTTCGATGTTGCTCCGTAATGCGATTTGAATAATTTTATTTATCATTTAATTTTAAATATTGTGTCATTACCTCAACAGCGTAAGCGATGTCATGCATATGTAACGGTAAATATTTCAATTATAACGGAGATAAGAGTCTTTATCAGCGCAACTGAAAAGGATAACATATCGTAAAGGTGATCAAAATGAGGGCGCCGTTACTTGCGTTGTACCGCGATAGTGCACCAAATGATAACGTTTCACCACGAAACGGCTGGCCGTAAATCGACGCCAATCAGACTGTACAAGCGTCACGTGTTTAACAACCAATCACAGACTGTACAAGCCATCAGCTGTATGATGAGACAATCACACCTGCACAAGGGATTGTGTGTGTGCATGCACGTTCTTTATCGTGAGAACTTAGTGCGGTTTGAAGCTTTTGGAATTACCGGCAAGTTAGCTAAATGTCAATCTCGTTGCATGATCAAAGTCATGCGCGAATGTGTCGATTTTTTTATGCAATCTGAGTTATGCGAGTATAAGCCGCCCCCTTAGTTTGGCAACTTTTTTTTTGTGTTTTAAACTCGGCGTATGTGCGAAAATATATGGACTAAGCATTTTTAACAATATACAAGGAAACTTGCATACGCCAAGTTTGATTTTCATGGAATCGGGGTAAATTGGTTCTGTTGTAAATTTTCCCCTACCCCACGTCCCTGCTTATGGGACCGATGTGATACATTTCGGTGATTAGTAATTTGACATTTTTGTTTGTTGTTTATACTACCATTTATTTTTACCAGGGCCTACCGATACCAGAGCTTGTGCCCTTCAGACTTTCACCACAGATCTGTTATCTGATGGCTCCACATCCTGCTAAACACGGTGAACTAAGACAGAGCATGGTGTTTTGTATGTCTGCGCTTCGATCGGAAAAAGAGACAATACTTACTATGCTTGATGTGTTTCTCAAAGAACCTTCTGTTGACTGGATGGTAGATATGTTGTTCAGAAATTCTTCAGTTTTCTCATAAATTATAATAGGCAGCAAGTCTGTGGAGTTGGAAAAAGATAGGATTATTCGTATTTATCCTTGGGTAGAAGAAAACTGATAATGAGGCATATGGCAAACTTCTGGCCAATTTCCAGTCCATGTTGATTATGGTATAAATATTCAGTTATTTGTTTGTCCAGCAATTCCTATCGCACACTCACAGATCTCCCACTCACAGGATTCGAATGTATAATGTGCTTGTAATCAGCGGCGCGATGGCAATCGTATTTTCAACACGTAGCACAATGCCATATCTAACCTTAGCTATGTTTGTACAGAAATATGCAAACAAGGTTGTTCGAGTCCATGGATCTGGTGTTACTAATGTTGATTACAGTGGTGGAAGTTCTGGGTCTGCTGGTTATGCGTCGAGCGCATTATCTAGCGGCAGTGATGCCAAGCAGTGGTATCCTTTGAGAAAGATATCCATCGTAAGAAGGAAGTTATCGGGGTGTAAACCATCAAAAATTACACAGTAAGTTTTTATTTATCTGTTTACAAATTTTTTTGGTACTCCCGTAGTATGTGTACCAAGTTAGGGTTAGGCCATAATTTCATGTACAAATACTACGTGAGTCACTTGGCTAGTCCCCGAACTCGTAATAGAACTAAAATAGGGAAATTGAGATAAAATTATGGCCTAACCCTAACCTTGTACACATGCTACGTTTCGGTGTCTGCCAGCTTGGTTCGCATACTACAGGAGTACCAAATTTTTTTATATGAAAAGTTTGCTCTGATGCCTGTCCTGCCATCTTCAACAACCCTTCATTAATTTCTTCAGAGATGAACTTCAACACAACTACCAAGTTCCGAAGAATTATTTACCGCACTTCAGTGCTCTAGCTGATGGTCTGCCGAACAAAAATTTCCGATCGGCATTCAATGAGGAAAATCTCACAGTAGGCGACCAAGTAGATTGTCTTATAGACCAGGCAACTGATCCGAATATTCTTGTTCGAACTTATATCGGGTGGAGATTCTGGATGTGAGACGTGAAAGGAGGTTCACGCACGGTCATCCTCTATAAGTCTATAAGAACATAAGTATAAGTGAAAAATCATGAGTTACTGAGTGGTCTCCCTGCACCCACCTCTGATTTTGAGGTGTGACCTCACACTTTGATTTTAAATTGTATTAGGATATCCAAAATGCTGTTTATTTGTCCGTGCAGATTATCAGTCAAATACATAACACATTTTTTCACTAACCACCTTTAAAAAGAAACACTGGGAAACAGTGTTCACTATTAGCGCACTTTTTTGCGAAAATTGCGAAGCACTTTCGCAACTTTTTTTAGGGACTGCGAAATAGCACTTTTTTCCGATTTTGAATGGAATAAAAATTCAAAGTTAACAAATATTCTCGAGTATTAAGTTGACAAACAAGTAACATACTAGTACTTTTGTAACTCAGTTCTGCATATCATAAGGATATTTACGGGCATTCTAACCTATGAGATGCAGACATATGAGATAAAGCTTTTGCATTAATGGCAAAATTCTTGTTTTAAATATGATTATTATACAAGCACACCGATTCCGCTTCTCCTGCAAAAACGCTCCGCATCTTTGAAACCAGATGTTAGAATACTAAGCAGTGCCTTTCTTTGAACAAGAGTGGTCATGTGACTATCAATGATATCGATGAATTCAAAATGACTATGAAAGTGTTAGTAAAGTGTTATAGTCACTTTGGATGAATTGTGACCAAAGTGCACGATTTTCAAATCAGACGAAAATTTTAGCAGCACGTCACAGATTTGCAAAATCACAAAATACCATTGAGTGCCATTTTATTGTAATCACAATGTTGAAAGCATGTGGCATTTTCCAGAATTTTGCGATATTTACACAACTATTTCTCATTGATATGGGAGTACGGGTGGGCAAAATTCAATATTTTTTTGAATCGAATATTTTTAACGAGTACCGAATAACAAATATTTTTGGAACGTCGGTGGAAACATTAAAAACTTTTTACTGGTTAATTCCGTTGTAATCGCTAATTGTTCTTGTCACCGATCGTTTTGGCGGCGATATCCAGGTTTTGGTAATCTATATTCCAGCCCTCTCTTTTTTACAAATATGAATTCTTGCGGGTCGGCCGACATCTAAGTTTTATATTTCGGGTTTACCCGTTCGTTCACATCGGCAACAGCTGTTGAAGACATTGAGGACTCTAATTAACATTTGCGTTGGCTTAAATATTACCTATCAAGATTTGTAAATTTACCGTCCCAATTTTATGCCAATGGTAATATTATTGTCGATACCGCGATGCAGATATTTATTAAGACGATAATTAACTTTCTCATGTTTTTCTATGGTGATAAACTTCGCAAATCTGAAATTGTGCCAATCCTGAATGTTGATTTAAAATAGTGATTGAATAATTCGGCAATAAAGGCATTTCTGCGTGGTCATAAGACGAGATGACGTTAATGAAAAGCACTTTATTTACGGGATATTTTACGTATGCGACTTAATGCTAAAAAGATTGGGCTCGAGTGCCTAATAGAGGTCAGGCGCTAATTGTAACTAATTCCCTCCAGTGTTTACAACAAATTAATACCCCGGCGTTAATTATAGCTAAAATGTTACCGAGCAATTCACAATTTTATTTATGGAATTTGCAAATTCACCAGTTTCTTGACGATTTTGATAATGTCACGCCCTAATTATTAGTGCAAAAAATACTCCTCTTCTTCCGCGGCGGTTTGACGGGTTCCTTGTTCCATTCTTCAGAAAGTTCTGACACGGGGGATATAGAATACTGAATCCGGAGGGTTGAATCCCTGTCGACTTACTGGCGATTTTCCGTTTTGGAATGCGTGAAACATTCTCTATTTTAAATTAAATGACGTTTCGCGGGCTAGAGTTCTCCCCGAAAATGATGTGTACCAGACGTTAGTTAGACAATAGATAAAACATTAGATCAATATTTTTCATGACGCCCCGTTTTCGAAAATACAAAGTTATATCGCAAAAAATGCGTTTTGATACATTTGGAATGAAACATCATTTACGGTTAATTCATATCATATTCTACTCTTCATGACACCCGGTATCCGAAAATACAGTTGTATCGCGAAAAATGTGTTTTGTTACATTTAAAAAAAAACGTTTTTGCGATTAATTTAGATCAAATTTGACCTTCCACGGCAACCCGTTTCCGAAAATACAAGGTTATATCGCGAAAATGTGTTTTGTTACATTTAAAATAAAACATTTTTGCGATTAATTTAGATCATATTTTACTTTTCAGGACACCCGTTTTCGAAAATACAAGGTTATATCGCAAAACGTGTTTTGTTACATTTAAAATAAAACGTTTTTGCGATTAATTTAGATCAAATTTGACCTTTCACGGCAACCCGTTTCCGAAAATATATACAAAGTTATATCACAAAAAAATGCGTTTTGTTACTTTTATTTTGCATTCCCAATAAAATACATATTTTCCCTAATTAAAGTCGTCGATGAAAATGTTCCTGTCGTTCAAGCTCGACACACGTTTGGATGAGTGTGGGACGGTTTTTTGGTCGACGATAAATTAAAAAGTTGCCACACTTATTTGTATAACGAAAATAACTGAAAATTAAGATTTTATAATAGAAGTGAATTTGTTTCAAGATGGTATTTTACGATTCTTGCCCACAGAAAATAAACACGCTGACAGGCTTGGTTATAATTGATATTCGTTTAATTTATTTTACACTATTAATAAACGCACCACACCAAGTGCGGCCATATAAATTGCAGTCGCATCGGTATGGACTCTTTTTGGCGCTCTCACATTAATAAGAATTTTCAACAAAACAATACCCCGACGGCCATTAAAGCTGAATTCGTTACCGAGTAATTCACAATTTTATTTACGGAATTTGCAATTTCAAGATCTCACTTGACGATTTTGATGATGTCATGCCCTAATTATTACTGCTTAAATGCCTCAAAATACAACAAATGTAATCATTTTCGACGATAACAGGCGCAACAATTCGTAAACGAGCCGTTATAACGAAATTCGCGATTAATTTTACATCTCTCTTGTTTACAATTTTAACATCCCGCCGGCCATGTATGGTCGAATAAAATGTTCACATATTCGAAACATGACTTGGCCAAGGATGGAAGGGATCACTAAAGAGCTAATAGAAAGTACACACGCGAGGGTATGATATTAATATCGAGAATATTTGTGAGCATATCACAGGACGGAAATATTTTGCATCCGGCTGTTTGTTGGCAGGACAACGATACGCTAAAGTTAATTGATCGAATACAGGGAAGTATTTATTTATCATCTCACTTGCGAACATCGAGGTTTTGGCGGAATTGTACGATCATGTTGTCTTTCTTAAATAATAACTTTTTCAATAAATGTTCATTTTACTTTTGCGTCTTTATTATATGTCGGGTTTTCATTTATTTTAAATTCGAAATTGTCCGAAATACTCCAACAGGTGTATAAGTACAATAATAATAGTACTTACCCCTACTGTGTTAAGGGCATCGTAACTCCCGTTTTTTTTTTAATTTGATTGTTTTACACTCTGCTTAAAAAACAACGTCGTTTTGCAGTCATCTAACGTAACTCTCGCGACCAAATATTTTTTGTTTTGTATGGCATCGTCTTGGCGCAATTTATTGCCGACTGAATTTTAATTGTGTTTTAGGATAAGTTATTTTCTGTTTGTTGGTTTCTAAACTTGGGTAGCAATTACTATTAATGTGAGATTTGTGCATATGAACGATTGAATATCGCGACTGGATGTCCGATATCTGAGAATGCGTACTTCTCTTTCAACATTAATTTTCAGGATATCAGCGTTCATGTGGTCGAATAAAAATTATTTATCAAATGGATTGGTATTTCGAGACACTCTCAAAATTATTTGGGATCCACTATCATATCATTCGTTTATTTTCTATATTCATGTTTTTTTCAAGAATCACTCTCGTTATATTTCGTGTACCTTCGCAAAAGAAAACTCTTTGGTGTCATCGTTCCTATTAGTGTATTGAAATATATGGAAACCTCGCAAGTGGCGTTGTGATGCGAATATTTGATACTAGGTCAGCAGCATTACAAAGAGTGCTATTTATGAATGCTGAAAGTACATGGCATTACTAAACCTTTTGCCAATATATGATGTTTTCTGTCCGATTTAAACTAATTCGCACGCAAACCAAGGCATGTCGACATTTAAAAATTACTTGTCTTTGGGTACGCTCTGAAATAGTATAATGTAAATGAGAAATTAGGTCACGCTAGGGAGGATTTTCAAAGTGATCTTGTGTAATATTTCGGAGAAAAAAGTTTGAAAGGAAAGTAGGTCAACCTATCTCCTAAAACAGGGGAGTATCCTGCGTAATATTTCGGAGGAAACGTAGGTGTAGGTTAACTTATCTTTTAAAACAGAGGGTGGCGACTTTCAGAGTGGTTCAAAATCGCAAATTAATATTTATCAGATTAGGTTTAGGGATAAATCGAAAAGTTGAATTTCCAGCGCACCTAACCCTAATTAGTTGATTTATATTTGGAGGAGGGGGATTTATTTTGCACGAGATTTGTACAAATGGTCCACCTTGTAACTAATATGGTTTCCAGCCTGCATGTATCAATCCTTGTCTGTTAGATGGAAGGAGTAACAAATGTGAAAGCCTTTGCTGTTCACGCGAGTAAGCAACTGACACCGTGATACATTGAATGAAAGTTTTGTCCGCGGCAGGTGTTAGCAGATGTCCTTTCGTTGCCGATGAATTCGCTTGTTTTAATTAAACATGAATTCGCTTAAAGGGAACTCGGTTAACGGAAAGGCTTCTCTTTAATTCATAATATTAACCGGAGGAGCGCTTTTTCGAGTATCTATGCCGTTTTGGATGGGTTATATGAAAGGCTAGGGCACCTAACTTGTTAAAATCGGCAAAAGCATCGTTAACACTGCTGGGAAACATACTGAAACTTGTCTAGTTGGGCTTAAAGCTTGTAGGCGTAGTGATGTATCTGATTTGCTTGAATAAGTTTAATCATACATATTATCAACATATCTGTAATTTAGAATTTTTGTAATCAATAAATCCATCATTTGTATGGGTTATTTCAAATGTTCATGGTCATAGATAGTTTAAGTATGGAGGCCTTATCAGCAGTCACCACCACCCACGTTTGAAGAAGTTCGACAATGAGCAACAAGTACCGTTTGTAGGGAAAAATATTTTCTATATTTTGTTTGTGTTGATAACTAAAAAGTAGCCTTGTCGAAATTTTATTAAAACTAGCAGGGCTGTGAAGTCGGATGTTTTAACATGTTTTAGAAAATAATTCGAAACTTCGGATTTAAAACTCCAAAATTGTCAATTATACTGATCGTTCTTGACCGTCTTTTTAATAAGGCTTGTATATGCCAGAGTATTTGTTATCGAAATTTGCTTCTATCGGAGTCCAAATATTTCTCAACTTGTAGCCAAAATTACCTCCATTGTAACTTTTGTCTGACTGGCAACTATTCAGTAGACGTCGCAGCTTGCTAACATTATCTTTGTCAGTCGCCCATGGGAGTGTTTGACATTTGGGTAGGTGCACTTTTTATTCGGTATTTAGATAATTTGGCAACAGTACGGTTGACGGTAAGTGTTAAATTAATCTATAGTTAGGCTTACCATACGTCCCGCTTTTTAGCGTCTTGTCCCGAGAAGTCGGTATGGTAACCCTATCTATAGTATTTATCACAAAACTATGTGGAAGTCCTCGCTCTCTCTCTATAAACTTGAGTCGCAAATCAAAATCGCTCGTCAAAACCGGGACTGTTCCGGCTAAATCAGGACGTGTGGTAATTTGGGCAATTTCTTTGTGTTGATTTCGGTTTGGAATGGTTATTTTGGGAAGGCCTAATGCCTCGTGGTTTGGTTCAAGCAATCGTTTGTCTTGTCGCCGCTCCATCCGCGTAAGTCATAAATGTGATTAAAGATTGGATCAGCTTTGCCAACTTTGACTGGTACCCGCGATGAAGACTGTTATTGGCTTGCATGGTTGAAATAACCGCGACGAAACATCTATCAAATCGAATTTATTTTTTCCAACCAGTAAATGAATACGAGAAAAAAATTACAGTTTAATTGGGAAAGGGAAGTCGCGAGGAACCGGTTATCGAGCAGCGACACCCAAGGTTCAAATATCTGATTTTAAAAAGTGAAGTTTTAAAGTTGGAAAACTACTGTTTTTGGCGGTGAGTACCGTACGAATCATTAATCTAACATCGCATAATAGAGATAGTTAGCTTCTTGAGATTGCATTAAAAAGTCGGAAAAACAACTGCTGGACTTTTAAATACGGCCTTCAGCTTCATTGCCTGTGGCCCGCTTTGCATTCGGAAAGTAATAAAAAATCGTATTTTGTGTTGTTTCGTCGTGAAATTAACCAGAAAAATCTTCTGACATATTGTTACATCACTAATGTCACTGAATTGACTAGTGTTGGATAGCTGAGGCAACTAGCAAAGATGAATGTTGGGCTTGGCAGTCTAAATTGTTATCTGGCGCTCTATCTTTTTGGTAGGGAATATATGTTAACAATTTTGGCATTATAGAAAACTAAAAATTGAATGCGGATTTTATTAGCCTAGGTTGGCTATGCCTGATAACTAAATATTAATGTCATGGCCTAACAATATAATTTGTGGGAAGAGAAAATATCACAATGCTTTCTCGATATGTTGGTGACAAAAAAAAATATAATTTAAAACGACATTTTAGAATCTTGTAAGCAATGAGCCTTTTCCAAAGCTAAGATTTTGCTTTGAAAATCTTATCGATATGCGAAAGCACTTTTTTCCGTCATGAAGAGTTTGAAATCTTAAACTAAATGTAGATATAGAAAGCCTTTTACGGGTTTTAATGAGTTTTTTATTGGTTTTTGCATGTTTTAGCTTGATAAATGACAAAAATTGATCAATGTGTTTTTGCACATCGTGTTTGTTTTGTATTACACTGTTTACCTATTCTTGACACTATTGTGGCCCGCGAACAATGCAAAGATATTAATGTGCCCCCCGGAGACGACAACCTTGGACCACCCTGTGATATATGATAAGTCCCCTCTTGTTGTGATGGCAATACCGGACTCAAGATTATTCGTAGGAATCAGGATACTTCACCAAATAAAAATTCCAATCATAAGCCAAACTGGAAAGAACGGACACAAGCGCATATATGATCTGAGAGAGTGAGAAGGGGATAAGATGCACCACGCTTCTCTTCGGAATGATCGTTCATGACCTAACAAAAAGGTAAAACCAAAATAATTGAGCTCAAAATTCATACGACATAGTCTACTGTATTGTCAAACTTAACCATTTAAATGAGGGGCTTGCGACCTGCGCAGTCATAGATAAAGTCTGTGGCCGCGCCGGCGTGTGTTTTGGCTTCAAAACAACCACGAGACAAGAGAACCTGCGACGCCATTAGTGATAAATTACCTAAATTTAGATAATTACATGTCGTTCACGTACTTGCCTATATTTATAAATCTTATCAAAAGTATCGAATTAGTGTGGGATGTTACAGCAAATCAAAGCAGTAGGCTAGTTGGCTTATTGTTGAAAATGAAAGATAAATACTGGTATCATAAACCGTATAAAAGTTACAAAAGGTTGATACATGTCTCGGAAATGAAAAAGAATAGTATAGTACAATCAATATAGAAGAGGTTATTTAATTCCAGATGAGGGATGGATGCCTCAACGATCCAGATAGAAGCACGTATTTTCTTTTTGTCCTCAAACTGCGACATCTTTGCCGTCATATGTTTTCGTCGGACTTTGCAAAATTATATCTAAACTCAAACTTTTATTCAGTAAATTCAATTAAATTTTAACCATTCATTGAAGTTTTATTTACAAGTAAATGAGACATATTATAATCTACCAATTCTCTAATCAAACATAACTCATAAAAAATCTTAATCGCAATGATGGCCGTACTTCTGATACAAAAACGTTGGCCTACTCTAGAAGAAAGGTTCAAATATTTAATTCGTAGTTGAAGCACCAAACCTTGATTTGAATAGTTGAAGCTTTAAATTAAGGCAGCCACGCGCGCCTAAGTTATCATTTACCGTTTTCTATTTAGTTCTACCCGGCGACAGAAGGTCAGTCATGTGCGATACCCCCAAGAAACAAGAGTCAAAATGGCTGAATTATAGGCCTATGTGAATCACACCTGATTTCTATGACTAGATTCCAGTATTCCCTCACCATTCTAATCGTCCCTTTCTATGAGATTCCGGTTTCGTCTCATTATAATTGTTTATCGTACTGTTTACCTTTTTAGTATTGCGAGTTATGTAAATATTTTCGTCCTGACGCGTCTGCTCGAAAACTTTTATGCAAGGTTATTTCTCAATGTTTTTTGATTGGATTTGAATACGTTTCGGTCTGTGGCTGAGCTGAGTAAATTACTACTAATATCGTCGAAGCGAAAGCAAAGGTATCGCTTCGAAGTATCCCGAAAATTTTCTGAAATGCTTTTTTCATCAACTTCTCGGCGATAGTCTGCTGAAATTCCCGGTTACGGTTTGTACATTCCAAAGATATTTTTATTAGGTCGCAGAGGTAAAATATATCCCATGGCAGATCATAACGGTATAATCGTAGTGCTGCTATAGCGCGAGGTCTGCCGCACTGTAGCGTGAGATCTGCCTTGAACTAGTGCTGTAGCGTGCGGTCTCTGCTGGAATTCGGGTGAAACACCTTCTGCAATATTTTGAATTTCGATCGATGTTACTTTGTTCAGACCCAGAGGAATCTAAGACTGCACCCGGGTAGCGGCATTTGGCGGTAGACCTCATACTATAACAACACCGAAATTGCTACCGGTATACTCATTAATCAATGGCATCGGTAATTCTAAATCTGTTGCTCTAGCATCTGGTCTATTCTTGTGTTTGATATCTAGACGCGGTCGTGACAAAATGGCAGACGGAAATTTGATCAAGAATAACATATTTAGTTATTTTGGTAAAATTTCGAGCTGATTGGGCATAACCGAGTGCCTTAATATAAATAGAATCGAACTAATTTCTAACTCAGTTAGGCTTTTCGTTCAGGCACTAACATTTAGAATTAGACGGATGTGTTTGTCGAATCGTGTGGGCGGTGTGGCGAACTGGTTTTATTAATATTTACTGATCATAAATCAATCGTGAATTTAATTCCTTCCTTGGAGAAAGTTGTAATAATAAAAATATTTGATAGAATTATTCGATCAAAACATGAATTACATTACCTCAGAACGGTTTTTTGGCGAAGAGACAGTGAGAGAGAGAGATTTATTATTTTGTCAACCAATAACAAACAGTCATCAATACGAAAAAAATACATAACACCGTGAAACAAATAAAATTGCTTTGGTATTGACGGGAGGGAGCGATACGACCATGAAGTCATTGAAGTCAACTTTCAGTGGCAGATCGCTTCGTGTGTAATTTCACCCCAAAAAATGCTATCGCGATGCTTTAGTAATAACTGATTAGATCAGAAAGATCAGCTAAATTCTAACTTGTCACTAAATTAACATCAATCACAATTAATAGTGTTCTGCAATATTGGAATTCACGTTATTGGAGACGCATCGCTCTATTTAGCGGGATGTTCGTGTGCAGAACGGATTTATACGCAACGAATTGCTTACTATCTTGTAATCGTGTGTTATCGATCTCGCGGAAAATCGACGACGATTTCTCATTAATTTAAACTTGTCGGACATTCACTCATTTCCAATAATGACCAACAGTGCAAAGTGGGAGTCGATAAATGGTTAACTTACAAAACCTTATAGAGAATTGAGTGAAAACACGGTATTTATTTATATAGCTGTATATTGGTATTCAGACGTAATTTTATAACCAGCGAATGAGCGAGAGAGGAAAGTCCAAATATATCAACAAATGGTTTCGTATGGTGTTGAATTGTAAAACAGCTGAATTGATTTTGATAAGAATAGAAAAGTTACCATAGCGATTCTTAACGGTAGTGGTATTGAAGTAGGATTATGCATTAAACAAGTGCCGTAAAAACGATCAAATAGATGGACGCGTGTCGGTACCAGTACGATAAGACTGCCTTTGAAGTGCAGATTGAAATTCGTTTGGCGTTAGTTGCGGCGATTTTTCTTCACAGCAATCACACCCCGACCACAACAATAATTTGGCAAACACGCTCTATAGGTCTATTTCGTGTCCAATAATATATTTGCATTTGCGTAATTAAAAAAAAAAAACAGAAGCCGTATCTTCTTATACGTCCAACCAATCCATTAACATTTTCGTGGCGCTACTCAGTCACTTCAAAAATGAATTATGTATTGTAATTATGAAAATGTGAACGCAGTAACGTACTTCTTGATTTGCATCAAGGTGTGCCAAGGGTAAGTCGAGGTAGTGCAAGAAATGGTTTTGTATTTGCGCTTATGTCCATAAGGGAACGTGGCTTGTTGCATTTTAACAAAAACCTATGTATGTACGAATAATAATAAAGAAATCCCGTTCGTGTTATTATACGTCAGTCACATTAAGCACAGAACGCCCTTGCTTGTCAACTTGATGAATCGTAATATTTATCAATTGTTCATATATCTTTAAATAGTTTGCGCTTCAATTAGAATCAGATTAATGTAAAGAAACTTGAAAAACGTTTTCTATATCGGTTAGTTTCATATACATTGTATGCAACATGAGTAAATCACTTTTCTCTGCCGATGAATCGACAGCACTGAAGACATCATGGAAAACTTTGACAAAAGCAGGCATCGCTCCAGTGGGGCAGTTGGTGCTTCACAGGTATGAGGAATATGTTAATTTAAAACAACCCTGCCATAATTGAAAACTATCCGCCTTTTTCGACTGTTGATTATTTCATTAGATCATCAATGTTACATTATTACTCGACGCAAATGCGTACTCCCGCATGTATTGCTGTCCATCTAAGAACTTTGACGTTCCCTAATTTGTCATATGAGCTACGGGTACAAATTGCAGATATCGAAACTCGTACAGCATTTTTTGCATGACCGAAAGTTTTTCCTTTCAATTGTGCCATATTTACTTCAGCGGAAACATCAATCAAGATTAGCATACATTTAATTTAAGACGTGTTTAAATGAATAGAAACGTATAACCCATTCAAGAACCGTTTTAGGCTATGTAGCAGACAATATTTGATCATATTGGGAAATGGTAATTGGTAATTGCTAAATCACCGAAAACGAATATTATAAATCTAAACTGCAGTTTGTGATGTCACGATGTCTTCATTTATATTTTATCCATATAAAAATTAATGACAAATAAGGACACAAAATTGTGAAATATTTTATCGAACAAGCAAATGCGACACATAACAAAATTTTTGAGGCAAGAACAGGCTTCTTTTAATTCGACTCTATTGGTTGGCCGTCCGAAATATATTTATAAGAGTAATTAGGATTTTGTTTTGTACAATCGACTCCGACTGCAGGTCCGAACTACAAGAAAATCAAATTTTGATTACAAAAACTTTTGCGTGTGCAAGTCGCCTATAAATATAATAGACTGTTAACAACGCTTGGTAAAATTAATGTTTTTTTGTAGAAAGTTTTGACTTATTTAATCACCTCTGAAAATCACGTAATTTTCACAGGGCCGGTACCGCACAGGGCCGGTACCGTCCAACTCAGCTTGCAATATGGTGCTCCAGTCACTTAGACGTTACCGTATTTGTGCCGTAGTTGTCATGGTTATCTGCCAGTCGGCGTTCGGAGTCTTTTGCTTAGTGAGTCCGGAAATATCCGGTCTTTTTAAACATATTTCTGCCAATGTTAGTATTTTGGCGTCCGACTCCTCACTTTAGTATTGTATTTAGTTCGATTTTTGTTCTTGTATAACCCAATGTTAGACTATTCATAGGTGTCGTTGCTCGATAACCAATGCTGGTTTATCGCGTCCCCTTTCACCCTGAAATGCATTATTTTCCTCTCTTTTCTTATCTCGTTCTGTATGTACAGTGTGTATTTCTTGGTGATAAAATAAATTACTGATTACTGATTTTCACTCCGACTTTCGGGAGTTTGAAATATAAAATTGCATTCGTAATTCTCGGCGTTTTCTTAATAATTTATGAATCCTGACAAAGTTACCATTTGCCGATTATATCAGGACTAAAAATTCATTATCGCATAATCAATCGTTTTGTCCAAAATTAATTTCAACAATTATCAACTCTGATTCTTCTGGTATGTATCCAAATTGCAACGCTACGATATTTAGACTGCCAATAAAATGCTCACGCGAAATTAAATAACCCTCAATGCTGAGAATGGCGTGACGTTCGAATGTAACGTGAGGAAGGTAACGCATAAATTGCAGTTCAATAGACTGAATAGAGTATAAAGAAGTACTGTAAGAAATGGTGGTAGATATGTTTCTTCTCCTTTTAATGTTCAAACTCCTTTTAATAAAACTTATAGGCGATAGAAAGTAATCACAGCGGTACGCCACAAGTTTCTCGTAATCCTTCCTGCCGAACGAAAGCGCCATAAATAATTGAGAATTAAATTGAATTTGGTGTGAATTAATGAGATCATACTTGAAGTTTTTTTTTTACGAGGTTATGAAATTTTACTACGCCCGGCTTAATCATTAGAAGAAGAAAAAGCATGTTAGCTTTTTCACATTCGTTAAATTCATGAATGCCTTTTTAAATATATTCATGTATAGGTAATATTGCATTGGGCGCGTTGAATTTACATAATTAGTGGAAAATTCATAACGTTGACACTATAAATGGCCGTAAACTTTCTATAGTATTTAGGTGAGACATTGACACATTCGATTTTGCGAGATTGAAAGCAGATCGTTCACAAAAATAAACGTTTCATGTTCAACTTTAGTTACTGGCTAAAAATTTTGAGTAAAAAAAAGGAAATTCAAAAAAGGATATAAAAAATGACGGGCTTTCAACTGACGTCCGAACTTTGAACTGTACTGACGATGTCCGAACTCTTTCCCAATGGCGAAATGCTGCATCGTTGTGCTGATTTTACAGATTTTATTCCAATTTTTCCCAATAAGTTAAGTTTATTATCTCATAGCTGTTTCACTGGTCGTTTTAGCATGAACTATTAACCCTCTCATCGACCGGTATTTACTGACTCCCAATTCTATAGTACAATTCCTTATAATCTCAAGGATCAATCTCCTTAACTTGTGAGTAAGTGTACGTAACACATTGAGCACATTTCTTTGAAAAAATGAATGTAATTCGTTGAACTTCACAACATTTTCTATTTCACTAAATAATATGATCGTTGTTATAACACTTTCACCCTGGGTAACTGTTCAATAAACTGTGTTTTTCAACTTGTATTCTAGATTTTTTAATGATGTTCCTGAGGTCAGAGAATTATTTTACAACGTCGGTGTGGATGAGGATCGCCCACAGAGTTTAACAATGGAATCTTTGATGAAAGATAATAGATTTCGCGAGCATGCAAAAAGGTACGTTCATGTTTTGTATGGTGATTGTGAAAATTACGCGCTATTTATCCTAAAAACACCTTAAATAAAATAGTTGCAAACCACCAACAAAAAAACTCAATCAATTTAGTTTAATTTTTGTATTAAGTAATATCAGTTTTTTTTTAATAAATTTGTCATAATATATGCCGGACGTAAAATTCATATATTGTTCGTTATATTGTAAAGATTTTTTCTTTTTACAGAGTCGCTTATGCAATTGATACCGTCATAAGAAATTTAGATGAAACAGATGTAATTGTGGAAAAATGCTCAGAGTTGGGAAAAATCCACGTAAAACACAAAGTCCAGCCGCATCAGTTTGATGTGAGTATACAAAAAGACCCATCTAAAACTGGAAAAATGTGCTGGTTTGACAAACCAACCAACTACGGCACACGTTTATATTATGATTAAGTCTCGATATTAGAAAGTATATTAAATTGGTTAAAAAAAATTTCCTATTGCAAGTTAGAAATGCCATTGCCGATGTCACGAACGGCGAATGCTAGTCGCACGGGGAATTACGTCATGACCTTTTTAATTTTCATATATGTATGTTTGCCAAGTCTATAAAGTTGACATTGTAATTGGCCGTGAACTCTCTGTAGTATTCAATATGTAAATTTAACGAATCATTAGCTAAGTGATGCCTGTAACTCGCAGTCTTCTTTAACAGTTTGAATAGTTTATATAGTGTGCGGAGATATGTATTAAAATAATAAGAAATAAGTTAATAAGAATATTACCAATACTACACACAAAAACAAATTAAATCTTTCTCCCTGAAACAAATAAAGTGCTCCCTTGGGATGAATTCCTCCCGGAGTGGCAACGGGAAGTGACGTTTTCAAAATGATGATCGATTACTGAACCCAGAAATATTTTTGTCCAACAACAATAACGCCATGAACAACGACAATAAATTAGCAATTTTATCCAAAGTTACACTTCGTGCTCTACAGTTCTTTCTTCAGAGAAAATATTTTAATATATTCGTAGCAAGTTGAATTCCATTCAGAGATATTCCGTGTCAGAATTATGTTAGTGCGCGATGGCCCAGCGACAATAAAAAATGACTGAACTGGTTTTAACTCCGTGCCCATCACCTCATTCTGGTGTAATATATTGGATAAATAATGCCGATACGGAAAAGATTCGGTCCTTTCACAACAATAGCACATAGATATCAGGGTTGCTCATACCAATCCTTGTTTTGGGCGAACGAAGCGTCGATAAAAATGACCCATACAGGGTGAGACGGTAAACAGAACCCAGATCATTCGGATCGTATTCAAGAGAAAACATACTTTTGTGCGAATCATGCTAGATTACTGAAACTTCCGGGTACAATCGTACACAAAAGATAGATTTTGCGATGTTAAATAAATTTCCATCGCTTTTATAGGAGTAATCAATAGATTTTATGGGTTCTGTTCTATTTTTGGATCACCCTTTGAATAGATGAAATAATGGATATCGTACTTTCCAATGGGCCAGTTTTAGTGACATTTGTCGGTAACGAAAAGAAATGTGATATGAGTTGGTCTACTGTATCTCCATCTCTACAAATACTTATCGTGGCTGCTTTTTCATTTTAGATGAGGGGGGGGGGGGGGTGTTCACACTTATGTCCACCCAAATTAATTTTAATATATAAATATTATTATTTTTCAGTTATTGGGTGAAGTTCTCGTGAATGTAATCAAAGGAGCTCTCAATTACGACGTTACCCATCCCATTATGCAAGCGTGGATAAAGGCATACGGAACCATCGCTAGCGCAGCAAAGGCAGGAATGAAAACTCGATAAAAGATATCCTTTTCATCACTCCAACGCCTTTTTATCCTTCAATCCACTCCGATTCCGTTTTGAATAAAATGTGACTCCAACTTGTACACAATTTCGAATCTAACCCTAGCTCCTAACTTCGATAAAATTCCCTAAACATTCAAGATTTAGACTCCGACGACTTTGTAAATACGACTCCAGTGAACCCATGCTGAACTCCGGCACCACAGCCTTGGTATTGATCTTCTCGGTTGTCAGTCACAGATAGGGATGATTCGGACGAACTGGCCAAATGGGCCGTATTGATAAATTGTTGCTGCGTGGACAAAATATCGCCAACGTATAAAAGTATAGTGGGAAACTCATCGTGCAGGAAATGCATTCAACGGTTTAAAAGACTTAACAAATCTAATGATTGTATGCACCTATTATTCCACCTATTATTTCATGTCTGTAAGTGAGCATGCATAATTGTTACTAAATTAGATCAATCAATATAATTACTTTTTCATTCTTAAAGATCATTCTTAAAATAAATAGAAACTGCCATATTTTCGAAATGCATTGATTTTCCGGGAAATGGTCATCAAATGTTCATGCAGTGTCGTGTTAATCAGAGTTCTTGTTGTTTGCTTTAGACGTTCGACCAGTGGTTCCCGATATTTTTTAATATACATACCCCTTGGCCTATTTTTTAAATATTCATTTTTTCCACTCTAAGTATAAAAACTATGTTCGCACTGGTTATGCCTATCAATTTTAACGGAATATTTGCTTGTGGTGCGTGCGGCTTGTACTTTGGCTTTTGTACATTTTGAATAGTTAATAATGCACTACAATAATGATAAATACGTAAATACTTTTAGTAATACTACACACAAATGCAAAGTAAAATCAATGTGTAAATCCGGTTCCATTACATTTGAACCCATGACAATTGCACCTGTATGCTATTGCACCTATGGAATTTTTTTTGTTTCACGGATAGTTAAACCCATACTAACCCTAACCCATGGGTTTTAGCACCCGCATATAGATTGAACCCGTGGATATACGCATGGGTTCAAATGTACATAGGTTCAAATGTACGGTCACCTAAATCCCACCATTTCTTCCAGCCCTACGTTTTTTAACGTAACTTGACTCTGCAACTATTATGATATTTATCTTTGCAATTATCACTTGTTTTGTCTACAGAAAGTAGATTATTAACTAACGAAAAAGCCCACAAAAATACTTTCTATTTCGCAGAATAAGATTATTTGTTTAATACAATCTCTCCGGGAATTCTTGCAGCAACGGCCAAAATAGATAGTATAGACTCTATACTATAGAGTCTATACAAACAAACAGAACGGATCTGCAGTTCAATGTCCTAGCTAGTACCCCCGGAATAAATATATATGTTTGAGTATGTTGAGAGCGTAGACATGTGTATTGTGGACTTCTTATCTGGCCGATCACTATTTTCCTTGCCTGTTCAACACAAATGCAAAAGCAGTTTTATAAGCCTGCAGCTGATTAGCAATATCGTTATTGTGGTTAGAAGAAATACTCTGCCGTTTTTATGACCTGAGGCAACAACGACGCAGCCAGTAAGTCAACTAGTTGCCTCTCACCAACAGTTTGATCAGCTAGTCCAAAGGAAGTCTTCTATTTTGAGGTATGATAGTAAGACATAATAATATGGCAAATGCAGGCCTAGTGGCGACGTTAAACTAATACGCTGTCGACGGAAAGTTTAGAATAGATTTTACAGTTTGACTGATGCAAGATAGAGCATCTACTCGCCTGGGTGAGATACCACACGCGTGAGAATAAAAGCCAAAGGAGTAGCTATATACGTATACTACAAATACGCGAAAACAAGCATATCTACACTCTATACAGTTTATAATTAGGATCTTTACAGGTGGCCGTGGTGGGGAAAATTAAAAACCGTGAAACCCAGGGTAAAAATTGAAAATTGGCATCATATTCTCGGTACAAGTTAAGAATACCCAATTGATCTGTTTCACCAGGTTGAAGAACACTTTTTGTATCAAGTGTATGAACTTGCAGTGTGTGCTTGCTATACCTATTCATTGTTGCTTTTAATTTATCTTGTATTTCCCAAGTTGTACTGCCATTTCTCTTCTGTTATCCTGCTTTGTCTTGACATATTACATCTATTTGCCTTGCTATCTGCATATTGCATACTCACATTTGCACTATGTTTTTGAAGTCGTGGTGGTTTTCAACTCCTCCCCATAGAAAAATGTCAACTGATCCAGTCACAGGCTCATTGCGGGTAATTATGTCGCGTCCGAATTCATTGATACATATCCTAGACACAGATGTCGATAACACGCCCCATAAATCATTGCGGCTCACATTAGTTAGGATATAAAAAACAAACTTATCCCGGGGAGAGGAAGAGCGATGAGACAGTCTTAGACAATCTTACGGCGCACCATGTCATCATGTCCTCTCCGGTTACCAGTCCATGCTAGGTATCGGATTAGTTGGCAAGTTATTTGTTTCAGATGCATAGACTTGATGGTGAAGTAAGCCGTTGAACCACACTACGGCGTTGGCAAGCGGATTCCTAACGCTCAGCACGATGATCCACGCCGCCTAGTCAATGTTATTTTTATGATTGTGAATTTTTAATTGAAGGTTTCATATTTATCTGAATCTGGGGGATATGATCCAATAGTCATATGGCTTAAACTGTTTATCCATTGAATTTATTCGGTTTATATTTTAACAGATTTTGTGGTAAAATTTATACCGTTTTCGGAATGTCAATGAAAAGAATAATTCTGCGAAAAAGATGGTCGAAAACATCGGTTATAACGTCCGTTGTCATTGTTATATTTTTCTTGGAATTGTATAAATATGCACGCCAATTCAACAGGAAAATAATACTATTCAAAGAAATTGATGAAGATACGGAAAATAAGGTAGAGTACCACAAAAGCAGTTTGATTGGTCTGGTAATATGATATATATTCATATCCGTTAGTAAGTATTCAAGTTTTTTATTTGGTGAGTTCGTGAAAAAGTCGCACTCTTTTTCGAAAGCGAATTGAATTATTGTGTATGATCATATTTCATATCGAAAAGAATTGTTTTATGAGTGAACATAACAATTTAACTGGAAGTCTTGTAATATTTTTTATTTCTTTGAACATTTTTCTTGATTCGTTATAAAATAAAGCCACATGAAAGTGAGCGGAGTTGGAACCACATTTTTTTTTTAATTTTGATGATCTCATCGCACACAAAAAAAAACGAATCCCACAGAGGCCACACTATTTTAAATGAATAATAGTAATGCAATGTTTACCCATTGAAAATTTCAAAGAGATTGGTCCAGTAGTTAATGAGAAAAGCGATTTTTACATACAGTCGCAATAAGAAGAATACTAAAACATGATCAACAACAACATGATAAATAATAATAATAACAAAACGATCCATATGTCCATTTCGTGTCCAACAAGGGGCACGGAAGTCAAATGTCACATGCAAATGTTTCCGCGAATTAGAATAAAACAGCGATATTTTGGCCAAGTGGTTCGCCGTGAGCCTAAAATACAAAGCCTTCTAACGACTTCTCCACCTTTAGATAATGAAAATTTGAAATCGATTATCTCCGACCATCTCAATAAAATTAATAGCAACAACATCAACAATTTAGTAAATTGATCCATTTGTACAATAAGGTATTGCTCTGCAGATAAAGTTTGATATATATACTTTGATGTTTTACTCACATTCTTTTCAGTAGCTAATTTTGTTGTGGAATCTGAGAGCTTGGAAGAATAAAGTAATTGATTCGACCGTATGTGGAAGGTGTGAATTCACAACAGACAAGACAAAGGTTAGCGCTATCACCAACCGCACATTTCTTGGTGTGGAAATCTATGTTCAGCCTTGTACAATAGAATTGATTGTATTATTCATATTATTTATATCCATTTTGGTCGCTCCAGAAGTGTGTGTGCCAATATGGAGGTAACTAATTTTGTTCGCCTACTTCACATCAAGTTGTGTAATTGGACTGTACCTATGGACAGGGGCATATATTCACTTGGCTAACACAGACAGTCCCCGAACTCGTTATATAACTAAAGTAAGGGAAATCGGAATAAAATTATGGCCTAATCGGGTACACATACTACGGGAGTAGGCTACTCAATTATGATGTAATTTTGTAAAACGCTTCAAAATTCTAGTAAGATGTTGTAAACCTAGTAATCATTTCGTTTATCAGGAAATATTTCATGTTGATACGATCTGTTAGAATGTTAGATGGATAATAAAATGCACTAGATTTGTGTGTTCACTCAACTTGTACCAAAGAAATGATGCTGCTTTTATATTTCAGATCGCTAATATAATAATTTGGTGTTTATTAATAAGATTTTATTTCAGATTAACTCTTCCAACACTGCAGCAGTATTATTCAGATCCGAACAAATAACTCGAGAAGAAATGCCTCCGATAAACTCCAGGTGAACTAAACTCTACATAACACACTAGCATATAGGATACACCCGATCCATAAGATCCTAGAGCACAATTATTCACTAATTCATCCAACACAGGCGAAAAGACCAATTATACATCTGGACCGCTGGGGAATCGGCTCCTTCATTGTTTCACCTTCGAAAGATTTGGCTCTTTTGGGAAAACAAATATGTTTTCAACATGACTATGACTTACAGGTAAACGGTACGATGTGAAATAATTTTTTTCCAAAATTTGTCTTGGTTAGATTTCAGATTTGTAGCAATGATACAGATAATCTTTTCAACGTAGGCGGGATTCGTCTCTCTACCATCCGTATGGAACAGTTACCGAAGCCTACTCTTCGATACAAAGACTTGGATTTGTGGACAACCCTGGAAAAATTTTAGCAATGAAAACAAAACTCGCCGTTGCTGTGGTTTCAAACTGCAATTCTACATCGGGCGCAAAAGTACGGATGCAACTATTAAAGAACCTTAAGCATGCTGGACTCCAAGCAGATTATTATGGAAGCTGCTTTGGAAATCAAACTGTACCAAAAGGGAATCGAGAAGATTTTGAAAACTTACTTTCAAAATACAAGTTTTATTTTGCGTTTGAGAATTCATATCACTGTAAAGACTACGTCACTGAAAAGTTTTATCGGAATGCTCTCTACTTGGGAGTGGTGCCAGTTGTGTGGGGCACACTTAAAGAAGATTACGAATCTGTCGCTCCTCCGAGATCATTTATTCACGTTGAAGATTATCCTTCAATCAATCATCTAATAAAGTATTTAAACTATCTCAACACAAACGACACGGCTTATCTGGAATATTTCAGGTATTTCATATTTTTATTCGCTATATTTAGTAAATATATAACGAGAATATCGGTCCGAGACCGAAGACTTATCGATCGAAAGTTAGGGGATCCCCAAAACAGCGCTCTTACTTCATAGTGACACCTTGTGTCCCATCACTAATTAATTTGATAACTCGCTAATTATACGATATCATTCGCCCAAAATCAATAGGCTTCTGGTCCGAGAAAAGATGAATGCACATGCAAAATCTGGAGCAGATTCAATCTCGCTTTCGTGAGATATCAAGTGCATCTAACAGACATACAGACAAATACCTATCAACATACTTACCGATTAAAATCGATAAGTAATTACCGATTAAAATCGATAAGTAATAACTTATCTGTTTTCTCATTGTTTTTCTTACATGTTCTTCGGGTCTTGTTTTATTATCCCTCGCGTGTTTTATTGTGCGTCCTCTTTCAACGAACCCATTAATTAATAAACATAGAGGTTCATGGCCAAATTCAGGTCAAGTTCAATTTAGTATTTCACAACAATATTGCCTATACGAAAGGATACCTCACTTTCTACAACCTTTACCTTTCTACTACCTTAAATGTATTAATAAAAGTGTACATCGAATTGTTGAAATTCGTTCTCATTTTTTTGAGTTTATTTTAGTTTGAAGTTATATTTATTTATTTCAGGTGGCACACTTTAAAAGAGTATGACCAGAAGCAATTTAATCGAGATTATACTTACTGTGTTCTATGCAAGATTTTACATGGAAAAAACCTAACTGATGATTCGACAATTCTTTCTTCAAAAGTGACAAAAACATTATTCACAAAGAACGCTTATTCCTCTCCATTCCCATCACTTCGATCATGGTTTTACAATGGAAATATCAGAGACTGTTTACGAACTCAATTACGAATTTTAGGAAACAACACAAAAATTTATTGATATTGATTTTATATACTTAGCATACATAAATAATAATAAAAACACTGTGATGCATGAAGTCTTTTCGATGCAATTACATCATCGCTGACTTTCTAATCCTTCAATCGATCACTTAGAATTAGATTATGCTCGATTTTCTTAACAACAAAATTAGTGCATGTTTTAGTAGGTTGTTTAGTTGGTATAAGATAATATTTATTCAAGAGAGATATTAACATATTTTACGGACCATAATGCGCACCATACATCTTTTTTTCTTTTTTAAAATCAATCGTGCGCCCTATAGTGTCCATGCACCTGAAAATGAACAACTGGCTAAATAATCCCATACCCGACATTGACTGGTAACCGGACGATAGGCCATGGTTCGTCATATGATTACGCCGTCTTATCGACTTTCCTCTTCCCAGGATAAATATGTAAATCCTATAAGCCGGTTCGCTTAATCAAATGTATGGATCAGGTAGCGCACTTTTCTTTATTGCCCACACCTAAAACCAGCACGGTACCAGTGCTTTAAAAACCTTTGCATCTTATAGCCTGATGCGCCTTATTTATTAATAAAAATACAATTCAAGCAATTTTTGGCAGTGCGCCTTATAATACGGCACGCACCTTGCGATCTGTAAAACATGGTAGCCTACTCGTGTGACGAATCGCGTGCTTTCGCTTGGCCACAAACATAAGGGGAGTGAGGACATATTTAAAAGTCGTTCCCGATGTTCGATGTTTAGTAATGACATGAAGGAATCTGAAGCGGCATGAAGTCCAGCCTATAGGAGTTCAGTGAAAAGAATATTTTAGACTCTCGGCCAAATAGGGTCGGAATTACGGGACTGGATTTAAAGTTTCTCTATCAGAATTTTTGGAATCAGGAAATTTTAAAAAGTACACATAGAGGTTAAGTTGAAAAATCGAAAAATACTCACATTCATTTCTTGCAACAATAGCGCATAAATAGCTGTACAGCAAGGCTGTTATCTTTGAAACGGCTGTTGATTTTGTTTGCAAAGTATCCAGGAGCTGAAAAATGTATTCAGATTTAAGTGACGTATCCTCGATAGAACTCATTGCCTACATCCATGTAGTTTTTCTAGGACTGAATTTTTTCTGGAGAAGTGGGACTGACAGAAAGCACGCCTACACGAAAAGCTTGATGCGAGCAATCGCTTGTCCGAGTTCTCCCTCCTTGTCGCCAAATTAAAATTTCCTGATTAAGGATTTTAGTATGGGATTAGCATGTGTGTCCGTGGGATTTTGGGTGGCGTGTTACAAAATTGGAAAAAAATCAGACGGAAGAATTTGCAGAGGGAAAAAAGCGGCGTTTATAAATAAATAAACTAAATACGCAGGTAAGCAATGAGCAACTTTTGGCGAAGCGCGAATGACGTGGGGTACTACGATTTATTTTGTTGGCAAGCGGCTTGAAATTTGGTGATATCATATTGAATGCTTGCACATATTTCGTCTTTTTATTTTTATAATGATCAGTATGTTATTAAAACTACCTTTCTGGCCATTCCCGTAGTCAATGTTTTTTTCATCAACTCATTCGCAAAGCCTTTTGTATGACGTCATAGTACTATTTCGCAATACCCAGACGCCTCCAGTGGAATTGCTCGTGGGAACAGGCATGTCTGAATAAAATGTTATGACGTTTGGAATAGGTTGGACTCGTGAAGATTAATATTCAGTGGTATAACAAAGGAAAAATGGAATAATTCAGTAATTATCATTTCCAAAGTAATCAGAAGTATACTACTGTAAACAGATGTAACCCGAGTTATTCTCGATCATTCAAAATCCATCTTAGACTGTTAGAGGGGAAAATAAAAAATGCCATGACAAATGCTGGAATGAGTTTTTCGTGAAACCGTTCGACTTCAATATGATGATTTCATTCCTAAATCCTGTAATGAATATAAAATAATATATAAAGCACTCCTGGACTAGAACTACGAGTAGTTAATTTGCCTAAAATTACGGGCTTATACAAAAACAGAGATACCGGTAGGCTATTTTGCATTTCCAATTCTACTGATTTAATAATACTCTCACTTACAGACTTAATACTAATCAATAGAATTTTAAACCTTAGTGCTCAGAAATATATAAAATGACAGAAACTGAAACAACTGCTGATCGGAATGTTGAAATCTGGAAAATCAAAAAGCTAATCAAAAGTTTAGAGGCTGCTCGTGGAAATGGAACAAGCATGATTTCATTAATCATTCCGCCAAAAGACCAAGTATCTAGAGTGGCAAAGATGTTAGCAGATGAATTCGGCACGGCATCTAATATTAAGAGTAGAGTGAACAGACTATCTGTGCTCGGAGCGATTACCTCCGTACAACAAAGACTCAAACTTTATAACAAAGTTCCACCAAATGGTCTTGTTGTATACTGTGGTACTATTGTAACAGATGAAGGAAAAGAGAAAAAAGTTAACATTGATTTTGAACCATTCAAACCGATCAATACGTCCCTTTACCTGTGCGATAATAAATTTCATACCGAAGCTCTGACAGCTCTACTTTCCGACGATAACAAATTCGGATTCATTATCATGGATGGTAACGGCGCCCTTTTTGGTACCTTGCAAGGAAATACCAGAGATGTATTGCATAAATTCACAGTTGATTTGCCCAAGAAACATGGTAGAGGAGGTCAGTCTGCACTTCGTTTTGCTCGGCTAAGAATGGAAAAAAGACACAATTATGTACGAAAAGTGGCAGAAACTGCAGTTCAATTATTTATCACGAATGATCGTCCTAATGTAACTGGCCTTGTTTTAGCGGGTTCAGCAGATTTCAAAACAGAGTTGAGTCAATCGGATATGTTCGATCAACGATTACAAGTTAAAATTCTGAAGCTTGTCGATGTTTCTTATGGCGGAGAAAATGGATTCAATCAGGCTATTGAATTGTCCGCAGAAGTTTTGTCTAATGTCAAATTTATACAAGAGAAGAAACTAATTGGAAGATATTTTGATGAGATTTCACAAGATACTGGAAAATATTGCTTCGGAGTTGATGATACTTTAAAAGCACTAGAAATGGGTGCAGTAGAGATATTGATTGTTTGGGAAAATATGGACACAATGCGTTATGTATTGAAGAATCATACTGCTGACGACGAAAAGATTTTATTTCTCAGACCGGATCAAGAAAAAGACAAAACACATTTTACAGATAAAGATACAGGAGTGGAAATGGAGATGGTTGAAAGCTGCTCGTTATTAGAATGGTTTGCCAACAATTACAAAAGGTTTGGTTCCACTTTGGAAATCGTTACTGATCGATCACAAGAAGGTTCCCAGTTTGTTAAAGGATTTGGCGGTATTGGTGGAATGCTGAGGTATCGCATCGATTTTCATAGCATGGAATTTACTGAAGATGATGATCTATATGACGAATACTAAAGTGGTGATGTCTAAATTTTAAGGAAAATGGCAATAGCTTCTTAAAACAGTTCTTGGTGAAATCTTTGAATGACGATATATAAACGGAAAAGTGACTGGGAATATTGTTAAGCGATTTTTAATAACATCAGATGTGCTTCATTACATTCAACAACACTCTGCCGCCTTACTCTTGAATATCTATCCATCATTATTTATGTATTTGCAGTGCGATTATTTGGTGTTGCTTCTAAATGTTTTCCTTTTTTTCACTACATTTTGCAAGTGCTGTATGCATTGTTGCCAATTTTCATGACCAATTTACTTGTTGTGTTGCTTGTGTGTAGCATATTTGCTGCATATTTATTGAAAAGTCAAGAGAAAATAATACTTTTATTTGAGAGGGAAACTGAGAAATTTTTTTTTTTTGGAAGAATTGGTTCTTTCAGCTGTGTGTTAAAAGCGAGGTAGGGTTAAAAATATTTCATAACATACCCACGAACATGTCATTCAGCTGCCTGTTTCTCTGGGTTGTGGCATCAGAGAAAATTTATAATCAGAAGAAAAATTTTGGCTTCAACTCAAGTTTTCGTATCAAAAAACATTTTTTGAAAATATGACTCCGAAACCGTTGAAAATATGCTACACAGCCCCGCTATCTCGTATAACTTTCTCAAATGCTAGAGCTAGATCATTAAAACTGGGGAATAGCATTTTACATGCAGCGTTTCATTCCTTGATTTGTTACCAAACCACAGTTAGTTGGCCAGTCCCATGATACATCTGGTAGTAATTGGCTCTGATTGAGTGACAATTTTGTCAAACTGGATTAATTTTTGACAAGATGTCAAAAGCTGTATCCTGAGACCATGTTGTTTACAGGAATGCAACAGATTATAAAACAACTTGTCGAACGAGCAATGATCTCCCAAAGGTTACATATTGAACAAGTGAATTAATTAATACCTAGCCATGGCAAAGAAAAAAAAGGAATTGCATAAATTTATTTATTGTTTTCTCCTTCGCAAGAAAATGGTCACGAAATCAAAGAAAGTATATTACTACACTGTTGGAATAGATTAGATAATATTAATTTACAGAGGTAATTCATATTATCACATGTATTTACTTTGATCATTGTTGTTGCTACTGGACCAAACCATGAAAAATTCGGGAGCTGCAATGACTCGGAGCGCTCCAATACACGACTTGGATTTGGAATTATGCGTATCTGTGGACATTGGCACCCTGGATCATGATAGTTTGGGGACCACTGTTCTAACCATTCCACCTAAATTGACACATACAAAGCTCATATTATTACAATTTGAAATTTGCTTAATATATTTTCAACACATGGTAGTCGAGTCGCTAAAATTTACACGAAACACACAGTACCGATAATGTAAAACATCACATGTCAGTAACAATATTATAATTAAAACATTCAAGATTAATGGCTAATAAGTATGTAACGTTATCTTAGGGCAAATCAAAGACCTTATCAATGTCATACGTATGCACATACTTCAAATACACAAAACTTTGCAACCAAATTTAGTATGGGAGCGTGTGTTATATTTGAATTGCCATAAACAGCTAGAAAAGCTTTGGCAATCAATTATAACACTTGGAAAAATTTACATCAACATTATGGGATGACGGTAAGCAAGTTGGAAATAACTGTTCGAGAAGGCATCAATGCTCACCATTTCATACACAACGCGATAAGATTGGGTTGGCTATGTCTAATAAAAATGGAAGCTCACAGGGTTATATTAAAGACAAAGTTGTATTTTCAACTCCCAGGGGCCAAAGTTCCAGACGTTTAGTGGCGATAAAATCAAAATTTACAACTAAAACTCAAATTAAGTTTGCTAGGCATTCTCAAGAGACAATTACGGTCAGTTAGGCCTACATGCGGTACAAAGCTTTTGTTGCCAAAATTGATTTTCTTGGAGCTGGAGACTGAGTCGAAATTTATGTCCAAAGCCAGATTTAATTTTTCCACAACTGTAATCATAAGTTTCTCATATCGCAAAACAAGCCATAGATATAGCTTGAAATAATAAAAAAAGATAGTATATATGAACATACAAATGGACGGAGGAGTAACTCCCTAGACTGCCGATACAAAATATGTGGAAAATATATGATGAAGTGAAATCCACTTCTTTGGACTATTATTGGTAGAAACAGCAACACTAGCTCCAAATCTTATTTTCGTTTGCATTATTTGATGTTAATAAAATCAAATTTATTTTTAAGGCAACAAGAGTTTGTGAACACAATATTGCCATCACAAATTACGGTATGTCTCTAGAAATCTTCAAGCAGACCTGTCCTTCAATAAAGTATAAAAATGGGAATTTTTTTCTGTGCATTAAAATCTCATATAACATCAACAGCGTATTTATAAATGTGTGACTTACAGAGATAATATATTTACATGTGCCGTATATATTTGAATGAAATGTAATAAGATGCAACTTGGACCCTGTATTAATATGAAACATGGTTAACTTTAGTGCGTTTCGCTGTTTTTATTTAAACAAAAAACGGTGCTCCCGAAGTATGCGAACCAAGATGGCGGACATCGGAACGTAACATGGGTAACAGGTCAGGGTTAGGCGATAATTTTTTTTCCAATTTTCCCTGTTTTAGTCCTATTATCAGTTCGAAGACTAGCCAAGAGCCTCCCGTAGTATTTATACCTAAAATTATGGCCTAACCCTAACCTAGTACACATATTACATTCCGATGTCCGCCATCTTGGTTCGCATACTTCGGGAGCCCCCAAAAAACACATTCTCACAAAAAAATTATCTGACAAACTTGTTGGCGAGAAGTAAGTCGATAAGACGACTAAATCATACAGCAACCTCTCATCAGTTTACCAGTCCGCGTCGGGTATGGGAATAGTTAACCCTTTAGTTCTTCCAGATGCATGGATTTAATATCAATAAAATTGAACCAATTGAAAAAATGGTTCCAATATAGAGGCAAAATTCTAGCTATTACCAACTAAGAATTCAATATAGTTTTTACAAGACACAATATCTTCACTTGAAAATGTAAATAAAATAAAAAAAAGATGATTCTTTAAAATAGAAACAAAATAAAAAAGCTACTGACAACAATATGTATAAACATTTTAATATAAAATTGAAAGACTTTCAATGCTTTTATTTCAAGCTTATACCTATGTGATATACTTGAATGATAATTTCATTTTGTACAACGTTAAGGGAATAAAAAAATACTGGGAGAGAGGAAAGTTGATAAGACAGCTCATTCATAAAGCGGACCAGGGACTCTCGTCTGGTGACCAGTTCATGTTTGTAGAATAGTTATTTGTTTCAGATGCACGGACTTGATGTTGGACTGTATTGTTAATATATGATGATACTACGGCCGGCTTTGTCCAAATAATCAAATTGTATTACAAAGTTGTCTTTGATGCTGTAATATTTTGCAGTTTTGTAGATTATAACAAGGGATATGCAAGGAATTTAGTTTTATTGATATTTCAAATTATTGCTATTGATAGCAGTTTATTATGTAGAATTGCTTTATCACTCAAACAACTCTTTTAATATGGAAATCACTTATTCAATATACAATGCAGAGGTACTTTAATTTGTAAAATTAAATATAAATCAGAACTTTAATAATTTTCGTAAGATAAATTTTCAGAAGGTGATCCAGACATGTTGTTGATATAAGTTAAATTTAAGCATCCCATTCAAATATGCTCCCACGTATCACGATTCTGAATAAAGATAAACGTCAACTGGTTTTTGAGCTATGCTTTTTGTGCAAAATGAATGACCTCAGAGTACTGAACGTATGATGACAAAATTTTCTATCGTAATTATGAGTTCAAATTATTTCGAAAGGTTTCGGTCAAAACAATCCCCAGTCCATTGGTCATAAAATGAAAGATAAGTGCCTCAAAAACAAATTGGTGAGAAATATGAGAAAAAATGGAAAATTAATTTAAACAATTGTATCGATGAATTCTTTATACAAGAGTCTCAATGTGAATCAGCTTTTTATCTTTCATTCACAATTGCAATTTGACTCCCAGACTCGCTTGGACCTGTAAAATAAATACAAAAAAGGACCATCAGTTAAAATCATTATAAAAGTTTAAATAGTATTCTATGCGGAATCATCTCCGCAGCAGACAGTCCCGAACAATGTGTGGCGCAAAAATTTATCCAATCTAATTTAATATTATATTGTAACTTTCATTTGTAAAATTGTCCATTTATTTGATTGCGCAATCATTCAAGATGCAAGACAGAAGGTGATATTGTGAAACTGCTATTGTGACATCACACACTCTTCAGAATCCATTTGCCTTTGTAATTTGCCTTTCTGGATTTGTTCAAAATACCTGACCTGTCCTGATTTCTGGACACAAAAATGTGTAAGATAATAGCACTTTCTAGATGGTAAAATCAATTTTCCAGTCCTTGTCGGCCTAATAAACTCTTCTGAAGTCTAAATCCTCATACAATGGAAACATTAGGTTATATTACCTCTAGGTGATATGGCATCATTGTCAAGTAAGTGGTTTGAATCGCTCGTACGAGATCTTTGTGGAAAACTCAATCCATTTCCCATGCTGGAAAACAAATTCGGACAAAATTAAAATTTTCAATATTATAATTTATAATACATGTTTTAGTCTAGGGTTGTCAATTTTGAAAAGCAAAATCGTAAACAACATCATAAATTATAAATTCAAGATAAACTCTGTTATTGGTGATGGAATTATATTAATTTGACACAAACAGATTGATTCCTAATAAGTTTGACACTCATTTATTCTGAAGGTAATGGGTTGGCTACATCTCTTCATCTGGAAAACCATGCATGACTGAAATAGCACATTTCTATAAGGAGAATTTTAGACCTCTTTTAGTAACTTGAAAATCTTAGATATTTTTTCAGTTTTTGTATTTTACCTGAGAAGATATCTTAATTAAAAATCTCAAAATCTGGGCATGTTTGGGTAAACATGGATGTATGACAACCCCAAAACAGTCTGTACAATAAAGAATTTTAGAAACATGACCAAAGCACAAATCCAGAGCTTATTTCGCTCCCAATTCATAATATTTAAACGAAGATCAAACATTTGATATTAAACTGTCATTTAACAATATTGTCATGAAACCAGGTTTGGCTTAGTAAGTTTACTATCTATACTTTATTAAAATGAGTACAAATTTCGAAGATTTAAATAAATAAAGCTGACATAAATATTATAACGATACAAACAAAGATGTCCAAAATGAATCATCAACTATTCAAGACAATTCAAATCAGTTATTCTTAATTTCAGTTTAGAACAATTTAGAATAATTTCATTTGAAAATTTATTATTTTGAGCAATTGAATCTCCTTGTATGATCAAAAAGTCCTTTCATCAATTTCAAAAATTTGCAAATGATATAACCCAATCAAAACACTGTTAAAATTAACTTTGAAGCATTTCCAAATTGAAACTTTGAATAACTATTGACTTCTATATGTTGTCTGTTGAACATGACTCAATCCAGGATATATTTGGTATTTCATTTTTGAAAATATTTTTTCAGGATGGATTATGATGAGCTATTCTTTCAATGCTCATACACAACAGTTTTATTATAGGAAGGAAGTCATGTATGCTGGTTGTATTATAATTTATAACACAACTATTTCACATGTCCTACAAAGCAGATTATAATCAAAATTGAGTATCAATATTATTTGAGAAACAAATTTTTTTCTGCAATATTTCTCAGATTTGCCAATGAAATTAATAATTTTCATCAAATTTATTCAGAATATGCAAATTCAAATAATTACGAGACACTATAATTTCAAAATATTGGAAAGCGGACAATCTATGCAGATGTACAACAAAAAATTATAAACTATAATATTAATTATCTAATCACAAAACCATCACAATTACAAATAATTAATTATATGATGAAGGGATGCCACTACTGAATTACATAAATTATAAATGATACATACTTATGTTCTGAATCTTGTGGTAATAGTCGAGTTGGATACGACATCCCATCTCCCATACTAAATAGAAAAAAATTAAATTACAAACAAATGATTGCTTTCAAGTAATAAATAATCAAGACTTAATCATATATCAGATTTACAAGGTTACCCAAGATAAAACAGAGCCCATTTTTTAATTACGTCTACAAAATGAAAAAAAATTATTCAATACTTGAATTTCTGTTTGTGTATGATTGTACTAAAGTTTCTGGAACACTATACACAAAAGTTATGTTCTCTCTAGAACATGTGTTCTCAAACGGTGGGGCGCTCCCCACAAAAGAGGCGTAGACAATTTTTGAGGGTTCAAAATAAAAAATATACGTTAGATTTAATCTTGCCCGCCTTATTTTGGATATTTACATTTCCTTATTGTTTAAAGATTGCATCCACGTATTTTTAACGTTACTTTTACATAAAACATACTTTTGCTTTACTATCTGTTATTTGTAGCTTATTGTTGGCTCGTTTTGAGACGGGGCACGAGACTCGACAAATTCTAAAATAGGGGCGCGACCTAAAAAGTTTAAGAATCACAGTTCTAAAATATGGTTCAAATGACGGTGTTCTTTTATTTGGGGTCACTCTGTAGATAAGATATAAATAAAAAGATTATAAGCTATATGTCATATTTATATGATATTAAGCCATGATATAGCATTGTCTAAATTAAGCGTAACAAGCGTATTCGCCATAGCGAGTCGCTCTATTAGGCCAGCCGAGCTTTATCAGGCTGCCACACAGGTTCTTAGTTACACCTCAAAACCTTGTTTATTGAATTTTAAAAGCAAAGACAGCCCTGAGGGGTTGATAGGCATTCCTAATAAAATCTTTCGCACATTAATTTAAAGATTAATTTTTGTTCGAAATAAAAGCAAACATCCGAAGCAAACATCCGAATAAACAAACGATTGTTAGTAGTAAAATTATAAATCTTTTATAAACAAAAGAAGAAATTGAAAATATTCCAATTATTGAATCAAAAGCATTTTTTAAATATCAGTATTCAAAAATTTTGTTTAATTACTTAAAGTAATTATTTTGAAAGCGAATCGCAAATCAAGTTTTTACCTGCCATATTTTTCAAAAATGATCAAATTATTTGGATTTAAATTTAGAATAATAATGATATTTTAGCATTTATCAAATTGATTTAAATCAAAAATTTAATCAAAATTTATCTCGATTTCTAATTCTGTTTATATTAAAATTGATTATCAGGAGTTGTTATTGAAAGGAAATGTTTGAAATTGTAAACAAATATAAAACAAAGTCAGAAAATGATTGATCCAATTCAAAACTTTTAACACAGTACATTATAATTGAAAATTGCAACATAATTTTATGGCATGTTTCGAGTAGGCGATTCAATAAAGTGAAGCTACTTAGACCTGATAGTGGGCCTGGGAATTGTATATGTTATCTATGGAATATATGTTATGTGAAACATGCGTGTAGTAGCATAACCACATGGTGTAGTTTTACTAATATTCAATATTATTGTAATACATATTTATTCACACATAAACTCTTCAAACTGTAGAAATGTCATAAAGCAAGTTGTAAGCATCACCAGCTAAGAATCTTTTAAATTAATTATTAGGGTTTTATGCACAGTGAGGGTGGATTAATGAGATCCAAAATAGAATAAAGGAGAAATATATTGAAAGAGGTTAAGGAACAATTGCACTAGGCCATTTTGCTCATTTTTTTTTTCAATTCCACCTTATAAACTATAATTCAGTGAAATAAATAACGTTTTTTTTTCAGAATATTTCAAACAACCAGCAAGTTGTTACTCATTCGGTCTTGACAAGATATTTTCAAATTTTCTATTTTCAATGATTAATAATTGCTATTGTGCAAAATACTCTGATTGTGCCCTTTTATAACGTAGCTACTGAATATAAATCAAACACAATATGGGACAATATTTTTCAATAACAAATCAATTTCCAGAGAGCTAGGTTAAGTTTTGCATCATTTTACAGGTCACAGAAATAAATAACAATATTAAGGCCCAGAAGTGATTTACATGCATTTTTAGGGGTTAGTTTGGAATCTACATTCCGTGGTAATATAAATGCTAATCAACAACCAACCACAAAATTCATATGATATTATTTTCAAACTTAGCTATCAAAACTAGCATATTGTTGAGTAAAATAGTGTCGCTTGATAGTGTAATCCTTCAATATTACTATAGTGCTTTGGCAAATAAGGCAAACCAATCTTTATTGCGCGTAGCAATTAGGTATTATATACACCACTCAGTGCCGAACTTCTGTCTTTATTAATAATCGACCTTCCTTTTTTTGATGGATATTCAAGAATACTCGGATATAGTTAAGTTTTAATGGAAAAGGCTATTTTAGTATAGAATGTAGCTGGTATGACGTCTATATCATTTCATTCACGCATAGGATTATTGTAACAGGTCCTTAATACTTACAGGTCTCACTCAAGGTTAGGACTCAAGGACTATTGCAGAGAAAGGGAGTAAGATTATGGATACATACCGGTATATACCAAATTACATCAAGTTTTATCGAACAACTCAAGCTTTATTTGACATGAACCTATTGTAACATTTCGATCATTAATGTGTTATCTTGCATATATCAGAACAAAAATATGACACGTCAACTACAAACGCATACATTATTCATAATCCTTTAAGCTTAATAAGATCGTAAAACTGAACTGATGCCATGCTGCATAATTAGATATGCGAATAATCTAATAATAATACAGGCAAGTTTGGCTTCTACAAATCTCTAATAAGCAGATATTTATCAGCTTTAGCGAATATTCAAATAAAAAAAATTAGCTGCAGCCAGGGCTGTAGGTTACCATCAAGTCTGATTCTTGATTCGAGTTGAAAAATATTTTGGCTTCGAACTCCAACACAGAGGAAGTTAAATTTGAAAACCAAAATTTTCGTGCATGCAAGCCTTGGATCTACTGTTTTGAGTTAATATTAACTTCTTTTATCACTACGAAAGTCTGAAATCCCAAATATGACTACAGGTAATTCGTAAAATATGATTTGAGCTAAGACTCCAGTGAAAATAAGCTGAACATCATAGACTCCTCATTCCACAGCCCTGTTTTCTGACAAACTATGAATACAATGTTGAATTTGCATATTCAATTGCATTAGTCTATTTACCTTGTGAAAAGTGGCAAGCCCCATAGCAATACTCTTTCCCCAAAAACTTGTTCAAAATTTCTTCTATATCCAAGATTGAACCCGTCTGCATCTGCTCCATGCATAAAGATTGGAGCCCGAAAAGATTCTGGAAACAATAAATCATGAAATAAAATGGCCGTTTTTAATAGAAATATGTTATCAATGATGTGGTATAGGTATTCTGCTTGTGCTCCAACAACCATTGTCTATGGATACTATAAATCAGATGCTGTTAGTATCTTTTGAGCAATGCCAGGGCTTCCATTAACCAGAGGTTAACGATTGGCAAAATACCAAAAATGGCCTGGAAATGAACCAACATCAAAAACATTGAAGACTGGAACCCTCAGAAATACAGCACTATCTAATTTAAGAGTCATCATAAACAGTGCCCAAAATTTATGTAGGATTGATCTCATTGATGAAAAATAAGGACATAGCTCAAGAACAAGGACACATTTGAAATATCTTTTTCTGAGACGTCCTAGTTGTTAGGACAAATCTTAAAAATATGGATGATGAACTACAAATCAGTTAGCTTATTGAGTAGACATGATAAAGCACTTTGATATTCAAGAATTCTCTATTTATTACAAAATCTAGGATTTATTTTATCATGATTTTACAGAACATTAAAATATTATGACCAAAGCTTTCTTACCTAAAGTGCTCCTATTTTTTAACACAAGATATATGTGATATCCGAGAAGACACGATAAACTTATGGCGAACATAACCGAAGCAAAGAAGAGGAATAAAATGTGGAAACGAGCAGATCCATCAAGAAGATTCTGAATGAAAATAGCTCGTTCAATTAAATTCAAATAAAACAGCCAAATCTTGGTTGAAATACCAAGGCCCTGTAAGACTCTGAAACAGGAAAAATTTAAGTGTATTGTTAGGTTTCAATAGCGTTCCCACTGATGACGTGAATTATGCAATTGAGATCAAGTTTTATAAAAAATAATAATTACCGGTATAGAAAAATGCCCAACTTCAATCAGTTATCAATTTTGAATTTAAAGTAATGAATAGGCTATACTGAACGCTGCAGTTAAAGAACTTACATAATATATAAAAATACCGAACAATTATTAAAACGAAGATTGACTAGAGAATACGAGAAAATACTTGATAGTGTTTTTTTTATTAAAAAAAAATGTAGAATATTTTTTAAATACACACACAGCATACCTGCCAGAAGTCGATGAAATATGGTAACACAGTCCCGGCAACGTAGAGACAATATAAAAATCCATAGAAGAGAAACAACAAGAAAAATTTGTAGTTACTGTAACCGACACAGTTGTTGACCCTAAATAAGATGAATAATACATAATTAAGGCACACTTTACAGTTGGCACATCGAATGCCCTGTGGAATGATTATGTGAAAAATGATTGCTGGACTCCTCGGTCACCACTGGGTGGTCAACCTAACCGCTAGTTTGTTATGGTTTCCTCCACTATGATTTCTATGCATCTGAAACAAATAACTGGTTAACTATTCTCATATCTCATCTCATTCTCATGTGACATGGACTGGTAACCGGACATATGACTGAGATTTACAATGCATGAATATTTTCAACTCAATAAATAACAAAGTGGTTAAGAAGCTCAAACAGTGACATCTCAAAACACAATTTTTTTCTGACATTCACGGAATGTTGTTTCGAAATGCCTTATCCCTTAATCATATCACATGACTATTACTCAATACAATAGTAAATCGATAACTGAGAACTAACATGTTATAAATCGTGTTGAATAATTTTATCGGGAAAATATTACTATGTAGTTACCATATAACATATATAATGTTATGATAGAGGGAAGTTGAAAGAAAATTGAAATACAAATATCTCCTTATGTAAACTTAAGTAGGAAGATCAAGATGTTACATCCAAATTTGAGTATATTCCATCCATTTGCCACAGTTTTTGCAATATGGGACTATCTGAGTATTTCATTAGAAAGTAACTTATACTCACCAGGGGCAGTAGTGATCCATTTTCAACACACATTTTCCGACAACAGAACAGTAATGGCATCTGTCTGGTTTTATTACTTTGGTTATCTCACAGTATCGGATACCTGAAGTAATAAAAAATAAACACAAAATGTATAAATACTTCAAAATAAATAATATGTTACTATTATTAAATTGAGATTGCAATATAATAGCTTCAGGATGATTAACGTTAAATCTATAGCTATCGAAAGTAACTTATAGTATAGTACTTAGAAATTGCATTAATCTTTCATAGCCTTTAGCAAAATTGATTCCTTCAGCTATTTTTTTATTCTTAAATTACATAATATTTGAGCACATGACTATAATAAGGATGTTTGGTCTACTGATGTGGCGGTCTACTATATTATGCAAAAAATATGAAAAAATTTATTGTTGATCAATAAATTGAAATTATGAATATTGGTACTTTTTTATATTCATATATATTCCATATTGCATATTGATTGTAATTTGGCACAACATTATTAACAAGTCATGATAATTGTAATGAACAGGGATGATTGCTTACTAGTTGTTTCAGCAGTTTGGAGAATCAGGTTGGTTATCACTAATCTACTAGCAAGCCCGCAAACCACTTAAAAATGAGTATGCTCGATTATTCAAATACAAAAATATCATTTAATGCAAGGTGAACATATTAAAATACCTCCATCAATTGTCCTTGTTACGACAGTCATACCATTATTATGTATAATATCTCGTAAAGCCGCTTGTCTGTCTTCCTCTGTTTCAGGCTTTATTACTCTACTTTGGTACTCTCTTGGAATATCATACTGGAAAAAAAGAACCATTTGCTAACGAGTTCTCCTCACAAAATCATAATTTTAGGAGCAGTGGGTTAAGAGATGCCAGAACGTAATAAATATAAACAGGGTATGTATCGAATCAGAAGATTCTGGTGTTTCTGAAATGTAACATCTCTCTACATACCACCGCTTATTTTCAAAGCCTTTTTTGGTATAAATTTCAATTTTTGAAACTTTATTTAAGGTAAAAATGCAGTGAAATAATTTAAAAAAAAATAAATAAATTTTTACAATTACGTTCTGAGCTAGCCAGTTTAAGTACCAGCTTACCAATTTTCTATTTCAAACCTATCTTCAACCAGTCAATGCATAACCAATTTAGGAAATTTCTCAATTTGCATCATTCATAAAGGATCAGATATTTGCGTAAAATATGCATAATGCATGAACTTACGTTACTAGAAGGTGTCATAACATCTGTAAATATTGTCTGCCAATATGCCCACATAAACATCACGAAAAATACATGGTAAAAGATGAGATACAACGCTGTCAAATAGAGAAATATATTTATATATATGAACAGTGGAATATTACTCTAAATCAGTGTTTTCCAATTAAGAAGAAATTTTTCCCACTTTTAAATTTGCTGAGGAAAGGTATTTATCGAAAATGGAAACCATTGCGATGAATGCTAGCACATACATATACAGGCTTCTCGCCAGGAAAAAGATACTGGAAATGACAAATTTAATTTACACTTGAACTTCTGTTTGTGTATGACTATACCCAAAAGTCTCTGCTTTGCACAAAGGTTATATTTTTCAAAGAATACCATTCCGAATGACTGGGTTCTATATTTTTTTGGTCATTCACCACCCATGCAGAACAAATTTACCCCGTTCAGAACCTCTTAATAACAAAACTAAATTAGGCAAAGTTACCTTTAGCGACGTCAGGTGTGACAGTGTCTAGAAATAAAAATGAACAAAAATGAGAAAAAGAATGTAGTTGAATGTCTGTCTATAAAGCATATGACACAAAGTCTATTGGACAAGCAATTGGCTAATCATATAGACATAGCAATGTAGAGATTTCGATCCCTTCCAAGAATACTAACAAAGTAAATGTGCTCAGTTGCCTATGTTGAATAGGAAACACTATTTTAAAAAATGCCACCAGTATGTTAAATAAATAGAAATATAGTAGCAAAAATGGCCATTGAAAAAATGCAGTGAGCAATATTTCTCAAAACTCATTCATTTTTAATAAGAAATTTGCTCAAAACAAGGTCACTCGCACTCACTCACAAATCAAGAAGATTGATCTCTGAGCAAAGTAACCACGAAAATTCTATGAGCTACTGAGACTATTAGGAATTATGGTGTAGTTACTCATATTCATGTAGTAACTGAAATAAGTAATACTAGTACAAAATTTATATTGAGGCAAAATTTTAAAATGTAATACTTACATACACACAATTCTACGACGTAAGCATAATACGACCAAAAAACAATTGCTATGATAAAGACACAAGGTATCCATCGGAAAAACAAACTGCAGTAGGTTCCAACAGACGTCATGTTGAGTTAAAAGTCTGTTGCTCAATTTCAAAAAGAATTATTCTATATTTTATTTACGGTAGCTAATATCAACTCTAATTTTATAAATATTATTCAATAATATTCCATTCTGAAAAAAGGTAATTAAAACGGTTTGTACCAGTAATTTGTGATGAGCAAAATGAATTTTAATGTGGAAGAGAGAAGCTAGGGCTTTTGAATTAAGACCCTTTTTAAATTTAAAATAAAAACAACGCTAACTAATTCAACCATGAAGAAGGAAATTTTCACGATTTGAACAGTGTTCAATGAGTAAATTGAAATTCACACAAAACTAATTGAAACTATAAATGACGGACCTATAATTTGATTAAAAATAATACCAAGTATTCACATTGGAGAAAAATAGTATAACTACCAATACATCTATCTATTAGTCGTAATTAATATGCTTAAATTTGAACCTTAGAAATCACTATAAAAAAACACAAGCACAACAACCTTTTTAATATCTGATTACAATTCAATAAAATGATTATTATAAGATATTCAGTGGTAAGATAAGAACCACTGATTGTCCCATCCCAGGTAAACAATAAAACTGAAACTGCGTGGGGAAAAGTTCTAAATATTGATTCCAACAGTAAAAATTGTATGGTAAAATTAAAATTCATGATCAGGATATTTATAATTTAAAACCCGTTTGTTAAATCAGTAGTGATTATTGCTGGAAGTATGAATCAATATTTATTAATAAATAATAAGAGTACAATAAAAATCAAGACCATGTATCTGAAACAAATGACCAGGTATTTATTCCTATACCCTGTACAGAGCTCATGTCCGCCATTAAGATGTCTTTTCTCCGGGGAAACATATGAAAATTCTATACATTTTTAAAGAAGCTGTACAATACTTTTTAGGATTCAAACGAAACTTTCAGTTTACAATAATGCCAACATTAAAAGTTATACATGTCTGGAAAATGATTTAAATAATCAATATCATCACATTCAGTGGAATTCCCCAACCAGAATTTTTTTGTTATGAAACTCAAATTTAGCAATATTTGGTATTGCCATACCTTGTCACACTATTTAAAATTACAAAACGCAAATTTTTTATGCCTATTAAACTGATGTTTCAGCATATAACAGTCCTATTGTAACACAGCCATATCTAAATGCAAAAGTGACTACCGGTACATTGCGCCTATATTTAGCAGAAAATCTTCAATATGAGAGAGCAGTCTATATACAGTAAACTAACATATTGTAAGGCTGGGTAAACATGATAAATCATTTTCAACCAAAAAAAAAAACTTGAGGTAAAGGCATTGCTAGATTCATACACAAAAAGATTAAAAATATATCTCAATACCCATAAGAAACAACTTATTCATCACTGTCATAAGCATTGTTACCAGTATGCAAAACAATAGGATTTTTACCACCAGACTCCATTCCTGTTTCGTTTTTTGACATTAGCGGTCGCAGCGCTTCTTTCAGACTGTAGAACAATTTAGGATGCAAAATTTCCTGCGACGCCAGAAGTTGTTTCATCCTATGTCTTTCTTTAGGAGCTTCAAAACATGCTGGACAGTTTTCAGGGATGACAGGAAGAATTGAATTTTCCGCAAAGTCCCTTGTGTCCTTTTCACGAACATAAATAAATGGTCGGATTACTCTTAAATCACGTTCTTTTACTGTGTAATTAGCCTTCATGGTTCGAAGAAGGCCGTTTTGAAACGTCGACATTAGAAAACTTTCCGCTAAATCATCGAGATGTTGTCCCATCGCTAAAACATTCCATTTCTCCCTACGTGCGCAATGATAAAGCCTTCCTCGTTTCATACGAGAACAGAAAGCACATATTGAGGTGACTTCAGGTAATGATAAAGCTTGGTCCAATATAGCCTGTTCTTCATAAAAATAAGGCAAACCTAAAGCAGATAAATATTCAATTAACGGAGAAGGATCATAAGATTCTGTTTTGGGGTCAACAGTGACAGCCCCAAGTTCAAAATCCACACCTTGTTTCTTTGCGTAAAATTGATATTGGCGTAATGTGTGGAGTAATGATAGTGAATCCTTTCCGCCAGAAAGACAGACAAGTACTCTATCACCTGAATTAATCATTTTAAAATCTTCAATTGCTTGAACTGTCAGCTTGAATAGCCTTTTAGGTGGTGAAATGAATTTCACTTCTGATGGTGTATTCGCTCTGCCATTTTTTGAACAAGAATTCATTTGTAAGCTGCTATCGTTTCCATTGATTTCACCATTTGTATGGCCATTATCAGGAATGCTATTTGACATAATTATATCGGTTTTATCTTTGGACAAAACCTGCCCATTAGTATGCAATGAAGAATTGTCTTCTCCGTTCACACCTGGAGTTTTGTGATTCGATTCTTGCCTGTTAAGTATTCGCGAAATTTTTTCTTTTGTAAATTCTGAAATTGAAACCTTCTTATTGATTTCCTCCAAAGTCAGCTCTGTGATTTTTTTTCGTACTGTGAAAGAAGGAGTTCGCTTAGGAAGCGCTTGTACTTTGCGACCTTGAGATTTTGTAACCCACATTCGCGCTTCCGATGGTGTTAAGAACCATCTCAAATCTTCCACAGATTTATTAAATATAGAATCATGATTTGGTAGAAAGGTTTCAGGTGCTCGTTTTGCTTTTTCAAACACTTCTTTAGCTAATGATAAACATTTTTCAAAAGTGTCAGGCAAACTTCCTTTCGTTTCGTCAAGTGTCGGTGCCCGGAAAGTCATTCCTGAAGTCGTGAACTTTGCCTGACCAAGCCATTTCCTATCGTTAAAGACCTTCTGTTTTACATGCATCCATTCTCCAGTTTCCGGGTTAAATAAATAATTGGGCAGTATATTCCAACCATTTTCTGCAATCATTTTAACTGCTTCAATTATAAAATCAGCTTCTTCATTTGTTGTAAAGTATGGAAGACTCAGCCGAACAAAGCCCGGCCTCAACACTTCATGTGGAGAATATTCCTTAAACCTTCGTAAATGCCTTCGATCCAATCTTGAATCTTCAGTTAACGCTTTTTCAAATCTTGCCACTTTATCAGAACTTATCCCTAGCAGATCTTGAGCATATGGACCAGCACAAGCACATCCACCTCTTGCTTGAATTCCAAATAGATCATTCAATAATGCAGCAATGAAACTATAATGTAAATACAACCCTGAGTCAAGATGACGAATCATGAATGAAAACACAGCAAGTGTCTTTTTATTATTATTTTTGTGAGAATCAGTCAGACCTAGTATTTCAATACTTTGAACATCTTTCCATGCATTTAAAACATGGTTATAAATATCATTTTCATGTTTCATTATTTCTTTACTTCCAATATCTTCTTTCAGTTTAAAAGCTAATCCCGCACGAATTGAACCTATAATATCAGGGGTTCCGCCTTCCTCCCTTGTTTCTTCATCTTTTAAGTATTTATGATTGTTATCAGAGACGAAGAATACAGAACCCCCACCGCAATCAGATGGGACTGGATTATTGAAAACTGTCTTGGAGGCAACGAGCACCCCTGGTGTATTCACTCCACCTACAAATTTATGTGGTGATATAAAAATTGCGTCTTTCGATGCATTCCCATTTGCAACAACTGGATGCATAGTAATCTCTGTATAAGGTGCAGCAGTTGCATAATCCCACAGAGACAATGCTCCGTAACGATGCAAGAGTATAGAGGTTGCAACAGTGTCTGCTAAACGTCCAGTTACATTGGACGCAGCGGAAAAGCATCCTACCATTGGCAATCCTACTTTTTCCCATTCCTCCAATGCAGCCTCAAGATGGTGAAGATTAAGGTCTCCATTTGCGTTCTCACTTATACGCACAACTTCAAATGCTATTTCACGCCATGGTAGTAAGTTGGAATGGTGTTCAAAAGGCCCACAAAATACCACTGGTGGTTTAGAAAAATTAAGAGCGTTGATCAACTTATGAACTGAACCTGTTACACCACTTCCGGCAAATATTACAGCGTCATGTTCACTTGCTCGTACTGCATTTCGTATAATATCTCTTGCTTCTTGGCGGAAAAATGTCATCTGCAAAGATGTGACAGACGTGGTTGTGTGGGTATTGCCATACATTGGCAAAACATGCTTTTGAAGAAAATCTTCAATGCTGGCTAAAGGTCTTCCAGATGCTATGTAATCACAATATAAGATTTTCCGTATCCCGAAAGGGCCTGAAAATACAGCGTCTTTTCCAATCACATTATGGTTTATGTAATTAATCAACTCTGATTTGTTGGTCTGTTCATCTGTTTTTGCAAAATTCTTTTCCTTTTTGACATCCATTGTACCATGAGAATAACTATAACAGGTGAAAAAGAAACTCCCAAAATACAATTAAAAAAGGAATACAGTAATGAAATACCTTGATACTATATCAAGACAGAATATGGAAGGATTATGAAAAAATATTTCTGCCACTCATGAAATTTCTGAATTCAGGAATTTGGATTGAGTAAATGATATGTCAGCCATATCCTAGTAACCACAGGTTGATTACGGCCTCCTCTGCCATCAAGTTTACGTATACGTGCCCACTGCCCACATTATCTTTGCATGAGATTGTAGGTATTGGTCATTATCAACGTAATTGTTAAAAGAACGAAAGCCCGAAAGTTCAATACTATCGTGTATTTTGTTTGTTAAGTTTGGCCCAAGCCTCATTTAATTCTGTAATTGGGCTTGTGTTTTTGTGCGCGTGCAGGTGGGCAGGCACATGAGTTACTTCTCATGTTTTAAACTTCGAAATAAACTCTAGGATTAGGATTTACATATTTATCCTGGGGAGAGGAAAGCTGATAAGACAGGCGGCTTATCGATATGGCGAACCACGGCCTCTCGTCCGGTTACTATTCCAAGTCGGGTATGGGATTAGTTATATATTGTTTGTTTACGGAAGCATGGACTTGGTGGTGGAGGAAGCCGTATCCGACCAGCGGTTACATTAACCACCCAACGACGGCGAGGAATCCAGCAATCCTCTCGCACATAACCATCCCTGCATGGGATTCGAACCTGCGAACCCACGCAGAGCAATTAGAGGTGCGGTGGCGAGCGTATTCCTAACGCTAAGCCCGTTGAGCCACACCGCCGCGCCTATCTATCTAAAAAAGAACTAGATTATATTAGGGTTGCCATACCGTCCGGAATTTAGGGTTAAATTTTGCGTCCCGGAAGAATTTAAAAATTGCTTAAATGTCCGGAATCAGGATTTTACTGCATCTGCAATCGTACTGAGCACACTGCTAATACAGTACCGGTACCGTAATAAAGAACATTGTTTTTCGTACCGTGCGCATATTTTTTACTACGAGGTCGAGGTCATGAAAATAGTCATGAACTGTCCGGAATTTTGCTTTTTCAAATATGGTGACCCTAGACTATATAACACCATACCGGTAACAAACAATCTTGCTGTTTTGATTAGCTGATAATCATTAGCCTGTCGAGTGTCGAGGAGGTGCGTGTTTACGGATGCCGAAATATATTTTCTGGAAACACCAGACACAAATAATTTTAAAGTTTCGTAGAGTTGTATGTGGATCTACGATAAAAACAGTTGAGTAGCTCTGGTCTATACCACTCAAAATTCAAGCTGTTTCTCCTTGCTACCGTACTGGACTACTGGTACCGGTATCCTGCTGATAGACACCTCATGTGACATCATAATGGGACTTTTGTGGACGCAAAATTGGATACAGCTACCGTTAATTTTAGACGCCCTGCGATTAATCGTCTCTTCTACCGACATTATTTATCTTGTTTCTATCAGTTATTTTATTTTATCGTTTTTGATGCTGATTGTGGAGTCAAAATAAACTTATACATTATTTTCGTCAAATGACACTCATTCGATGGAGGCTTGAACGCTGTTATAAAAACGGCGCGGCGGTGTGGCTCAACGGGCTAAGCGTTAGGAATACGCTCGCCACCGCACCTCTAATCATTCTGCGTGGGTTCGCAGGTTCGAATCCCATGCAGGGATGGTTATGTGCGAGGGGATTGCTGGACTCCTCGCCGTCGTTGGGTGGTTCACGTAACCGCTGGTCGGTTACGGCTTCCTCCACCACCAAGTCCATGCTTCCGAAAACAAACAATACAGTAAAAAACTAATCCCATACCCGACTTGGAATGGTAACCGGACGAGAGGCCGTGGTTCGCCATATGGATAAGCCGTCTTATCGGCTTTCCTCTCCCCCGGGATAAATATGTAAATCCTATCCTATCCTAAAAAAATGTCGCGAGATGTCGCTGGAGATTCGAGCAAACTTGTACATTTTTTGCGCGGATTTTATCAACATAATAACATTCCACGCAGGCTTGGGGTCACCTTGGCTAGACGTCGGTGAATATTTGCTTACTTCAAAGCCGACATCACGTTCAGTTTGGAATTAACGCCAATCGAACAGTTACCGGTCAGCGAAAAGCTTGATGAAAGAAATGAGACAGGATGTACCAATACATTTGGAATTACACGTGGAAACTAGAGAAAATCAAAAGTTTGGAATGGTTTACAAAGCTCACTTCGATACTACTGCACATCACGTACGTTCTTCTACGCAGATTTACAAAAAGCCACGAAGCATTGTTAACATAAATCTCCAAATACCAGATCGATTAGCCAGATAGCATGGACAGTAAGAAATTCATTTTGATCTTATTTTTATCTTAGTAAGATTCAATGTTAGACTCCCCCATAGGTGTCGCTGCTCGATAAATATCATTGGTTTATCTTGTCACACTTCACGCCGTAATACATTTTTAATATCCTTTACCTCACTGTATGTACACTTTGTATTTTCGGAAGCCTATGTGAAAAAAATAAACTACTGGCGGATTGACTGGTCACAAACTCGTATGCAGTAAAATTATCTGTCATTAGAATAGATTTTGATTTGAGACGTAGAGGAAAATCATAATAATGACAGTAAAGACGGAAACAGAAGGCTATTTCTTCGCAAATTGACTATCGCACGGAATGATATTTGAAAATAGATTTAGTAGAAAACGAATGCTTGCACAGAACAAGTTTCCCGAAGCACATGGATCTTGATTGATACAGAAGTTGCCGTGACATGGAATGCTCTTATTATATTTTAATTTGTTGTTGTTTACTATTACGCTGCTTTTTTATTATTGTTGTTTATCAAACAGACGACTACCGGTATTAGTTACGTGCGTTCAGAATCACATAGATTATCACATATTGTGCACGCGTGTTTGTTTGTTGTACTCTACATCACTCTTTATTTTCATGCACTACAGTAGAAATTGTGTGTTCAAATTCCACTCTCTAATAACTAATTATTTAATCCCGAATTATCTTTCGTGAATTCTTTTTGAAATTCACTTCAATGTGTTAGTTGCTGTTTCGGGTAAGTGGGCACTTGCATCAGCACGTCTTAAATCAAATCTTTTGTGAGATTTACCGTACATTTGTTTGTTTTGCTCCGATTCCCTTTATCAAAGTTTTGCAAACTTTTTTGCAACACAAAAGATAACTTTCGGCATAATCGTCAATAGCTATGCATGTTTGATTGATTCCGTGCCAGAGTTTTTAAAATATTCAGCATTATTTTTGAACAGAAGGCATAAAAGAAGATTTGGAAAAATTAAAAATTAATAAAGTAAACAAACACGCAGGCCGCGAGACGAGGGCGTTTATCTTTCAGTTTCGTAGCGCTGAAGGAGAGAGAGAGATTTATTAATTTGTCAACCAAAAAAATTGCAGTCATCAATACAGTAAAAAAATAGCAACAATAAAATTGTTTTGGTATGGACAGGAGGGAGCGATACGACCATGCGGTCATCGAGGTCAACTCCCACCTATTTCGCTTGTATGAATAAGATTCAAATTTTAAGATGACTTAATGAAAAAGTTAGACCAGTAATATTTAACTTTAGGAACAGAAAATAATATAAATGTAAACAGATTATACCTAATAATGAATTGGGACTCAAAATAAACACGATATAACCTGAACGGGTAAGTAAGGTGAAAAATGAAGTCAACATGAGATATAGTTGGAAACTTAGTTGCACTAATAATATCAGTCGGCTTTAAACTATAATAAATAATTCTTTATGTAAACATTTTAAATATATGTATAAAGAAAAAAATATATATACAGCGGATCAAGCGCTTCAAACAACATGGCGAAAATTTGCAACCAAGCTAAGAAGTTATTGAAACTTAGTAATATAACTAACTTCTTTATCATTGGAATTAAAATAAAAAAATAATTTTCACAAAATTTATATTCAATCAAAAAGAAAAGGACACAGGGGATCAGTGTAAGGGGCATTTTGGACTATAATTCTTAGCCTTATTAGCATTGTCAAATGTTTGAAGATTCCACCAGAATATCAAAAACAGGATAGGATTTACATATTTATCCTGGGGGAGGGGAAAGCCGATAAGATGGCTTAACCATATGGCGAACCACTGCAGAATACTTGAATTTTTATTCCTGGAATTTTAATAAATAACAATCGTGTAATCAGGGAGGTTGTATGCTTGATACATTTTTGCACACAGTGGATATCAAAGTTTTTGACTACGGTAATTGAAAAAGGGTAGATATTTGACATTTTCAAATATTCGCATCTGGGGCAACTAATATACAATATAAAGCAAAAGATGATCATCAGTACATGTGTTATGTATGATAGATGTGGCTATTACAGACAAAAACATCGTCACTAATATTTCAGAAGAATTTATGGGCAATATTGATAATCATTAACAAAGAAATGAAAAATAACTTTTATCTCCACTGTAACTTGCTAGAGACAAAAGCTGAACCATTGTAAGACATGAAGGGCATGAGTGTGTCAGACACATAGCAATTATTGTACAGTAAATGGGGCAGCAAAATTGTGTAAAATGTAAAGTAAGGAGATATTATAAATGATTGGGTTGAGGAACTTATCCATAACATAACATAATTGTAAATAAGCAAATACTCAAGAGTTTACTGGAAGGCAAATTGAAAGTAATATGATTATCCCAATCAGTCATTTAGTTTTATTAACAAATTAAGTATCTTCAATTATATCAGATGCAACCAAACATTTGATGAAAATTAATGCATGAAAAAATTTCCAATTTTAATGGAATGTCAAAATATACCATTAGATGGTATTTTTTGGGTGGATATTGAATTAAGTAATAATAGCAATTGTTAAATTGCAATAAATTCACGTGCGAAGATGAAATTCGAGTGATTTCATTGTCACAAAACACAGTATAATTGGCAAAATGAACTATACAAAGTTACAAATGCTACATGTACAAAGGAATTTTAACACAGACTTATTAGGGAGCATTAAATAGGATTCACTGAAGTCTGTAATGACCATAAGTTTTGTGCAAGGGTGCAAATGTAGAATATATAACAGTTGGCATATAATTTATTGATGTTACAAACCATGACCCAGAGCACAAATGTAAAGGGCAAGATCTACAATTAATGGGCTATATGGATGAAGAAAAGAGCTATTAATCAGTCTATATTTGTAAAGATGAAGATGCATACCAAAAATACTTCAAGACTGTCATAGTTAATGACATCTAAAATGGAATAGTACTTTTTGAAACTTAAGGCATTGAAATTTAAACCTATAACGGGTGAAGATTCCGACAAATGCAAAACATTTTTTCCCAGA